TCTCCTAGTTCGGCAGCCTTTATTATAAGAGCATGATGCAGCGATTTTTTGGCTCCTGTGATCAACCCTAGTTTCTATTCTTCTACTAATGTACTTTGTAGATTCAACTTCCCTGCCTGGTGCACTCTTGTGGGATTCAACTCTATTTCTGTGTGCATTCTCCTGTGGGTTTACAATTGTGTGCCATGCTGGCCATTTAAGGGCTCTTTCAAAGTATTAACTCTGCCTGCTCTACTGCAAGGCTGTTGGTGGCAAATATAACCATTCTGTAAAACAGAAACTCCCCAATCTATTACTCCCTTCAACCATAACCCCTTCCTGGCCGAACTACCTACATGTTTCCCAACTGTCATATTTTGCCATAGCTAAATGTTACCTCTTCTTCCACCTAGCACCCCTTGTCTTAACTATCTACATTGCCACTTTCTCCCACCCTCTCAACCCCATTGCCGTACCCAGCTACGTAAACGCTTGCTCTCTTTCACTCCAGTCTTGTCTTGCTCTATTATCTGAATGTTATCTCTGGTAACCCTAGATATGTACATTTCACTCTTTAAATCCCCTCCACCCACCCCCCAAGAGTTTTATCCATTTCGGTGTTACCAAAGCTCAGATTGATGCGATTTTATTGTATTCATGCTTCCATCCCTCCAAGGTCGATTAAAATAAGTACCATTAAATAACGTAATCATTGTATCCTAGGACATGCTTGAAAACTACCAGGGGCTAAAAAAATGTGTTCTCTTTGAATTATTTGTTTGTTAAAGTGTGGTCATCTTATTTGATTTAATTACCAGTTATCAACTTATTTCATAAACAGTTATTCCTGGAAGAACCAAACCTCAGTCCACAAGTCAACCTACTGCAAATATGTCAATAAACATTGCTTCATCTCGGCACCCCAATCTACAAGACAGATCCAAAACGTCTTCTGCTGTCAAACAGGCGAAAACCAAGAGTATTCACAGTACCCCCAAAATTCGAAATTATAATATGAAAGATTGAGTCACAAGATTGTTGTCCAGTACACAAACTGGAGATGGATATTAACCCTTATGATGACTTGAGGAAGACTTCACTGCTTTCATCCAATGGATTGATCTGGTACCAGACACACTGAATGAAACCCATCGAGATTCTTCACAAAATAAAAATCACATTTTCCCGAGTTATTTTTCCTTTCTACAACTGCAACATAACAGTTGTGTACTAAATGTAATAATTTGTCTTAGCAAACATGTTGGGAGAATACTAATAGTAAATTTATACAGCGATTGGTACATTTTATTAGCTGTAGACATTAAATTCCACCGACATGCTCACTAATCTGAGAATTTCTAGTAAAGTGATTAACTCTGCTGGTGCAGAGTGAGTGACGTAACTGGGAAACAAAGTGCAGGAATTCTAAAGGCTCTCAAATACAGCATTAAGATACATTTTGTTTGCACTGCAAGTCATTGGATGAGCTCCCCACCAATATATTACAGCCATAATCACCACAACTACTTAATGTCTTCTGGAGCAGTTGACCAGGAAAACCTTGTAAATGAGGAGTTATGACTTCCAATATTGGTCACTATGGAGCTAATGGACTATCACATCTTTAATCTTTCCACATCTAGAACACTGTACAGGAGAATCAGCATATTGAGACGTTACCATAAATAACATGGATTATATAAATTTGTCTCTGGGTATCTCTGAGTACAAGTAGTGCAATCTCACTCTTTAGGTTATATTCAGCAAAGACCTAATTGTAATGAAACTGAATTGCAGCATTGGGGCTAAAATAGCCAAACGTTGACTGCAGCTGATTTGTAAATATTTAGTTTGTTTTGTCTAAATTTTAAAAGTCAGTTTAAGATCCCTACAAATTTTGTGTTTTGTTAATTTGTTCCGCTGTCTGCAGTAAAGGACATCACTTATATCATATGTATAAGTTCAGCAAGGAAAGCAGTGAGTGAATTTTAAGCCGTGTCTTAAATTTTTTACAAATAGAAAACAAGATTGTAAGCTCTTGAGAGCAGGACTTTCTCTACAGTTAATCACACTGTCATAATGGTGTTTTTTTTTTTGTATTTTTTTTGCTAAACTCTGAATTGTGGCAGATTGAAAATCAAACATCAAGTGTGCTTATAGAAAAGCAGACATTGATTCCAGATCAACTTTTTGCTATTCAATCTAGATTTTTGTGGTTTCTTTCTTTTTTTTTCTTTTTTATTTTTTAAGTTCACTACAATTTGGATTTTAGTAGTTAGGACTACTAAATGCATCCAGACCAGGCCATCACAATAAAGTGTTCTAGGTGAAGTGACCCTTTAGTTTTAAAACTTTGCTGTTCAGCAGATACGGCAGTGCTATGATTGGAGGGTTCACTAGTGACCATCGACCTGACACCCACTGGAGGCGCTTCACCTGTGAAACCAAGCCAAAGTCTGTTCTCAATCAAATGCTCCTAAGCTAAATCGGCAGCAGGAGACTATAGCGTTACAAATACATGTTTTAGAGTGTTCTTTTAATAATGAATAAACCCCTGGTGTCTTTCTGGCTACGTGTAATCTATCTGAGTAAATTCAGACTGCAGAATCTTTCCCCATGATTACACAGACTCTGGGCCTCTGCTGTTTTGATTAAAGTTAATTCTGGCACTGCAGATGTGTATGGGCTACATTTCCCACAATGCTTTGCCAGTGCCAAGGTTAGCTGTCTCTGTGCTTGGTACAACCTTATTCGTCAAAAATGTAACCTTCCCTTCATCAATTTTTTTTGTTAAAGGGACACTCCAGGCACCCAGACCACTTCTGCCCATTGGAGTGGTCTGGGTGCCAACTCCCACTACCCTTAACCCTGCAAGTGTAATTATTGCAGTTTGTTATAAACTGCAATAATTACCTTGCAGGGTTAACTCCACCTCTAGTGGCGGTCTACTAGACAGCCACTAGAGGGCACTTTCTAGTTTCTAGCACAGGAAACCTGTGCTAGAGCGTCGCTGGAAGTCCTCATGCTATGTGAGGACCTCCAGCGTCGCTCATTTCCCCTTAGGAAAGCATTGAAATGCATTTTCAATGCTTTCCTATGGGGAGCGCTAATGCGCATGCGCGGCATTGCTTTCCTGGATTGTTTTCCTGGCACTGGAGATCCCCTTTAATGTAAGCTCTGATGCTTTCAATTTGAAAACTGGTTAAAAAGAGAGGAGAGATCCAATACATGCCTTTTTTTGTTTTTTGCTTTGTTTACATATATTTATTTGGCCTGCTTCATTAAGAAATTCACTACAAAATTATTTTTGTAGGATGCATAGATAGCACACAAACCTACAATTTTATATTTTATGTAAAATCTTGTGTAGATTACTGAGCAGTGTTCCAAAATGCCAGTACAATGCAAGCAATGCGTTGCCTGATCCCCAAATACAGTAAATATAGTTCCTTAGTTAAAACCAGGCATCTATGTTTACAAAGGCAATACAGCTAGTCAGTCATGCATGTATGCTGTAACAGAGCAAGGTGTTCCCTGTCAATGCAGTCCAGGTATACAATCCACGCGGAATCATGCAGGTTCCTGTAGTGTGTGAAGATGGCAGTGGGACTAGCTAGAGTTCTAGTTAAGAAATTAGCTTCTTAACAGGGTGAGTACCACTGCTGGAGCAGAGGCAAAGGTAAGCTGCATTTATTGTAATATTATTTTTTTACAGTTCAAGGCTAAACACAAACAATGACGTGCCGATGATCATCAATGACCACTGCTTTTCTGCTTGTTTGTTAGAGAGGCTATTTTACTTACCAGGTAACAACCCATTGTGCTTAAACTGTGATGCAGCTGGCCTGCTGCCTGGAAACCAAACAGAGGAACTAACTGATATTGTATAACACTTAGCCCTTCTATCTGATGGATGTATTTCTCCCAGGCACTTATAATTTATTGTGTTAAAGGAACAGGTGACCTATTTTTTTCTGTATAGCAAGCAAAATAAATAAAACGTATATTCTCAAGCCTCTTGTAGTTCAGCGTAATGAACTGTCTTTGAAAATCTAGATGTTTGGGAAGAGGCGCATAATTATATATTTTGATTCTATAATGTTCTGCTGATCTCCTGGCTTAATGCATCTGAATCCACCATTTAAGGTCAGAAGTGGACGGTCACATACCCCAGATGTTATTGAACCACAACTCACTGGAAGTGAATGAAGGCGCTTGTAGTTAAACTGTCAACTAGAGTTCTGTCACGACAAGTGACCCAAACACGCAGAATGTAACCCAAATAGAAAACGTAATGCCGGACCTTAGAAAGGCCGGGTTTAACGTAGATAGAAAAGTCAAGGAACAGCCAAAGTCCAGGAAAACCAGAGATCAGGATAACAATAAGGAATAACCGAGTCAGGGAACCAGAAAACAGGATAAACAAGAAAACGATCCGAGTCAGGGTACCAGAACAAAGAATAGCCAAAATACCAGAATACACGGGCAGATAACAGTATAGCACTAGAGGGAACAACCAGTGAACCACAATAGGGCACTAAATAAAAGCAGAAGGTGCTCTTTAATAATGGAGCGTCTTTTGCTTTAAATCCACGCGCCTGAAATGTCAGGGAGTGTTGAATATTTAGAATTTTCGCGGCATAGCTGCTATGACTTCGGCACGCATGCACTACGCCATCAATGGGGGCGTGCGTGGAGCGTCCAGTGTCCGACATGCCGTTGCTGTGAGGAGTCAGCATCCAGAGCTTCGCTTCGCGGGTCCGCAGGATAAAGGTAAAGTATCGTGACAAGTTCAATAATTTCCCTTTTACAATAGATATTGTTATATGGCACTAACAAAATCTTTCTATACATCTACATAGAAGTGTTTTGTTATAGCTTGTGTCTGGCCCACAGAGCTAACAATTTTATTTGACTAGGACCCAAATAATATGCGTGTGGCCTTCGAATAGCAAGCCATTCTTCAAAATTTAAAGTTTTTATTAAAAATTATTTTGACCTGGGGGTTGGGGGGGACTGCCATGGCAGGCAATTGCACTACACTGCTGCTCCTCGGATACTTCGATATAGCTGACCTTCAGAACCCTGAATCTGGATTGCCAGGGTGTCGCTTGCCAAAGATAGACAGTTTAAGCCGGAGATTGAGCTCATATGGAAGAGACTGGAGCTCCACCGATTCGGGTGGTGTGCGGAGGTGGCCATTCCCGTATTCTAAAGCCACAGCAGACTCCCAACGCAAGTCTAAGCAACTCTGCTTCCCCAAGAGTTACGCATAGTCTTTAGATTGCATGTTTATTTTCTTTTTTACTATTTTGTTTTACAAACAAGTGCGTATATTGTATGCCTCATTATAACAAAACGAAGAGAATCTGCCAAATGTTCGAGAACAGATCGGTAGTACCATTTGAAAATCTGAGACAAGGAGCCCATCTCACACCTTCAGACTTATTTGGGTATCTACAACTCAAAGATTACGTGAAACGCCTACACATACAAAAAGCAGCAATGTGATCATTGCCTGGGAGGCTCCACCGACTTCAATTCACCACCAACTGGTCAGGTGAGGGGTTGAGTCTGCACCAGTGACTGCTGCAACCTTGAAGGAAATGCTACCTCACACACGGTGCAAGATGTGCACAGCGCAGCTGCGATGCTTGAAACACTGTGTCTCTTGTGGGACTCGCTGCAAACCGGTGGACCGGGGGAGTTCCTAAGACCGCACACAGATGGAATCCAGCGACAGTTATTCCATTCGTAAATGTTGTTTACTATAGCAATAGCGCACCAAGCGTAACCAGAAGCAGACACTGTAGTTACTTGCTTTATCTCCCCTGCCTCTATTCCAATGGTCACTTCTGTAGCCGAGCACACTGCGGCTCAGAGGAGTAAAAACAACCTCGACAGTTATCTGTTGGCTATGGCCACTTAATTATATATCTATATTCATTTGCTGGGTCTAGCTTACTTTCATATATTATCTTTCAGAGGAAGACCTTGCTTTATTATTATTGCTTGCTTTTCCAACTTTCATCAACCTTTCCTGACAAATAGTTTTTAATGCATATCCTATGCCAGGGATAGGCACCCTTCGGCACTCCAGATGTTGTGGACTACATCCCCCATAATGCTCTTACACCCATAATGCTGGCAAAGCATCATGGGAGGGGTAGTACAAAACATCTGCAGTGCCGAAGGTTGCCTATGCCTGTCCTATGCCATGTTTTCTTCTGTCTATGCATTAGTGCTGCAATCTCAATGCCATACTTATGTGATATTATATTGATGTTACTGCCTGCCTTTGCTACCTTGTTAAAGTATGCACAACAAAAAGAATATGAAATAATTTTTTTTTTTTAAAAACAAGCATGCAGATACAACCTTCGAAGCAAAGAGGTACAGAACTATTTTGGAGAGTTTATCCAGCAGTGGGAGCCTGATAGCACCATAACCAATGATTCACCATGTAGTAGCTATGTTGCTTAACCCCTTAAGGACACATGACATGTGTGACATGTCATGCATCCCTTTTATTCCAGAAGTTTGGTCCTTAAGGGGTTAAACTGGCTCTTTCAAATCTTCTGTTTCAAGTAATAATGTGAAGATATACCCACACCACATTGTCTATAACCCACCGTTTTGTAAAAGTACCCCCAATATCGGTGTAGTTTGCATAAATTTAAGTCTTCACATCAGGTCCACCATTAAGAAATGTTCTTGATGTTCCAGCCATTTTTGTTCTTTAGTTAACTGCTCCTAATGTTCAAAATATGACTTGATTTAATTTTGTCATTTTTCTGGTCGAATTACTAGCATGTATAGTTGTAAGGACAGTGTGAGCTATATGCCTTCAATGTTTGCATTGCAAATTGTCAGAGGGCAATGAGATCTTCTCACATATGTGCAAAATAGGACCAGTTCCTTCATTTATTGTTTATCAGGGCAGAGATTTTACTGAGCAGAGAACCTCAGAGGACTTTTCAGTAAACTAAATACGAATTGCATTATTTAGGACATGATTATCGTTGGGATGGAGAATTTCTCGAAATCAGCTATGCTGGATTCAAGTCTTCAATTCACTTTTGATACCCTAACATTCTGAGTTTTGTGCGGATTGTGAGCAACACACTAGCAGTATTGAAGCAGCTGATTTGTAGAAACGATATAACTACGTAGAGTTTATAACAGAATTGGAAGCACTTTGTATACACAGTTTTATATTTAAAAACAATAACAAATATAGTGAATAAATCCCTAAATTAATAGGTGCTACCATCACCTTTGTGGGCCACACAAACCACAGCAAAGTGAATAATAGAAAATAACAAATATGTGAGAGCACACAAAATAAGGAAATACTACCCACACTGTAGTCAATTAATCTGGAAAAAAACAAATAAAAAAGACATAGAGTAGTACAGCCTGATACAATATATTTACAATAGGTGCCAATCACACTCACATAGACAGAGCCACTTAAATAGCTGGCTCAGACTGGATGCCTTGAATATAAAAAGCAGGACTTCCACTGGGAACTTCTTTCTCCTTTAAATGTAAAACCTCCAGGACGCAGAATTACCAGGGGTAAAAACACTTTATTCTTCAAACTCTGAAGTAAATAAAAACAAAGGTAAATAAAAGTCCCAAAAAACAAGTCCAATCACTTGACGCGTTTCGGCTGTTTTCCTTCATCCGGAGTGATGTCGATATCCAAGGCATCTCGATTTAAATAATTAAATTTGGCGCCCTTTTCCTCCTCCATTAAGATTGCACCCTTCTGTTTCCGGTTCTGACGTCGGAACGCCTTCTGCGTCATCACGTTCCGACGTCAAACGTCATTTCCGGTTCCGGTCACAGTTTTATATTTATTTCTTTTGTAAATAAGCATGTTCAGATTTCTAACAGATCACACTTTAGTGAACAATTCGCCAAGTGTTTTAAGTTGTAACCCAAAATATCTAATAATAAAATAATGTTAACATAAATGATAGTGTAATTTTATGATATCATTATCCCCAGTGGTGTATCCTGGTTTTGTGCTGCCCTAGGCAGGTCTGCCGCACTTTCCTCTGAGAGGTCAACGCCGTCCGCCCAGCCCAGCATGTTAGTTAGCCGCAAGGCTAACAAGGCATTTGTCCTGGGCATTTGGGGGGCAGCTTTTTTTGCCGCCCCCTGGAAAATGCCGCCCAAGGCAAATGCCTTGTTTGCCTCGCGGCTAAAACACCACTGATTATCCCCGCTGCATATGCTGATCATAGAATGTGAGGCACTGGGAATGACCAGCATACACAGTACAAGAAAACTTTAGGTAACAGAATTTTTTAATCCATTTACTAGAATTTTCTATATGTTTTATTGACTACCTGAAAAGGGATTTTGTCAGACAGTGTGAGAGCATAAGGAACCCACCCCTGATTTACTACGAAAATGTAGATCAGGGGTGTCCAAAAGGTAAATCCCCAGATGTTTTAGAACTACAGCATCCATTATGCTTTGCCATTCTAAAGGCATGCAAAGCATCATGGGAGGTGTAGTTCTACAACATCTGAGGATCTATCTTTTGGGCACCCCTGATGTAGATGATCACCTGTGACAGTTATCCCAGGAATTTGCTGGCTGGATGACAGGTGTTTAAATGGGGTGTCCTGCTACTGTATAACAGGTGCAAGTTAAAGGTTTACTCCAACCAAAACACAGTTCCTTCATAAAACACAGTTTTTGGTGAACAAACAAACAACTTTAGCTTAATGAAGCAGTTTTTGTATACAGACCATGTCCCTGCAGTGTCACTGCTCTGTTCTCTGCCATTTAGGAGTGTCACCATTGGCTATGCATTCTGACCAGTGGTGTATCTTAACAGACACACACTCACTCACTAACAGACACACACACTCACACACACTAACGGACACACACTAACAGGCAAACACTCACACACTCACTAACAGACACACTCACTCACTAACAGACACACTCACACTCACTAACAGACACACACTCCCTTTTTTTTTTTTATTTAACCCCCACAGCCTCCTTACCTTTTGGAATGCTGGGGGGGGGGGGAGTTCTCCCATTCCCTGGAGTCTAGTGGGGCTGCTGGGCGGTCGGTAGGGCTGCGCTGGCGAGGGAGCACTTTCCCCTGAGAGGTCTGCTCAGCTCCCTCGCGCGCCGCAGAGTGATGCCAGGATCCCAGCATCACTCTGCGGCGCGCAAGGGAGTTGAGCAGAGCGCTCAGGGGAAAGTGCTCCCTCGCCAGCGCCGCCCGCCTGGCTTGTCAGTAAGGCACAAGGCTAACAAGACATTTGCCCTGGGCATTTGGGGGCGGCTTTTTTTGCCGCCCAAGGCAAAATGCCTTGTTTGCCTCGCGGCTAAAACGTCCCTGATTCTGACAACAGATGCCAAATATGCACAGAGTTGCTTTTAGCCAGTACAACCTCTTGTTTTGGGCTGGTAATGATGCTGCCAGTGGTGGAGATACATTTCCGAAAAGCTAAGTGCTTTAACTCTGTATGAGCATTTCAAACTGAAATAATGTACATACAGACTCCAAGCACCACAACCACTTTAAATCACTGAGGTTGTCATAGTGCTTTGAATAACCCTTTTAAGCTCAATGTGGTGAAAATGTGTCCCTCCCCATATAGCTAACCCCTTCCCGGGGAATAAGGGGTTAATACCCTTTCTTTCATTTACCCGATTCCACTAAACTCCTCCAGCGATGTTTTGCCGATGTGGGGACCTTATGTACACGCGCAGTCAATGCCGCGCATTAGTGCTTCAATCCTTTCCTATGGGGATTTTGAAGACGCTGGACGTCCTCATGCAGTCATGCAAAAGGTGAGGATGTCAAAAGTCGTGTCATGGAGTTAAACTCCGTGAAAATCCAGGAAGGGCCTCTAGCGGCTGTCTGGTAATGAGGCGTGTCTGCATTGTAATCATGTCAGTTTCTATAAACGTGTTTTGCATTGCTGGGTAAAGGGTAACAGGGACACAATGATGAAGTGGTCTGGGTGCCTATAGTGTCCCTTTAACTACTTAATACTCTGTTACATGCCATGCTTGTAAAGATATAATGAAATTTGTAATGTCAAGAATTGGTTAACTAGGGAATACATAGATATATTTAAAAAAAATCCCCTTTCATACAGGTCACTGCCACAGCCGTACTCTGTAAAGATGTCTGTCCACTTAATTAAATAGGCAAAACGTGTCCTTTTATTTCCTCGTTTCTTCACAATTCTGCTCCCATAATTCCTTCTAATTAACCAGGATCTGTTTCATAATTTATTTGAACGTTGTAGACTAGGACGCCCTTACTCCCCAATGCTGATAATAACCCCCCTTATTAGAGCAAACTGAATCTTTTTAACAAATCTGCAAATAAATTAGGTCGATGCCCCATGCTATAATTATTTAATAAACCAGTGTCTTACGGTGCAATGAACTTTCAGTTTTACATTTTTTTATTTGGATATGAACTTTAATAACCCCTGAAAAGTCTCGCAGTAACAAGGTGAATGTCCTGAAATAAGACTGTATTCAGAGAGGCTCTGATTGCATCACTGGGTCCATCCCACTGTATCGAGTCACCACATCACCCTATCTCCTAGCAACACCCACACATCTCTCCTCATTGGTAGGAAACACCCACTGTAGCACACCTTCTGTCTGAATGGACAGCTTCTTCATTAAGAAAATGCTCAACGGTAGAAATGTAACATTGCTAGACTGAAAAAAACTAAACTTTGTTTTTATATATATTTAAATAAAAATACATCTTGTTATTAACAGGATCAGGTTTATCCACTAAACAGTGAATTGAAAAGTTGACGGTAAATGTTCGCCGAATACAGCTGCACCAGAAAAAAATAAAAATCACTAATTTAGTTGTTTTTCCAGTTTGACTTCTTTAAGGCTAATATTTTAGGGTTTTATCCACTAAACAGGGAATGTGGAGGACAGACGTGGGAATTGCACAAACTACACCAAAGCAATCGTATGCAGAAAAATGTTTCCCATTGATTATTGTAGTCTGAAATTTGCAATTTCCTCCACAACTCTCCGCAAATCCAGATTTAGGGAATAATCGCCTTTGGGTGCAAATGTGGGTAAGCAATGCGTGTCTTGCAGTCAGCTAGTTCCTGAAAAGGTTAATCGTCATGTAGCAAGTATATTCATTTTTTGTGTATCTGTAACCCGGAGCGTCAGCTTCTATTGGAATTCCTGGTCATCCGTATGTAACCTGTGTCGTTACTGAGTACATCAGCACATTTGGAGGAAGTCAAGAGGTCCGTAAGATCACCTATCAGTACTTATCTAGATAAGGTTTAAAATACTACTTTGGCTGATACCGTAAAAAAACAACAACTTTATATGTAAAGTATAGAAACTTGGTTTTTGGGTTTCTTAGCTTTGAACATATTAAATGTTCAGTACAGTATAACAATGCCGCATTCAGAGCAGCTATTATATTCTATTTGCAGGAGGGAAACACAAACACCTTACAAGGATACATTGAATTTAATGTAACTCTGCGTTATATAATAAACAATAATGATATCGTTAAGTGTAAGTGATGAATTTTATTGATTCAGGAGATATTCATTCTAAACGTAACTGTTCTGCAGCGCTGTAGTGGGCACCAATATACCAGGCTGTGGGTAGGTAAATCCCACCCCAAGTTACTCCCGTCTCCTTTGTACCTCATTGGCTTTAACTGGGAAGGATATTAACCCTTCTTAACACAGTGCACACTGTACCTATATCGATATCGATACACTGACGTCATTTCCAGCGCATGGCGTGTGGATGGATTGATATCTGCCATCTCAGTTGCCATATCGCTCGGGCAAAGTGCTGTGACTGGCATGAAGAAGAACAGGAGAACCCCTGGTAGGAGGGATCTCCAGCTGTCGCCTGCTCATCAATTCTCTGCATACATACTATGCCTTTATAGAGCTATAAGCCAAAAAAAATGATTGACAGGAGAGGGGAAGAACCGCTTTTTATTTGTTTTTAGTTATTTTGAGTTATTTACAGATTTATGCATTTGCTAGTAATTCTACATACAGTGTGTGCAGATTAAATATTATACTATTTCATTAAAATATATACCCACGGTGTACCTATTCCACATTTTTATTCTATATTGAATATAGATGTCTACAGTATTTAAATATTAAACTTTATTCCTGCGTTGTTAAAATGACTATTTCAGAGACTGATAACAAAGATAGCGGAGGTGAACTGTGTTATCACAACCCAGTAAAACTCAGTACAAAGAGCAGAGTAGAATGTAGGACAGTCTGAAGCCGCACGATAGGTGTTACACAGAGTAGATAGGTACACAGACAGACGATAGGTGTTACACAGATTAGATAGGTACACAGACAGACGATAGGTGTTATACAGACTAGATAGGTACACAGACAGACGATAGGTGTTACACAGACTAGATAGGTACATAGACAGACGATAGGTGTTACACAGAATAGATAGGTACACAGACAGACGATAGGTGTTACACAGAATAGATAGGTACACAGACAGACGATAGATGTTACACACACTAGATAGGTACACAGACAGACGATAGGTGTTACACAGAATAGATAGGTACACAGACGGACGATAGGTGTTACACAGACTAGATAGGTACACAGACGGATGATAGGTGTTACACAGACTAGATAGGTACACAGACGGACGATAGGTGTTACACAGACTAGATAGGTACACAGACGGACGATAGGTGTTACACAGAATAGATAGGTACACAGACAGACGATAGGTGTTACACAGAATAGATAGGTACACAGACAGACGATAGATGTTACACACACTAGATAGGTACACAGACAGATGATAGGTGTTACACAGAATAGATAGGTACACAGACAGACGATAGGTGTTACACAGAATAGATAGGTACACAGACGGACGATAGGTGTTACACAGAATAGATAGGTACACAGACGGACGATAGGTGTTACACAGAATAGATAGGTACACAGACGGACGATAGGTGTTACACAGAATAGATAGGTACACAGACGGACGATAGGTGTTACACAGACTAGATGGGTACACAGACGGACGATAGGTGTTACACAGAATAGATAGGTACACAGACGGACGATAGGTGTTACACAGAATAGATAGGTACACAGACAGACGATAGATGTTACACACACTAGATAGATACACAGGCAGATGATAGGTGTTACACAGAATAGATAGGTACACAGACAGACGATAGGTGTTACACAGAATAGATAGGTACACAGACAGACGATAGGTGTTACACAGAATAGATAGGTACACAGACGGACGATAGGTGTTACACAGAATAGATAGGTACACAGACGGACGATAGGTGTTACACAGACTAGATAGGTACACAGACGGACGATAGGTGTTACACAGACTAGATAGGTACACAGATGGACGATAGGTGTTACACAGACTAGATAGGTACACAGACGGACGATAGGTGTTACACAGACTAGATAGGTACACAGACAGACGATAGGTGTTACACAGACTAGATAGGTACACAGACAGACGATAGGTGTTACACAGACTAGATAGGTACACAGACAGACGATAGGTGTTACACAGACTAGATAGGTACACAGACAGACGATAGGTGTTACACAGACTAGATAGGTACACAGACTAGATAGGTACACAGACTAAATAGAAAGCAGACAGGTTTATATTCTGCTTTGCTTAATAAAAACTGTAAAACTGGCCATAAAAGGCTGGGAGAATATAAGGTGTAATTTACATAAATAGTAGTGAATGGCTTGAATAACCTTCCAGTGAAAGTAGTAAAAAAATAAAATGGGAGAATAATATATATATATAAAGGGTAGTATATACTTGCGCTAGTCTCCCATTGGAAACAGTACCAGTGATTTGTATTGGTTTGTAGAAACCTGGAATACATTTTAGTGGGAGCAGTAAAGGCTAACAATGATATAGAAAGGGTAGTAGATACCTGGAATAGCCTTCCAGTGGGAGCAGTAACAGTGATATAGAAAGGGTAGTAGATACCTGGAATAGCCTTCCAGTGGGAGTGGTAACAGTGATATAGAAAGGGTAGTAGATACCTGGAATAACCTTCCAGTGGGAGCAGTAACAGTGATATAGAAAGGGTAGTAGATACCTGGAATAGCCTTCCAGTGGGAGCAGTAACAGTGATATAGAAAGGGTAGTAGATACCTGAATAGCCTTCCAGCGGGAGCAGTAACAGTGATATAGAAAGGGTAGTAGATACCTGGAATAGCCTTCCAGTGGGAGCAGTAACAGTGATACAGAAAGGGTAGTAGATACCTGGAATAGCCTTCCAGTGGGAGCAGTAACAGTGATATAGAAAGGGTAGTAGATACATGGAATGGTCTTCCAGTGGGAGCAGTAACAGCGATATAGAAAGGGTAGTAGATACCTGGAATAGCCTTCCAGTGGGAGCAGTAACAGCGATATAGAAAGGGTAGTAGATACCTGGAATAGCCTTCCAGTGGCAGCAGTAACAGCGATATAGAAAGGGTAGTAGATACCTGGAAAAGCCTTTCAGTGGAAGCAGTAACAGCGATATAGAAAGGGTAGTAGATACCTGGAATAGCCTTCCAGTGGGAGCAGTAACAGCGATATAGAAAGGGTAGTAGATACCTGGAATAGCCTTCCAGTGGGAGCAGTAACAGCGATACAGAAAGGGTAGTAGATACCTGGAACAGCCTTCCAGTGGGAGCAGTAACAGCGATATAGAAAGGGTAGTAGATACCTGGAATAGCCTTCCATTGGGAGCAGTAACAGCGATATAGAACGGGTAGTAGATACCTGGAATAGCCTTCCAGTGGGAGCAGTAACAGCGATACAGAAAGGGTAGTAGATACCTGGAATAGCCTTCCAGTCAGGGGCGTACCTAGAGCATTTGGCACCCGGGGCGGATCCTGTGCTTGTCACCCCCTTGCCCCTCCCAAAAAAAAACCTGTAAAAAATGTTAAAGGTTTTCTTTCTTTTTTTTACAATTTGTAAACTTTGCAAAACCGCTGTCAGCCCCTCCTACAAAACCCTTGTCCTGCCCCGCCCCTCCTACAAAACCTTTGTCCTGCCCCTTCTACAAATCCTGTACTGCCCCATCTACAAAACCCCCGCAACCCCCTTCCACAAATCCCCTGCTTATCCCCCCTTATGAAGACTCCTGTCCCAATACAAAACCCCCACCCCTTCTACAAAATCCCTGCAGCCCCACACACACATTTACAGGCAGACAGTCACACACTCAGTTACAGACACAGTCACACACTCAGTTACAGACACAGTCACACACTCAGTTACAGACAGACAGTCACACACTCAGTTACAGGCAGACAGTCACACACAGTCACAGGCAGACAGTCACACATACACATTTCCTCCGTGCGGCCAGTTTATCAGCTGTTTGCTTGAGTGAGCTGCACTGGCCGCACGGCATCCTAACTACCATGGGACACTGTGCGCCACAGCTCACACAGCCCCCTCCAGCCAGGGCCGGTACAAGGATTTTTGCCGCCCAAGGCAAAAGTAAAGTTTGCCGCCCCCCATGTGACATCACAATGCCCCAGCCATATGATTTGCCATGTTAACTAACGCCAGTGCTGCAGTGCCGCCGTGTTTACATTAAAAGGCCTGCAGGGACAGGCTATAGACACCAGAACCACTACATTAAGCTGAAGTGGTTCTGGGAACTATAGTGTTTCTTTAAGGTGAGGTAAATTAGAGCTTAGTGCCACGAATAATATACTAGATTGCCTACTTACAACCAGATGAGGATGATGATGGGCTCCAGCTGCAGTCTGGCTCCACTGGTCTGGTGTAGAACAGGCTCTCTGGGGGCGGTTTGTAACTATGGTCACAAAAATCAATGTTCTGGGAGAACGGGAAGCAGCTCCATTTTTTTTGGGGGTCCTTTTTAGCCTCGGGGTGGGTCCCAGGGTCCACGCTGTGTTTCCACCAAGCGGTTTGTTCACAGGGGTGGAGTGTGTAGGGATGTCCTGATATGTGTGTAAGGAATGCATTCACGTGAGGTAATGTGTTTGTATGTGTAGGACTGCAAGGTGTGTTTCTGTGTATGTATGGGATGCATTGAGTGTGTGTAATGAATGCATTGTGTGTTTCTGTGTGTGTAAGGGATGCATTGTGTGCAACGGTTGCATTGCTTGTGTGTTTGTGTTTGTGTGTTTCTGTGTGCAAGGGGTGCATTGTGTGTATGTGATGAATGTCAGTCTCTCCTCCCGCTCCAATTTCCTTCTCCTCCTCCCAATTTCTCTTTCTCACCCACCTTCTTTTTCTTTCTCACCCACCCCCCCTTTTCTCTTTCTCACCCACCCCCTTATTTCTCTCTCACCCCCCCTTATTTCTCTTTCTCACCCCCTTGTTCTCTTTTATATTTTCTCTCTCCTACTTTATGTTCTCTCTCACTTGCTGTTTCTCTTTCTCACCCCTTATTTCTCTTTCTCACCCCTTATTTCTCTTTCTCCCACCCCTTATTTCTCTTTCTCTTATTTCTTTTTCTCACCCCTGTTTCTCTTTCTCACCCCTTATTTCTCTTTCTCACCCCACCTTGTTCTCTTTCTCACCCCCACCTTATTTCTCTCTCACCCCCTTGTTTCTCTCTCTCACCCCTTATTTCTCTTTCTCACCCCTTGTTTCTCTTTCTACTTTGTATTTCTCTCTCACTTTATACCATCTCCTCCTTGCTTATTTCTCTTTCTCACCCCCCTTATCTCTCTTTCTCACCCCTTGTTTCTCTCTCACCCCTTCTTTCTCTCTCTCACCCCCCCTTCTTTCTCACGCCCCACCCCCTCTCCCCCTTCTTTCTCCCCCTCCCCCCTACCTCCCTGTAGCGTGGCCGAGCCCTGTATGGTCCGCGGGTACAGGGAGCTTTTGTTTCCTGTACCCGGCCGGACTAACAGGAAGTGCACACTCACTGAGTGTGCACTTCCTGTTAGTCCGGCCGGGTACAGGAGACAGCTGCTCCCTGTACCCGTCGGACCATGCTGCAGTGAGGGAGCTGACAGGAGCGCTCCCTCCTGTCAGCCTCTCCTTAGGCTGCGCCCGGGCGGTGCGGTCCGCCCTCATGGACGCACCGCCCGGGCAAAGCTGCAGCCGCCTGAGGCTCTTCACAGAGCGCTCGGGCGGCTGCAGCATGGGGGGGACCGGGGGGCTGGTCATGGATGGCACCCCCCACCCGGCTGGCACCCGGGGCGGACCGCCCCCCCGCCCCCCCCTTAGTACGCCACTGCTTCCAGTGGGAGCAGAAACAGTGATATAGAAAGGGTAGTAGATACCTTGAATAGCCTTCCAGTGGGAGCAGTAAAGCCTAATAGTGATATAGAAAGGGTAGTAGATACATGGAATAGCCTTCTAGTGGGAGCTATGGTATCATTTCTGTTACTCTCCCATGAGCATTTTACATTGATGTTTATCTCTAATGCCAACTTACCCTGTGATTATAATAACCTCCAACATTTCAAATGGAAAGAGAGGGACACTAATTTATAAGCAATAATAGGGGGAGGGGGGCTATTCTGAGAAATTTTAGGTTACTTACTGATAACAAGTTATGCAACTAAAATGTAATTTCTAACAAGAACAATGTATTTTATTTACACAAACTGATTTCAAAACACATTGTAGTTTAAATACACATTACTGGGCGTATTATTACTGTGGAGCTCTGTTATACACTCAGACACATTACTGAAAGTATTGCTGGGGAGCTCTGTGGTACACTCAGGCACATTACTGGGATTATTATTGCTGTGGAGCTCTGTGGTACACTCAGGTACATTACTGGGAGTATTATTGCTGTGGAGCTCTGTTATACACTCAGACACATTACTGGGAGTATTATTGCTGTGGATCTCTGTTATACACTCAGACACATTACTGGGAGTATTATTGCTGTGGATCTCTGTTATACACTCAGACACATTACTGAAAGTATTGCTGGGGAGCTCTGTGGTACACTCAGGCACATTACTGTGATTATTATTGCTGTGGAGCTCTGTGGTACACTCAGACACATTACTGGGAGTATTATTGTTGTGGAGCTCTGTTATACACTCAGACACATTACTGGGAGTATTATTGCTGTGGAGCCCTGTGATACACTCAGACACATTACTGGGAGTATTATTGTTGTGGAGCTCTGTTATACACTCAGACACATTACTGGGAGTATTATTGCTGTGGAGCTCTGTTATACACTCAGACACATTACTGGGAGTATTATTGCAGCTGCTGTGGAGCTCTGTTATACACTCAGACACATTACTGGGAGTATTATTGCTGTGGAGCTCTGTTATACACTCAGACACATTACTGGGAGTATTATTGCTGTGGAGCTCTGTTATACGCTCAGACACATTACTGGGAGTATTATTGCTGTGGAGCTCTGTTATACACTCAGACACATTACTGGGAGTATTATTGCTGTGGAGCACTGTTATACACTCAGACACATTACTGGGAGTATTATTGCTGTGGAGCTCTGTTATACACTCAGACACATTACTGGGAGTATTATTGCTGTGGAGCTCTGTTATACACTCAGACACATTACTGGAAGTATTATTGCTGTGGAGCTCTGTTATACACTCAGACACATTACTGGGAGTATTATTGCTGTGGAGCTCTGTTATACACTCAGACACATTACTGGGAGTATTATTGCTGTGGAGCTCTGTTATACACTCAGACACATTACTGGGAGTATTATTGCTGTGGAGCCCTGTGATACACTCAGACACATTACTGGGAGTATTATTGCTGTGGAGCTCTGTTATACACTCGGACACATTACTGGTATTATTATTGCAGTGGAGCTCTGTTATACACTCAGACACATTACTGGGAGTATTATTGCTGTGGAGCTCTGTTATACATTCAGACACACTAACAATTTGGAGCTCCTAGAAAAGAGAGACAGAGGGAAATGGACCGAAAAAAAAGGATTGTCCTTCCTAAACACTTGTATCTACAGAGCATGTCACCTTAACAGACGGCCTACTGGTTGAAGTATTGAAAGAATTAAAAAGTGAATTTTACATTTTAGTATGAAATAGTTGAAGTGAAAACATAGCTGACTTTAATGTTTCCAATTTGGCTCTTTTGGTATAAAATTTGATATTCCCTTAGAATTCCTAACAAATGCCAGCACATCAGTCAGTGTGTCCCATAATAGGCCATACACCTGCTGGAGGAGTTCCAGTGTGACAAGGAGCCAGAGAACCGAGTATAGGAGGGTTCTCCTGCTCTCCCTGTCACTCAATCCTCCTTATTGAACCCTCTGCTTACATATGTACAGCGTTTAATGGTTTTATTATAAGCTAATACATTTAAAAACCAGGTAGTATCACAGCAGCTCATGAGAAACACTGGATTCTATGAATATTTGTTTCTGGGAACAAAGTACTAAAAGTGGTGCAGTCACCATGGAAACCATTGGATTGTTCCTGCTTATTGCTGCACCCTGCCCTAGAAATATTCTTGATAAATAATACCCACTGTTATTAAATGGCACATTGTAGAATCCCATGTCCCTGTTTCTTTAGACATAGATCCGCGTGATTTGTTGAACCCCTTTCTGTCACATGACATTAGGAGCTCGGTTTTATTACCTGAGATTAATGATATCACTGCTTTTATCTTATATTTCTTTATTGCAGTGTATTAGAAAATTGGTAGTCAGTTACTAGACTAGAGATAAGTTTATCTCTGGTGATAGAATCCATTCCATAGAACGCTGAGTTCTAGACAGTGTTGACAAACCAAAAAAACTATATTGATATTTTTTTCCTAGCTCCAATATTTGTAGCTAAATATCTTACGGCTCTGTGACTTCTAAGTATAATATTTATGAAATACTCATGTTGACCGTATTGGAATTTCATTGGAATTCTAATTCAGTCCAAAGATACCAAAAGACAAGATAGGGACTTACTTTGTCTTATGTGCAATTTTGAGGTTAACAAAAATTGACAAAAGGCAACGTTTCACCATCAACTTTTGTCCAATCTCATTCGCCACAAGTCACAGCTGTGAAACATTTTTTAAATGCTTATAAAATCCATATTTTAGGGCTATTAGAGAGATCCTTTATACCCGAGAAAATGTATTTTATTTAAGAATCTTCAGAAAAAGTTAAAGGCAGTGAAATGTGAGTGTCTTTGCCCATCTTGGGGGAACATGGCCTCTTTGACGCGGTATACATTTTCTGCTCTTGGTATCGTTATGGATGAGGCTGGCTTCCCCCCAAAAAGACACTTACCTCTGAAATGCTAGGAAAGTTCTAAAATGACCAATGAGTAAGCGCTCTTGTTAGTGCGAAATCTGTTCGTTTGTCTGTCTCACTTCGTTATATTAGTTGTTACCCCATTTTGATACTCAAAGTTTCTTGAAACCTCCCAGATCTCTGTGGAATCCAGTATTTATACTTGGCAATTGAAGCTGTCTCACTGTTCGAAAACATCCAACCACACCACACACGTTTCAGCGCCTCGTAGGCTTCATCAGTGAGGTATTGCGGATATCCCACAAGGAGCGGTGAACACATGGTCTACCTGCTTAGAGAGATCATTATTAAAATTATACACCTTTTATTTGGTAATGTTAGTTTAAGGTTAATTGACTGATAAGCTATAATTTAAAGCCCAGTTTTGGTGTTAAAGCTATTCATCAACTTAAAGGCACAAAACAAAAAAAGGATAAACAACATTTCGAAACTAGAAATTAAATTGGATTTTGTCATGGGCCAAAACACTACTTGTAGCTTCTAAAAATCAGCTGTAGAGAGATGTATGTTTAAGTTTGCAGCTAACATATTGTCAAGCCACTGCAGCCTGCGTATCCCACCATTCTCTGATTAACTTTGATCATTTAGATATTCAGCAGACATAAAGTGTCATAAAGTTCCAAAAATCAGCTCTCAGTGGTCATGCCTGCTGTTAGCCAATTCAGAAATAGGTATTGTACTCTTTATTTGGTAAATGTCTCCTAATGTACTATAGATCTATTAGACAGCGGCTCCTATCATTCCATTGCACTGCCTGGGTGGCAAGTGCAAGTAAAGTACCATTAGAGTGCAAGCTCTTCTGATCAATGCCTCATAAGGATGTCTGAATTCTGAGCACCTCTGGGCCATTGCCTACCACCATGCAATTAGGCTTAAATTATTTTAGAACAAGTACCTCAGATTATTAGATTGAAAGCTTTTTACATGAGCATATGCCACAGTTAGTAGATTGCAAGCTCTTTGGGGCAGTGTAACCTCAGTTTAATATAGAAGTGACATTATGATATATGGCAGATTATTAATACTTTATCTATAGATCATGGAATTAATATTGATTCTTTAAGCTTGTCTTGCAAAGTGTCTGGTTTCAACTCAGACTAACTCAAACCTTGTTACCCCCCTTCTTCTGCTCCTCCTTCTGCTCTTCTCACATTTGGGGTTGGTGTAGTGATGATGGGGAGGGGGGAGCTGGGATCACCCCACGCCCGAGCCCCGAAGCCCAGCCTCCCATCTCATTGGATGCCGGCAGGGGGAAGCTCTCAGCCCATGTGGCGTGGCCGAACCAGAATGTGTGTCATTTAAACAGTCTGAGATCAGTCAGAGACAGGGAGAGACAGTCTGAGACAGCAGGGACTGGGGAGAGACAGGTGAGGGAAGGGGAGACAACAAGGATATCCTGAGACAGCAGGGAGAGAAGAGGCATCCTGGGTCAAAGTGAAGAGACAGACACCAAACAGGTACAGGGGACAGCAGGGAGAGGAGAGACATCCTGGAACATAGTGAAGAGAGAGACATTGGACGCGAAAAAAAAGAGAGAGAGACATCCTGAAACGAAATCAGAAGGCAGAGAGGAAAGGCATCCATAGATACATCAGGGAGGGGAGAGAGAGAAGAGACAGCCTGTGAGATAAGGGAGGGGGAGAGAGGAGGGGACAAGAAGGAACAGATCCACTGCATCAAAGGGACCCAGTCTCACCTGCAGATTAGACACCCTCCCCATCCAAGAGACATCCACGACTGGGCTGAGCCATCCTTGCTCCAGAGAAGGTACTGTTTGCTATGTATCAATGTATTTCTTTAGAATGTATCAGTGATGCTGCAGAATGTAGAGATACATGGTACATCTATGGTGCAGTAAGAGAGGGGTGGATATGGGACCATCTGTCCCTCTGTCTGACAGGTACAGGAATCCTGCCTTATCACCTGCCCAGAGAATTACCCCTTAATTTCTGCAAGGGGTAGATCCCTATTTATTGATTTTACCTCGTCAGTTGGTGACTAATCCTTCAGTCCACAGATTACTGGGTTAACCTGTAAGGTGCTGAAGAAAGCACTTTAACCCTTTCATTCAGCCCTATGGTATTTCACGGTTATGGAAATTAAGATGTTTCATTGTTTGATTTAAGGAGAGATCAAATTATGATCTGTGAGATAAAATTGCCCCCTGGATACATTGTAGATAATTAAAGATATTAATTTATGTAGATAAGGGTGTGTGGTGGGATTGTGGCTATTCCGATTTGTGGTTAATATATTTATGGATTTGTGTGTATTATTGTGTTAATCTGAGATGGCTTCCCTGGGAGATACAGGAATGGCGTACATAGATTCTAGGCTGATGTGGGTACATGATGACATTCTAATCCTCACATGGCTGGGAAGGATCCAACGTAAAATATTGAAACACTTAAACATGGACATCTACTGTTTTTTTTACCTTTACAAATCCTTTGAATATTTGTAAAAAATCTGCCCCTCCCCAAACGTGGGCAAAAGGTGATTTATGACGCCTCATATTCGTCACATCTGGTGACATTATCACTAACACAGCACCTGTCTTAAATAAACACATGAAAATGTAAATCCATTGTTCAGTTCCATATTATCGTTAGTAAATACCGTTTATCTATATCTGTATATATTTGTGGTGATTTCATTGGATCCTGATCTACTGAAGATCTCTTTGTAATCAAACCAGGCTCGCTAGGCCCGACTGCAAATAATCCCTTAAGCCAAATGTCTCGTGTGCCCCATTTAAAACCAGGGACAATTTGTATCTCTTCCCTAGAAAACCTTGAAAACCTGTCAAGTGGAAGATGTTCTGTCTCATCAGGAGTTAAAACCCCAAATATTTCCATTGGATGAGGGCCAGTCACCCCCTCCTAACCCACTTGCCCCCTCCTTAACACTTGGTGCAATGGCACACATATTATCTACCAGAAATCCTGGGGCCCAGTCAAGGTACATTGTGTGGCTTTCTATCGCTCATTCATCAGCCTCTCGTTTTCCGATGAGAATGAGAAAAGAGTACCCCCTCAATAGCCCCCTCTTTCCCACCTCCAGTGGCAGACCCTGCTTGTTACCATGCATTTCAGTGTACACAAAGAAGCTTTGAGTTTTTAAAAACTGCAACGCCATCACAATCTCCATCTAGGGTATCCTGATGCTCCTTCAATGCGTCACGCAAATGTCGACTTTGCAAAATCGACACATAAAGGGATAAATTGTTTGTCCATGTCTATTTGTTTTACAGGGAAATGTATTGAGTAGTTTGAGTCAACCGAGGGGTAAAATTTCACCCTTTTCCTTCCCCCCACCCCCGTTGTATCACATTTTGCAACTTCAATACTGTATTTGAAAGTTCGTATTATAGATTGCAAGCTCCTCAGGCTAGCGTCTTTGTCAATCTGATTGTAGGACTTACAGAGTAGGGTCTATTGTTATACTACTAAAGTATAAGTTCCATTGGTAAGAATCGATCATTATCTAATTAAATCTTAGGCTTCTTGAGGCAAATGTTTATATCATACTAATAGTTTGTATTTTGGGGGTAGAATCTCATGATGGTTACCCGATTCTTGTCTCAATTTTGTTATAATATACTTTTACACCACTTGGCATGAAGATCCTTGAAAGAACTTCTCATAAGATGATAATGTTAGGCCTTTAGTGTTACAAAATATTTTACATGCACTAGACCGCAAGCTCTTCGGAATAATATGACCACCAGATTGTATTTTCCAAATTACAGTGTATCACCTATATACATTACTGTTCAGTAGGGGGCCTTTCATATTGTTGGGATGAGAGAAAATTTAATTGAAGGAAAACTTAAAATTAAGGATGTACTGGGCCTAGAGAACCCTAACTTTAAGACATTCAACATGGCTTGTGTACAGCAGAGATTTTATGACATATATTACACACATGAAAAAACATTTATGGTCCTTGAGATGTCTGTGCCAATTCATGTCCTCTGAAGATCAAGATAGTTTTGGGGAATACTAACATTCAGCATGAGATTAGTTGAGAAGAGCTCGTTGAGTTGGTGGTGATGAAGCTAAGGAGATCCTTTTGGGTACCACTGGGAGATGTGTATTTGCTTTGGAATGCTGGTGGGGAAAATATTTTTCAGTTGTGTCTCCCTTGAAAAGAAGACATTCTTTCTGGTCACATTTGAGACTGAACACTTGGACGTTTGTAGAATATGTAAAATAAGTGGTGAACGGTGTTGATGGATTTAACAAATATCCAAATGTTGGGCTACCAAATAGAAGCATTTTATTTTTTTTACTGAGAATGTTAATGAAGAAATGTCCCCGTACATTTGACTGACTCCAGAAGGTAAGTATTGCAATATCACCAACCTTACTGCCAGGAGTAAAAAGTCTCTTGTTCAGACACCCAAGTACAGAACATTTCATTAGCTTGGAATACTATAGCAGGGAAACATCTGTGATTTTTTTTCAATGGGGAAGTGTCATCAAAATTAGCAAACTTTTGGTTTCACTGTTTGGTGCCGAGATGATACATGGCTCAAACATACATCTTTATTGCACTTTCCTAAATGTCCCTCAGATTTAATGTGTTGTCATTGACTGTGTGGGTCTTGGTGACATCATTGATTTTGAAGGAAATACGTTAATGTATGGCTGCTTAAATAATGTGGACCTCCCTACTAGACAAAGTGCCAAAGCTTTTCATACAAATACTCAGAGGGGATTTAGGGTTACCTGGTTCTCTTCCAATTGAGTCAGGGGTAATACCTAGATCTTTGCTGGTCTTTGAAGACTGGGTTTGAGACGAACTGAAAGTAGATCAAGGGGAAGATGGAGTCTGTGGGCCTAATATTCTTTAACATATGCCTAGGAGTGAAGTGATGCTCTCCCTTTATCAAATTACTTTTTTTTAATACAACTAACTTTAAACATACAATGAGATCAGCTAGTTCAACCTTTACCAAATTATTATTTTGTTTACTTCCGCAAGCCAGAATGAGGAACGGACAGAAGAGTTTATTGAAATGAAATGATCTGTGGACAGCAATAAATCTTACGGTGACCGCACATGGTTTTAGTACATAATCTTTAGTAAGACCATTGCTACTCCAATAATTAAGGCAAAGACATCTAATTTAATTACATAATTTACCCCCAACATTAAAAAGATTTGCGATGACTCGTTTAACGTTAAATCATTGCGTACAGTTGAAAGCACATTGCTGTTGTCCACAAGGGCTAAATATGTGCATTCACCTATTCTGCTGTTGGTGGTGTGATATGGCTCTGCTTTTATTATTACCGATCAAAATGGTTTGTTTAGTAATTTGATTTAACACATAACTGTAGTCATCTGATTACTCTTGTAAGTCAGGAGGGTGAACTGGAATTTTAAGTAAATAGGAGATCAAATAGTTAAATGGCTGAAAAAATAACCTCACCTGATTTAAGTTTGCTTGAGTAATTAGTACGTCAGCTGGAAAAAAGTAATATGTAAAAAAAAAATGGTTAAATGAACACTATAGGCATCATAACCTTAGCTTAATGAAACAGTTTTGGTGTATAGATCATACCCTGCAGTCTCACATCTCAAGTCTCTGCCATTTGGCCACTTTTGTTTCTGTTTATGCAGCCATATCCACACCTCCCTGCATGTGACTTTCACAGCCTGCATGAAAGTAAATGGTTTCATTTTCAATCAGATGTTAACTAGCTTTAGAAGTTTTTGCCTCCTGTTCTGTTAATTTAACTTTAATCACACACAAGAGGCTCCTGCAAGGTCTAGCAGGCTATTAACAGAGCAGGAGACAAGAAATTCTAAATTAAACAGGATGTGCAATACAGGAAGTTTAAACATTAGATTTCACTTTACAGGAAGTGTTTAGGAAGGCTGTGTAAGTTACATGCAGGGAGGTGTGTCTACTGCTGTATAAACAAATTGATTTAACTCCTAAATGGTGGAGAATTGAGCAGGGAGACTGCAGGGGCACGATCTATAGACCAAAACGGCTTCATTGAGCTAAACTTGTTTTATTGCCTATCGTGTCCTTTAACTGAAAGAAATTAGTCTTTTTGCATCATATATAAAACAAATATATTATGTGCAATTACTAAGGTTTAAGTCACCAGAACAACTACAGCTTATTGAATTTGTTCTGGTGAGTAGAATCATTACCTTCAGGCAGTGGCATACACATGACCCATGGGGCCCCGGTGCGAAAATTGATCCGTGGGCCCCCCCCGCGTGCGGGCCGGGCCGCAACATATGGCGGTGGGCACCTGGTCGCAGGGGTTACAGGGCTGCGACCCCTGCGACCGCGGTATGTACGCCAGTGCATGCAGATGCACACAGACTTAAAGGACCACTACAGACACCCAGATCACTTTAGCTCAATGAAGTTGTCTAGGTGTCAGGTCCCTCTAGTTTTAACCCTGCAGCTGAAAACATAGCAGTTTCAGAAAAACTGCTATGTTTCACTGCGGGTTAATCCAGCCTCTAGTGGCTGTCTCACTGACAGCCGCTAGAGGAGCACACTGAACGTCCATAGGAAAGCATTGAGTAATGCTTTCCTATGGGCGGTTTGAATGCGTGCGCGGTCGCATTCGGAGCTGAGAGGCTGAGGGATCCCCAGCGCCAAGGGAGTCCGGCGCTGGAGAAAGGTAAGTGCTGAAGACACACACACACTTACAGACGCATACACACTAGCTAACAGACACACACATTTACTGACAGAGACACACTCAGCGACAGACATACATACACACTCACTTACAAAACATACACTCATTGACAAACACACACTCACTAACAGACATCAAACAGACTCACTAACACACACACTCAGTAAGACACACACAGTAACACACTCACTGACACTCACTAGCAGACACACACACTAACACTCACTCTAACACTCACACTAACACTCACACACACTAACACTCACTCACTCTAACACTCACACACACACACACTCTAACACTCACACACACTAACACTCACACACACTCACTCTAACACATGTTTTTTTTAAATGTAATCCCCCCAGCCTCCTTACCTTTTGTAGTGCTGGGGGGATTCCCTGGGGTCCAGTGGTGCTGCTGGGCTCCTGGGCGGGTGGCCGGTCGGGAAGGCGGGCAGGCAGGCGGGCGCGCGAGGGAGCACTCAGTGCTTCCTCTTCAGCTCCCTCGCGCGCCGCTTAGGGATGCCGGCGCCGGAAGATGACGTCATCTTCCAGCTCCGGTATCAGTGCGGTGCGCGAGGGAGCTGAAGAGCAAGCACTGAGTGCTCCCTCGCGCGCCCGCCTGCCTGCCCGCCCGACCGGCCACCCGCCTGCCCGGTGACAGCAGGGCCAGCCTCGGGGGGCCCTGGGGTGGCCGCCTCCTGGGCCCCCCAGGGGAAGAGGCTGGCCCTGTGGGTACATACCGGGTCGCAGGGGCGGCCGGGCCCCCTGGTGGGCCGGGCCCTGTCGCAGCCGCGACCCCTGCGACCCTGGTATGTACGCCACTGCCTTCAGGCTGTGATTGGATCAGGCTACCACTTCTGATGATGTCAGCTGACTGCTTGTTTTTCTGAGACAAACAGCATGCAGAGTTACAGCTTCAGGCTTGAATACAGTAAGATGTTGCTATATTTATGGAGGCATGAGGGGCCAAGGGCGGCTAGATGGTGGCTTTAACACTACAGGGTCAGGAATACATGTTTGTGTTCCTGACCCTATAGTGATCCTTTAAGCTTAGCCACACTGGACTGTATTTTCTGACCTGTGTAAATATCAAATACAATTTAAGGTGGACAGTCCTAAATTACTACTTGCTCTATAAAGTAATTAAAGAATCTCCAGGATCTTGTTTATTAAATGACACCATAACCACCGTACATCCTTGTAATGGTACCAAGCAGTTTTGGTTGCTGTCGCCTCTTTGTTACCCCCAAAACCATTTGCAAGTGATTTAAAAATGGGTCTCTCCTGCCTATAAATGATGGGGCAAAATTCCATTTTGTTAATTGTGACCTACAGTGTGTATAATACACGTCTCTCGTGTAATGCTGAAATTTCCCTGCCTTCGTGATCCAACCTTGGACAGCCATAAAAGGCTGAGAGTGATAGGCAAGTGATAGAGCCTATATACCTACCATTTAGATTAAGGCTTCACAGGCCCTGGATACCCCCAGTTTGCAACACATCTCTTGAAAACTATTTTGACAAACTCATAAGGGACTGCACCCATAGCCAGCTTACACCATAACCACCGCAATAAGCAATAGTTGTTATAATGCTGAGAGTGGCCCTTTAACTGCTCCAAATAAAGCACGTCAGAATGACTTATCTCGATTGAGCTAGTTCCTGTGTATCACGTGGCTTCAGAATAAATCCCCATTCACTCAAAACTAAAGTTTGCTTCAATCTCAGATCCCTCCCAATCGGCTTCTTAAAATCTAAGAATATTAATATTGCTCTACTTGAAGAGTGGACGTTCTTATTCTACATCTTAAAGTACACGTTGGGGAGCACTTTATATAATATATAATATGTCTGTATTGTTTTCTATTTTTTGTTTTTTATTTTGCGTAAAAATGTGATATTTTTATGCAAAAATCACCTTATTATAACTTACATTTTTACTAAAATATTTTTTTTGTCAGTTTTGGGAATGTGAAATTTTATACATACAGGTGGTATGTATGGATGTATTTATATTTTAGAGATTTCTGGTACGAGGTATAGATGCACTAACAGGAAGGGGGGAAACACAGAATCGTGAACACTATTTACTAAAATGTGAATTACTGGGAATTCAAAGTGAATTTTAAATTTTAACCCATTATAGCCAAATTCAAGAAAATCCAACCATTCAGCCATGTTTGCAGTTTGGCTATTTTTTTTTTTTTTAATTCTTTATTTTTGATTCGACACAGAATGCAGCATATCAAAATACAGTGGCTCACGCAGGGCCCGATCATAAAACAGTGTTACTTAGCTTTCAACAGTGGTTAAATGTTTAATCAGTTAGGAGACATTGGGTTTTGCCGCTCTGTGTCGGTTTTTTTTGGGGGGCAGTGATTGCCCGTATAGAAAATACAAAAAATACAAAGAGTACAAACAACACAAAAAAAAGAAAAAACAAGGAGCACAACGGTGCAACACACTAAGGCTGGATACAATAATCTCTGGGTATTTACTAAGGGTTTCACAGCGCTTTCAAGCCGACTCACGTTGAGTACATTGAGTCATTTTTAGCTGTTCTGCGTGCGGCGGTACTGATTATTGTGTTGTCGGTTAGGTGCTCTGGGCTATGTCTTGTGACCGTCTGCGTCGTGTCATGGTGGTTGTGCTGTCGGTTTGGAGTTGCGTCCGTTGGCTATACTCAATATCGGTCCGTCCCATGAGCCATCCCAAGTCGGGGTCTATTGTGGGCGCGGATGGCGGTGCCCTGTCATCGTTTCTTGTGGCCGTGGGTGGCTTCATGGAGGGCCCCCAGTGACGGGTCGTGCTTTGTCAGTGGTCATTGTGCTGTGCTTTGTAACCGTAATACTAGTTTGTAGATGTGGTGTAACGTCTAAAGGTGGGACGGGGGGGAGGGAAGGGGAGCGCTGTTCGCTGGGGCGTGCGGCGGATCTAGGCCCTTCCGAGGCCTCTGTCCTTATCCTGCTTATGTAGGATTTAGTCGTCGAGATAGTCTTCCCAAGGTTGCCATATTTTATGAAATGTTTTCTCCGTGTTCCTAATTTGGGCTGTGAGTTTGTCCATCAAGTGTGTGTCTTTAACTTTAGCTATCACGTCGTCGTCTGTAGGTAATGTGGGCTTGAGCCACGCCTGGGCTAGAGCCCTTCTGGCAGTTTGGCTATTTTGATTAGAATCCTGATAATTCACATGCACATATAACGTGACAGGGGTGATTAGTCATTTAACCAGCAATTATTTCAAACTGACCAGGCATTACAGATATTGGCTATATAGCCGAACTGAGAAATTCTCAATTTTTTGCAGCCTGGATATTTTGACCTAGCACAAATTGGTAATAGGTACGCTGAGTTAGCAACTAGTAGTAGATACCTGCGATAGCTTTCCAGTGGAAGCCGTACCAACTAACAATGTTACATAAAGAGTAGTAGATACCTGGAGTAGCCTTCCAGTGGAAGCAGTAAAGTCTAACTTAGTAAAGAAATTAAGGAATACTTGAGATTGTCCATCATTTTCACAAAATAATATTTGTAATATTTTCCCCACAATTTTCCCTACAAGGTGTGCACGAGATGTGTTCTTTTGATGACTATGAGTGATGTCAGTGTGTTGTTGTCACGAAACGTTTGTAACACTGTAGCACGCTGTGCGCCTTGTCGCATCCAATCAGTGTCAGGCTGCTGCGTACCGAGATATATCCTGCCATGTTTAAACTTCGCAGCTCAGATTGTCTGGCGTAAACCATGCAGGGGACTTTGTGTCTGGTCAGCGAGATGGAAACGATTGGTTTGTTAACAGTTGTAATGATCGAAAGCGGAACACACGGCACCATGGGAAGACCTAGCAATGGCGCAGCTTATTAAAGGCATGTTTGCCTCCCAGAATCCTTTGCTCCTTTATTGTTACTAAGTACACGTTACAGAGACCCATGACGATGAAATACTTCAAAAAAAATAATATTGGCTTTGTTTCTGTTTAACCCATAGATTGCTGGATGATTATGTCATCTTTTGATTACAATGTCTTTTCATTCTCGTTAAATCTCTGTCTTTGATGTGTCTGTAAAGTGTGTATTTAGTTAGTACTGGGGATTTTGTGCACTCTCTTTAGAAGACGAAATTCGTCATTGTCTAATTGTATTTTTTTTTGTACATTTAACATAATCAGACGAATTTTATTACCCTTTAACTCTGAATTAAAGGGACCTCATCACGTATAATAAAATCTCATTGTTTTACTCAACTCGAATGTCAGTAATATAGGAATAAATTCTATATCAAACTGCCCAGTAATTTACAAGATTATCTTCCATAAAATACAATAAATTTGCACTTTGGTAGCCTTGAGTCTGTTCAGGTTATGGTGTCATGCAGCAGGTGTAAAAGGTCAAATCTTTGTCAAAACGTTAAAAACTTTCTCTCGCTTACTACTGAGCTTGTTAACAAAGATGAAGGATGAAGAAGTGTTTGTCGTCTGCCTCCAGCAGAGACAGTAATGCTTAAATGGCCAATCTTGGTTTGAAGATTCATACAATTAATAACCTGCATCTTTAAAGGTCCCATATTAGTTGTCCGATCTATCATACAGTGTCCCACCAAGGAGATATTTTGTAAAGTTAAAATAAAGCACGCTGTTTGCTGTACAGAATAACTGTTGACTGTGCTCAAATGTGCAGAGTTAAATTAATTATGGGGGAATAGTTATCTCTGTAACATGGGCAGTGTTGTGGCCTGATTCTATTGTCGCAAAACACCAACAGGCAGCCATTTTGAAGGTATCAGTGATGTTAAGCATGTGTAGTACCTGATCATAGTGTCTTTAAAGGCTGTAAATGATTAATGCCCTTTTAATGCCCGCAGGCTTTAAAGATGGAGGACATTGTCATAGCAGGGATAGCAGGAAGACTGCCAGAGTCAGACAATCTACAGGAATTTTGGGAGAATTTAATCGGTGGGGTGGACATGGTCACAGAAGATGACAGGAGGTGGAGACCAGGTATGTGAAAAATAAAAGAATAATATATTAATGTTTTGTCAAAAATCAAACAATGTGTAAATGATGAAACAAAAGCTACCCAGTCATGTTTATAAAAATTTGTAAATCAAGCAATATTCTTAAACCACAACTGTGGCTTGTTGCTGAGTAGAGACAAAGTTCCAGGAGGTATAGGGATATGGGGCTCCCTAATTTGCCATTTTAAGTCCTGCTTGGAGATAATGGGATCGATATAGTGCTCTCTGGTAACCTGCTAAACCTTGATTTTACCTTAAAGGACTTGGAAAGTGATACTATTTAAATAGATAATGTACAATGTTAAATATGATGAAAATGAAACTGAACTGTTAATTTTGGTTGCAATATTTGATTTCCAGGTCTCTATGGTTTACCATCAAGGAACGGAAAACTGAAAGAAATTAGCAAATTTGATGCCTCGTTTTTTGGTGTACATCCCAAACAAGCGCACACGATGGATCCACAGTTACGTTTGCTTTTAGAGGTCTGCTACGAGGCCGTAGTAGATGGAGGTAAGAGTAGATAGATGTCCTTAAATGGACTCAGTGGTATAAAAAAAATCCCTGTTTTATTAATGCTTTAACCCCTTAAGGACCAAACTTCTGGAATAAAAGGGAATCATGACATGTCACACATGTCATGTGTTTTTAAGGGGTTAAATAAAAAAAATGAAATACCTTCAAAGATTACGAAGCTGTGCATCTGAGAGAAACTGACGGCAGATTCAGCCAGACCGTGTCCTCACCAGGAAGACGCTCTTTCCATCAGAAGTGTCTCAGTCTGATATGATCTAATTTTACCCTCAAACCTTTTTCTAGCAAATAAATTAATGAGATAAGTAGTTTTTCCCACAGCCAACATCACATAGGGTGCACTACTCACCACGATATTTGCAAAGTTGTTACAGTGCTTAGACAGACCGTTTTAAAGGAAACTTCAAAGTACAAAGTACCATAATGCATGCTGATGTAGTAGTTATGGTGCTGATAGACTGCGGTGCCTTCTCCGTGCTATGAGTCAAAACATTTCCTGCCTGTTGCTAATATGAAAGTTCCACTTCCTTTAGTAGCGTGAATTATTTCATATTTGGAGGTCTAAAAGTCCCTGCTGTTCCTCATTAAAACTGTGAGCGCCCAAATAATTTTTGCTTTCCTACTTATGTACTAGGGTTTGCCAGCCTGGTATTATGGTATTTGAAAAGAGTGCGGGTTACTCCTATTTTTAACATATTTGGATGGCATTGATCAGCTGACCCACTTTGCCTGATATTGCAAAAAAATATCAACTTATGAAATTAAACTAATTCATAGAAAAATGTTTCTAGGCGACAAAGTGAAATATATAAGGTCGTAGTGCCTCTGTGCTTTTAGAGCAGCGACATCTTTGCTGTAATGTAAATAATACAGTTTAGAAGCTACTGAATTTCTGATTCTTTCTAAAAGTCATAATACAAGTCCAGATTTGCTATTCAAATATAAATTCCTGCAGGCAGTCGTTACCAGAGGCAAAAGTAACAAGCAAACAAAATAATTTCGTTTATAATATATGTAGGGTTTTTGCAGAACATAAATATCTGTTATTTGTATGTTAATTGGTTGTGCAGTATTTTTTATATAGTTTGTTCTATATCCATCTCTATATTTTATATCATATTTCCACTTTAGGGAACACATTTAAATACCTTGTATGATATAGAACGTGTTTTTCATGTGTGATTGTTTTACATTTTGTTTTTAAGGGTGTATTCTTTTGTTTTTGTTTGTATCCTTGTGTGAGGGTATTTGTTCTATCAATATATCCAATCAATGGCCACTTTATTGTGTAAACCTTTCTAATACTGGGTGGGATGCTCCTTTGTCCCCCTCCCACCCCATTCTTTATGGTATGGGTTCTACATGGTGCTAGAAAGAGCACATTGTGATCCTAGGGCCGTGGTGACATGATAGCATCACTTAGTTTATTCAGATTTGTTGGCTGACTAATCATGCTGTAATCTCCAACATATTTCAAACTTACTCTCTTAGATTGAGATATGGTGGTAGTGGAGGCCTCTGATATGGTGACTGTGGAGGCCTGGGATATGGTGATTGTAGAGGCCTGGGATATGGTGATTGTGGAGGCCTGGGATATGGTGATTGTAGAGGCCTGGGAAATGGTGATTGTGGAGGCCTGAGATATGGTGATTGTGGAGGCCTGGGATATGGTGATTGTGGAGGCCTGGGATATGGTGATAGTGGAGGCCTGTGATATGGTGATTGTGGAGGCCTGAGATATGGTGATTGTGGAGACCTGAGATATATATAAAAAAAAAAAAAAAGCTGAATGGTGGCTCAGAGGTAACATAGCACCCCCAGGACTGCAAAGTACCCAGGTTCAAATCCGTTACTGGGCACTGCTGGGGCAACCTCGTTTGGCACTCTGAAAGTTACGGTGGGAACCGTGACAGTCTTCCAAAGGAGTGCCAAAAAGCTTGTTCCTCTCAAAGGGTAATTCACACAAGGCTGCCTTAGAAGCTGAATCAGCTGTCCATGTTCGTAGCCACAGTGCTCTTCTGGCCACTGATGACAAACCAATAATTCTTGCGGATAAACAAAAAATCTCATCGGTGGCATCCGAAAAGAAATTCGTTAGATAATTTCAGGAGGAACATAAGCTGGGCAGGGTCGGTATCAGACTTCCTCATAAAAGACTCTTCAAGGGCTTGGAGCCAAACGCTCTGTGCCTTGAGAACTGCAGAACCTGCTATCAGTAAAGGAGGAGACTATATTTAAAAGAAGAAAAACTGCCACAACAAGAGGACATAGTCTTAAATTAGAGGGACAAAGGTTTAAAAATAATATCAGGAAGTATTACTTTACTGAGAGGGTAGTGGATGCATAGAATAGCCTTCCAGCTGAAGTGGTAGAGGTTAACACAGTAAAGGAGTTTAAGCATGCTGGGATAGGCATAAGGCTATCCTAACTATAAGATAAGGCCAGGGACTAATGAAAGTATTTAGAAAATTGGGCAGACTAGATGGGCCGAATGGTTCTCATCTGCCGTCACATTCTATGTTCTATGGAGAACTGGGATATGGTGATTGTGGAGGCCTGGATTATGGTGGTAGTGGAGGCCTGTGATATAGTGATTGTGGAGGCCTGTGATATGATGATTGTGGAGGCCTGAGATATGGTGATTGTGGAGACCTCAGATATAGTGATTGCTGAGGTCTGTGATGTGGTGATTGTGGAGGCCTGAGATATGGTGGTAGTGGAGGCCTGAGATATGGTGATTGTGGAGGCCTGTGATATGGTAATTGTGGAGGCCTGAGATATGGTGGTAGTGGAGACCTGAGATATGGTGATTGTGGAGGCCTGTGATATGGTGATTGTGGAGGCCTGGGATATGGTGGTAGTGGAGCCTGAGATATGGTCATTGTGGAGAACTAAGATATAGTGATTGCGGAGGCCTGTGATATGGTGATTGTGGAGGCCTGTGATATGGTGATTGCGGAGGCCTGTAATATGGTGATTGTGGAGGCCTGGGATATGGTGGTAGTAGAGGCCTGTGATGTGGAGATTGTGGAGGCCTGGGATATGGTGGTAGTGGAGGCGTGGGATATGGTCATAATGGAGGCCTTTGATATGGTGATTGTGGGGGCCTGGGATATGGTAATAGTGGAGGTCCGAGATAATGTGATTGTGGAGGCCTGAAATATAGTGATTGTAGAGGCCTGAGATATGGTGGTATTAGAGGCCTAATCTATGGTGATTGGTGATTGTAGAGGCCTGGGATATGGTGATAGCGGAGGCCTGAACTATGGTGATTGTAGAGTCCTGTGATATGGTGATTGAGGAGGCCTGTGATATGGTGATTGAGGAGGCCTGTGATATGGTGATTGTAAAAGCCTGTGATATGGTGATTGTGAAGGCACATGAAATGATGATTGTGGAGGCCTGAGTGTGGCGGACCACTGGCACCTCGACTGGGTACCTCTGCCAATCATGCTTCCTACCGAGTACTAAAAGCACTGCACCAGACACCTTAACCGGTGTAGCCCCGTTAGCTGCCGCAGCTTGGCTCAGGTCTCGCTGTCCCTTCCCACCCTGGACCAACACCTAGATCCAGCTCCCAGTGGGAAGACCTCTCCTCCAAGAGAGTATAGCAGGTATATTAATCCAAAGAGCAGTATAGCAATACCCCCCACACATGAGCCAAGGCTTAATGCTGGGAAGTAGTCTGTTTAATAGCAGCACAGTTACAGAATTTATATAAGTCACAAACTCCTCCCCTGTGCCTGAGAGATAACTGAGTGAGGAACTGTACAAACTCAATTATCTCCAGGTACAGAAAAACATACAATTTACAAACACCCCAAAGGTACCCCTAAAACACATAAAACCCCACAACTCTGATCTGGGTGACCAACATATCCAAAAATCACCGGTTCAGGGGTTTGGGTTTTTCATGGAAGTCATAATTTGACCGATCGCACACATGGTCCTATGCCCAAAAAACTGTTCCAGGGAAAAAGTGGTTGCGGTCGGTCAAATTCGGTAGTTTAAAAATGAACGTAGTCAATAGTCATACCGTGGAGCTTGTTCCCCTTGACCAGATGAACGATTCTACTGAACAGTGCCCTTCCAGGATGTGTAGAAACAAACGCAGGCAATTGATGGAAGTCCAGCGGTGTTCGGAAGTTTCAGTGTCCGATTTCAGTTCCATGAACTTGACACCCAAACACCGCTGCCTTCGTTTGCGGGAGCAAGATGGAACCCAGGCGAACAATTGGAACACTGCGGTTAGAATAATTAAGAGGTGATGATAGGGCTTAATAAGCTCCCGGGTGGTCCATAGTTCATGCGTCAATTCGGGTTCCTGAACAGCAAAGGAAAATGGCACGAACTAAGGGTTTTCCCATGGTTTTTACATAGTCCTGTGGCAAGAAACTGGCAAGCAGGCTCCTCCAGCAGCCCGTGGTCAGGTTACTTTCGCCACACTGAGATATGGTGACTGTTGGGGCCTGAGCTATGGTGGTTGAGGAGGCTTGTGATATGGTGATCGTTGAGGCATGTGATATGGTGATTGAGGAAACTAAAACAAACTAAAATGCTGCACAGGCAGACTCCTTGCACCATTACCACTTCAAGACACTGAAGCGTAATTTTTTAACCCCTTAGGGACCAAACTTCTGGAATAAAAGGGAATCATGACATGTCACACATGTCATGTGTCCTTAAGGGGTTAAAGGACCTATTGTGTGCCACCCACGACTGACTGACCAGATATTTGCATTAATGAGCAGATGTACAGATTTGTGTAAGAGTAAAAAAAAAGAAATATGACTTTTAATCAGGATTCCAGTTCATACGTATAATGTGTAAGTGATGCTTAGGATGAGGTCTACAAGAATGGACACCCCGTCTTTTGGGAGATATACAGTCCCAATAGGTTACATTATTATTCACTAACACCAAATTTTCTCATGCTGCAAAACCTGCATGTCATTGGGACAATCAATTTCTTGTTAAAAGACTGTGGAGAAGCGTATATGTATGTATCGCCTGTCTACATATATTCTCCTCCTCCCCCCTGGAACCCCTTGGATTAGGGGTCATACACCCGAGTTTAGCTACCTATTCGTATGCATCGGTGTCCTATAAAATTAGTTTATTTTACTTACACACCTAAATACTAATGCAATGTTACTTGGATCATAATACAGGAGCTCACTGCCACACTAGACCTGCTTTGTTTTTGGTTTTTTAAATTCAATAATTCTTAATAGTCTTGTGCATTCTCTGATCCAATTTTTCCTTTTCGTTTATTTGAAAGATGCCCTTGAGATTCATTAGGTCATCATTTAACTGAAAAGAGGCCTGCGTAATAGCTATGTGACTACGCATGCAATGTTATCTAGCACTATTCAAGTGTTTTTTTAAATGTTTGATTGAATACTAGTTTTGATAAATGTATAATTGGTTCTACCATACCTTTTTCTTTTTTTTTTGACATTCTTTATTTAGTTTTGTGGTTTGTCAAGAAATAGCAGTACAAACATTTGTTTCCATAACAGTGTTCCGTTAATGGTCCCTTTTGCCAAATCCCTTCCCATAACTCCCCCCTTCCCGAGGCACGCGCCTGCTATCAGGGCTCCGCTGGCGGCTGACGTCCCACTGGGCGGCAGGGACCGTCCCCCAAGGGCCGTCAGGGGTGTCGTTACTCTCATTCCCCTCCCTCCATTCCGCGCCCCCATCCCCCAGTCTCGGGCCCCAAGCGGTAGGGTTGTGGATAAAGCGGTGGTTAGGCGAGGGTGCGCCTCAGTGCGTTGTTGGGTTGGGGTACCTTGGTTTGAGGCGCGGGCCGCGCTCCCCCCCCTGAGGGGGGTGATGGGTGTGCGGGTCTGGGTGTTATAGCGTCCCTGCGCCATCCTAGAGAGAAAGGGGGCGCCCCTAGTTCGTCTGCGTCGCCTGGGTCGTGACCAAGTATAGGGGGTCCATGGGCGGGCCACTCCCCTGGATGGACGGGTCGGGGCCACGCCCAGGCCCTCCGGATCCCTCTGGGGGCTGTCAGGTGTCAGGGACTGGTGGTGTCATGTGGGCTTCCTGCCCCCCAGGGGCCCCCCGGGGCCAGTGCGTGCAGAGCGCGTTCCCTTTTGGGCATCCGTCCAGTCATGTGCATCGAGTGCATCTCTCCCTACTCAATCTCACCCCAGCTCCTCACCGTCTATGCGGGCTGGGTTGGTTACGTTGTGTGTGTGGCTCCCTCGATCCCTATCGAATGAAAATCTAGGTTGTGCGGTGTTAGTCTTGTGTGTGTACTGGGTCCTTTATTTTGATTGGGGGGAGTGAGCTGGGTTCCCCCGGGTGCCAGAGCGGGGACGGGGTGGAGAGAAAGAGGAAAAAAGGGGGAAAGGGAGGGGGGGGTCCCGCGTCCCATTAACCGTCCCCAGCCTCTCTCCCAGGTCCCTGATGGGTCGGCGCCTCCCGCCCCTGGCCAGCCATATAGGTGATCCAGGGGGTCCAAAGTCGGGTGCAGCGTTCCTGTGTTCCTCGTAGTTCAGCCGTGAGGGTCTCCATCGTGTATATTTCATCTACCTTATCCAGCCATTGGGAGAGCGTGGGAACATCTGTCGACTTCCATCTGGCGGGGATTAGGCTCTTGGCGGCATTGAGGAAGTGCCGAATTAGAGATTTTTTGTAGCGTGGTATTGGCATTTGCGTGTGGTTGAGTAACATGGGCATAGGTTCCATGGGGATATCTTCTTCTAAGATTTCCATGAGTTTGTCATGGATCTGTTGCCAGTAACCTGTGATCCGAGGGCATGTCCACCAGACATGCAGGTCTGTTCCTTCAGCGGCTGTGCATCGCCAACATGAGTCGTCCGATGTCAGCCCCATGGACCTCAGCCTGGACGGGGTCCTATACCAGCAGGTCAAGACCTTGTAGTTAAGTTCTCTCATTTTAGTACTTAGTATCCCTTGGTGTGTGAGAATGTGGATCTTCTCCCATTGCTGGTCCGTCAGTGCGATCCCCGTTGCCTGTTCCCACTTAGCGTGGAAGTGCGCCGGAGCCCCCTGGTCAGCGGCCAATAGCATTGCGTAGAGCGTCGATATTCCACGGGTCAAATGTTCTTCGCTGGAGCAGAAAGTCTCGAATTGCGTGGGGTCCCTATGCAGTAACTGTTTCCCTTGGAGGGCGGCGTAGTACCATACCTTTTTCTTTTCTACCCACAGCGGTATGATGATGTCACTATTACAAAAATGCAATGTGTAGCATGTGAGCCTAAATAAAAATCTTTGACAAAAAAAAAAAAAGACTGTGAAGATCTTACTGTTGGCAATTACTGGTTATAAAGTGTGGTGTCAATCAAAGTGATGATGTGGACCTTTATAGAGAATAATACTCCCATCTAAAAATTGTATAGGCCAGACTGATAACAAATGCATAGACATATAGGGACACTGTAAGCAAAATAAGAGCCTTTTGGTGCTCCATATGATAAACCATTTCTCTTTGTTTGTTAGCCGGCTCATTTAGTATCATTGGTTTAATGAAATGAATATGTTTCTGTATATTGACTGTTGCCCCTCTTCTGTTAAGATAGACATAATGAGTACAATATGTCCTCAGCAGTCAGATGTGCATTAGCCTCATGCCCAAATTACACTCATGGCATTGTACAATTACTAGTTTGTTCTGGTACGGTGGCTTCCTCAAGGACCAGCGGTTATATTGATGTCCTCATGCAGTCTTTGGTAGTTGTGGATGTGTTGTGATTCCCTTGTACATTATTATAAAAAAATAAAAAAAAAACACACGTTTATTTTATTATTGTCCCTAGGTATCAACCCATCTGAACTTAGAGGAACCAACACAGGAGTCTGGGTGGGTGTTAGTGGTTCAGAAGCAGGAGAAGCTTTCAGTCGAGATCCAGAAGAGTTGCTTGGTTACAGCATGACCGGGTGTCAACGTGCCATGTTCGCCAATCGTATCTCTTACTTCTTCGACTTAAAAGGTATCATCAAAAAGCAATGACTGACACAGGCATTCAGTGCTTAGAAAAAGCAGTTTTAACTTTTTTTCGACAGTCTTTATTTATGTTTTGTGTCATTGTTTTACATTGTATTAGTTTCATCACAGTGTATCAGTATGGTAAAAGTATAGCAGCATTGACATTGCGTTTAGACCTTGGATAACATAGACACATTACCATAACCGTGGGCTTGTCTTTCGATTCAGTACAAAACTGCTTTCCGCCTCATGGGCGTTTGTGACCTTCGTTCGCATTCTCGCGTTTAGTAAATGATTTGTGTTCGTGGTTGTCTATGGTTGTCTGCTGGTGCCTGTGGTATCATTGGTTACGTTAAGACCTGCATTTGCGGTCATGGTTCGTATCCCTGACAGGGGGTTGGGTCATCAGCCCTTTATTTCGGCTGTACTCGTAGCTGCAAGTTTAGTCGTTGACTAGTTAACCATCCCGATCGGTCGTTGTGCCAGTGTTGTGTATCACGTCTGTAGTTGTATACAGGTCTACAGACAGTTTTAACTTTTATTCTTCACTTTTTGGAAATTGCTCTCCTTTCCAGGTCCTAGTCTGGCCATCGATACTGCTTGTTCCTCCAGCTTGTTGGCTTTAGAGAATGCTTACAGGGCCATCCACCACGGTCAGTGCAATGCAGCCATCGTAGGAGGTGTCAATGTGCTGCTGAAGCCCAATACCTCTGTACAGTTCATGAAACTTGGAATGTTGAGTCCTGACGGAACCTGCAAATCATTTGATGCTTCCGGTAAGAGAACATTAAACATATAGAATGTAAAATAATGGCTTATAAATAAAAAGAGCAGAATGATAGCTCACATCAACAAAGGGTAGTATGATGGCTTGTGTATGTATAAACTAAAATAATGACATGTATAAAGAGCAGACTTATTGCTCACATTTATAAAGAGCAGAATAATCGCTCACATGTATTTAGAGAAGAATAATGGCTTACATAAAAAGAGCAAAGTTGTAAATAGGAAGCAATCAACTGTAGACTTCACTTGGTTTTCCGTATGCTCTCATCCCCACTTATGTGTGCACATGTAGCATTGTTTATGTGTGTGCTGACGTTATGTGAATGAACGTTACATCTGATGACATTGCCTCTTCGTGGATACTGAGGTTTAAATTATCCCTGTTTGGCAATAAATGTGTTACCGTCACAGGAGCTTTAGCTTAAAGTCTGTGTGTGGCTGATTGGCTGCCCAGGGTTCCAATTTAGAACTTTGACATGTACACATCTGTGCAAACTGCAGGTGGCTCTGTAACGTATTGCTGTGCACTAATTTGGGGTACAAATCACAGGTGGGTAAAGGATCAATTATAATAAATTAGTTCAAAGTCGCATGAATAATTTTTCAAGTTCACAAATGTACAATCCCTCTAATTATAGTGGTTAACAAGGTGGATTCAATGTCCTTACAGCGGAATTCTAGGACCATGTCCTCTGGTTTTCCACCGACAGGGTTAGTAAGCATACTGGAACATTTCTTTAAGTCAGCTTCTCTATCCTCAAATTCGAAATTCACTTTATATTCTTACTCATGTAAATAGAGCTGTAACAGAGAAAGCCAGGTAGGACATTTAACCATTAGCTGTTAAGGAAGTTCATACATAAATTGCCTTTAATATTTTCTTGTTAAGACTTGCTGGTTGATAAGTAGTTTGCTTACGAAATCAACAGCTGTCGCTCATGTTTTGCTTTTTATCCTTTACAAGGAAACGGGTACTGTCGCTCCGAAGCCGCTGTCGCAGTATTAGTCACTAAGAAGTCTTTGGCAAAACGAGTTTACGCAACTATTGTAAACGCAGGAAGCAATACTGATGGATATAAAGAGCAAGGTGTGTTGTATAGAATCATATATTCTCATTATCTACCCTTATAAATAGTTTAAAAAAGATATATATGTTACAATAGGTATATTTAAATCATATCACATACAACAGTAACATCAATAATTTAAGGACCACGATAGTGTCAGGAAAACAAACTCGTTTTCCTGACTCTATATCAGTCACTTACCTTAATCCAGCACCGGGCTCCCTCAGTGCTGGTGACCTCTCCTCCCCCCCTCCCGACGTCAGCTCCCGAGAGGGGAGCCGAATGTGCATGCGCGGCCAGAGCCGCGTGCACATTCTAACCGCCCATAGGAAAACATTACTCAGTGCTTTCCTATGGACGTTCTGCGTGCTCAATGCGATTTTCGCATTAAGCGACGCTGAAGCAACTCTAGCGGCTGTCAGGAAGACAGCCACTAGAGGCTGGATTAACCTCAAATGTAAACATAGTAGTTTCTTTGAAACTGCTATGTTTACAGCTGCAGGGTTAAAACCTGGGGGACCTGGCACCCAGACCACTTCATTGAGCTGAAGTGGTATGGGTGACTATAGTGGTCCTTTAAGATCAGTTGCAGTAATAAACTAAGCGCAGACACATATATGTCAGTTATTTGAAATTAAGATATTTGTACATATAAATAAATATCATTATAAATTAAAATGTCAACAAAAACTCGGTGCTTAGTAAAAAAATCATCAGGTATCAGTGAAATGCAAGCATGTTATCTGCTGCATATTTACCCACAAATGTGTGCATTGACACATAGTCCTCCCCCCTAGTACAATAAGATATTTATGTCCGGTCACTGGGAGTAAATGTTAACACATATTTCTCAACTGTTTGAAACAGTCATTTTGAACTTAATCCCGGTCATACCACCTTACTAGTAAATGTTGTTGGAATAATGATATATATCTGCCTACATCAAATCTTCATAGAATATAAAATTGTTCTATAATTGTAAATCGCTGCAGAATATGTTGTCCCTATATAAATTATAATAATAATAATAATTTGAGGGTCGTCTTAATTCTAACAAAATCCAGGGAGCCGTCCATCGTTTACTTTTTCTTTGTCAACAGGTGTGACGTTCCCATCTGGAGAGATCCAACAACAATTGCTGACCTCTCTTTACAGAGACGCGGGGATCCCGACCAGTGAGGTTGAATATGTGGAAGCCCATGGCACAGGCACAAAGGTAATAGAAAACGTCTCCTAAGATTGTCATGATTTGCTCTCCGTAGATGGTACATTTACTTGGGATCCCATCCATTTTAGTGCCACATGCCTTCAGCTGAACCTCATATGACTCGGTGTGTTCTTCATGTTTTCCTCTGCAGGTTGGGGATCCTCAGGAAGTCAACGGCATTGTCAGTGTATTTTGCACATCAGATCGGGAACCTCTGTTAATCGGATCCACCAAGTCTAATATGGGACACCCAGAGCCGGCCTCTGGTCTTGCTGCTTTGGCCAAGGTAATAAGGCTGTTGACTAGAATACAGATGACTCATTAGGACATTGATTGTCCTAATGTGTGTAGCATTGGGAATGGAATTGGGTGAAACGTAGACAGAACTAACTGCCACTCCCATCTGCCCTAAGTTCAATACAACGCCCTGGAGATCCAGTAATCAGCTGCAAATAAGTGCAGATTCAGCAAATTCCTATAACACACCTTGTTCGTTATAATCACCAAACATACAATATACACCAAAAATGTTTTTAATACATTGCTACATGTGTCGTTTTTTCCTTTGTCAATCTTTATGCCAAATGGAAGTTGGAACTACAGATAAAAGAAAAATGAAGGGCAATCCTTGAAGTGTCTGTAATATATACTTACTCCATGTCACACTTTCCTGGATTAGTAGACTGGAATTAATGAGAAATGGAATATTTTTTTTAGTGATGTCTTATCTTGCACTGGCTTCCCAGCATTCTAATTAGAACCTTGCCATGCACAGGGTATATATAGACATACATCTTGGTTTCTGTAGTATTTTGCTATGAAAAGTCAGTATTGTATGGATCTATGACATGCAACTAATATTGTGTAATTTTGTCTTGTTTCATCATCTCTTCTGAAATCCAGGTAATTCTTTCCCTGGAGCATGGAATCTGGGCTCCAAACATTCACTACAAAAACCCAAACCCTGAGATCCCTGCCCTGCAGGATGGACGTATCAAAGTTGTGTCTGAACCCACCCCAGTTAAAGGCGGAATTGTTGGTATCAACTCTTTTGGTTTTGGTGGATCAAATGTGCATGTCATTCTCAAACACAATGAGAAGAAGTCCTCCGATCAGGTAACCCTTCCACTTCCTCGACTGGTCCAAATCTGTGGAAGGACACAAGACTCAGTGGAGAGCCTGTTACAGCAAAGTAGAGACCTGGCTACTGACAATTTCATACACTTATTGAATGATATATCTGGGGTTTCACCGCCAGCCATGCCATATCGAGGTTACACAATTGTGGGAACAGACAGTGACATTAAGGAGGTCCAACAGGCGCAGTCCTCTGGAAGACCCCTCTGGTACATCTGCTCAGGTATATCAAAATGACTTTCTAATATATTTGCTCGTCATTCCTTTCTATGCCAAAAACAAATGCAGTGTGATAGATATTGATGGCATATCTGGAAAAATATACCAGTTGCATGCTAGGAAAAATAATTTGGTGAAAATGGTGATAAAGTCAGGTTTGGTAGCAAAATACTTAAGCAGACTTTCTAATTTGGAACTGGCAAGGGGCCTCCACTCAGTCACCAGCAATAAAAAAAACAGACTCTTCTGAATTGCTTTATCATGTTAACAAAATGTTATTGTGGTCACCACCAAGATAGGTAGATTGTTTGCCCTTATAAGTTTCTTTATAGAATAGGTCATCCTTTAAATAATAATAACTGGAGGTAATATTGATCAAACTAGGCTTAACAATATTAACTGCACCTGGAGGTGAAGACTGATGTATGATGAGAATGTCATTGACTCGCGTAAAAACTATCACTTTTATAAACTTTGTAGGAATGGGAACACAGTGGAAAGGAATGGGCCATAGCCTTATGAACCTTCCCGCATTTCGAGAATCTATCCTGCGCTCTGATGAGGCACTTAAGGGAACAGGGTTGAAAGTGTCTGAGCTTCTCCTGAATGCAGATGACAGCACCTTCGAAGACACAGTCCATGCTTTTGTGGGTCTTGCTGCTATCCAGGTAGGAAAATTATATTTCAGCTCTATGTAGGCTCTCGAGTTGGTCACCAAAATAAAATGACACACTCTGATCAGCCACAACATTAAAACCACTGACAGGTAAGGTGAATAACATTGATTATATCATTACAATGGCACCTGTCATGGTGTGGGGTATATTAGGCAGCAGGTGAACAGTCAGTTCTTGGATTTATTGTGTTGCATCTGAGTGACTTTGACAAGGTCCAAATAGTGATGGCCAGACAACTGGGTCAGAGCATCTCCAAAACGGCAAGTCTTATGAGATATTCTCAGCACGCAGTGGTTAGAGCTACCAAAACTTGTGCAAGGAAGAACAACCAGTGAACCGGCACCAGGATCACGAGCGCCCAAGGCTCATTGATGCATGTGGGGAGCAAAGGCTAACCCGACTGGTGAAATGACACACAAGAGCTACTATAGCCCAAATTGATGAAAAACTTATTGCTTGACATTATAGAAATAAAATTGGAACTAAGTTGTTATGGTGGCAGTAGGTCCCTGGCTCTTACTTACCTCCAAGGGTTAAACCGTTAACAAAAGGTTTAACTCCAAAGTCTTCCTGCGTTGGTCAACTCTGCCTCTGAACGTCCGTTACAGTCTAAGGAGTCAAACAGGAAGCCTTGATCAGAGGTGCTCAGCCCATCAGTAGCTCCTAATTCACAAAACCAAGAGAGAAAATGTGTGTATTCTTCTCACTCCGATTTGTGAATGGGGAGCTCCTGATAAGCTGAAAGAAATTGTTATGGTGCCAGAAGTGCCTGTTGGTTTAAAAAGACAGACACCAGAGTTTCCTTTAATCTGCAGATTGCCCAGATTGATTTGCTTAAATCAATGAAACTAGAACCAGATGGAATCGTTGGCCACTCGGTTGGAGAATTAGCTTGTGGATACGCCGATAACTCGCTCAGCCATAACGAGGCCATTCTCGCTGCTTATTGGAGAGGTCGATGCATCAAGGAGGCCAAACTTCCTGCTGGAGGAATGGCTGCTGTTGGTATGTAAAATACACAAGAAACGTCTCCTGAAATTGAAATGTAACGTTAACTATCACAGTCTTTTTTTTATATATTATAAGGGTTTTTTTCCTGAAAAGACAAAGAATTTTTCTTAGATGTATATAAATTCAAAGAAACATTGTGCATAATCAGATTGTGAGACCCAATACAGATGTTTAGAATGTTTTTTTTTTTTAAAGGGGCAGCATATTTCTTTCCTTGATTGCTTCCAAATAATGTAAACCAAATTTAATGAGCTGATAATTAAAGGTCAAATGTGTTGTCCATTTATTATGAATTATTAAATTGTTCTTCTGCTTAGATTAGTATTAGCCATCTTGTTTTGCATAATTTGGGAGACCATTGTTATAATTTTATGTATAGAAATGTTTAAAAAAAAGATTAAGTAAATCAATGCCTCAGCTGTAATCTGTGATTGTGAGGAAAACAAAATGGCTGCTCCCAATAGTGTTAGTGTGTTAGGTTCGCCCAAATATAGTTTTAACTCTACCCCACGTATGCAGGTCAGGCTGCATATTTTTAAAGGTAATAAATCCCAGGTGTCTGTTGGGAAAACTCTTCTAGCTGTTAGTTTTTATAATTTCTTGAGCTCTGTAAAGTTATGGAGCATTGTTCCTCACAAGTTATTGGTAGAAGGTGACCATTTCCATAGGTTGCATAATATTTCTGAATCCTTTCAGGTTTAACTTGGGAGGAATGTAAAATTCAGTGCCCACAGGGAGTGGTGCCAGCCTGCCATAATTCCGAGGACACTGTCACCATATCAGGTCCCCAGGTGAGATCTTTCTCTGTGATATTTTAGGTACCGAGGATGAAAAAGTCCATAAATGCAAAGTATGGTAGACTTGTTATCCACAAATATTTATATCTGCTTTATATTATTAAAATCTAATCTTTATATTTTGTTAGACAAGTCTTGATAAAGTACATAGATTTAAAGGCACGCTTAACTAATTCATTCAGCCACTATTAATATGACCTCCATGGTACAACACTTTTAGTGACTGCTTACCATTTTCCAGACATTCTATTGAATCCTTCATTTAGTTACTGTTTTCAGACATTCTATAGAATCCTTAGTTTAGTTACTGTTTCCAGACATTCTATATAATCCTTCGTTTAGTTACTGTTTTCAGACATTCTATAGAATCCTTAGTTCAGTTCTTCAGACATTCTATAGAATCCTTAGTTCAGTTCTTCAGACATTCTATAGAATCCTTCATTTAGTTTTTCAGACATTCTATAGAATCCTTTGTTTAGTTCTTCAGACATTCTATAGAATCCTTTGTTCAGTTCTTCAGACATTCTATAGAATCCTTTGTTTAGTTCTTCAGACATTCTATAGAATCCTTAGTTCAGTTCTTCAGACATTCTATAGAATCTTTTGTTTAGTTCTTCAGACATTCTATAGAATCCTTAGTTCGGTTCTTCAGACATTCTATAGAATCCTTTGTTTAGTTCTTCAGACATTCTATAGAATCCTTCATTTAGTTCTTCAGACATTCTATAGAATCCTTCATTTAGTTCTTCAGACATTCTAAAGAATTCTTCGTTTAGTTCTTCAGACATTCCATAGAATCCTTTGTTTAGTTCTTCAGACATTCTATAGAATCCTTAGTTTATTTCTTCAGACATTCTATAGAATCCTTTGTTTAGTTCTTTAGACATTCTATAGAATGCTTGTCTTACAGACTGTTCTCAAGAGTTCTATAAAACACACAGTTCCACAGTTTAATACATAATTGTTCTAATTATTCTCTTGTCTTGGTTCACAGTGTAATACAGAACTGACTTTGTTGTATCGGTTTCTCTTGGTTATGTAATAGGATTCTGTTCGGGAATTTGTTGCAAAACTGAAGAAGGACGGGGTGTTTGCCAAAGAGGTTCAGAGTGCAGGAGTGGCCTTTCACTCATATTACATGGAATCTATTGCTCCGGCTTTGCTAAACGCATTGAAAAAAGTAAGTTAATAGACTTGGGTGCTACTGGGACCAGGGCTCGGGATTAGGACTCAAGTGGGAGGGACCCCACCTATTTAGCTCCCAATGTAGGCCTTGTGAGTAATGAATTATTATAACTCAGGTCCATCCCTGCTTTCCAAGAATAAATCCATACAATGTAGGTCAGCATTGTCCACATTATTATGGTTTCATCATGTAGGGCTCTAATAAGATATTGCAAGAAACGCACAGGATTCTGGGATATCGCTAGGAAATATGAGCATGTACTTCAACTGGGTAAACTCATAATCATGCCTAGCCAGGAGTGGACTTTTCGCCCTGTTTATAGCCAGGTTTAATATTTAATTCAGAAGTCTGAGAGTCTTTTGTGGACAGTAGAACCACCTGCCTAATAATGAATATTTAATAGAAGGGTAGTCAGTTTATTTGAATAGAAGAAAAATACTGCTATTTGTACAATAAAGTGGTTCTCCCGTGGTTGTAATAAGTATCATCAATGTATCATCTTAGGTCATCTCTACCCCGAAGAAACGCTCGTTTCGTTGGATCAGCACATCCATCCCAGAGTCCCAATGGCAGAGTGATCTTGCGCAGTTCTCGTCTGCGGAGTATCATGTCAATAACTTAGTGAGCCCTGTGCTATTTCAAGAAGGCCTGCAGAGCATCCCTTCTAACGCCGTAGTTGTGGAAATCGCCCCCCACGCCCTTCTTCAGGTTTGTATATCAGAAAGAGCCATACGGTTCTGCAGAATACGATGTTTTTTTATATTGGCATATAGTAATAATAATATTACGGTGTTTTCTTTACTAGATGTTACTAGATGTTTTGTACTTTTAGATGCATGTTAGTATCATGTAGTCAAAGGTGACAGCTGTTCTAGAATTGAATGTCCCATGATTCTTTGCTAGTGTCAGTGTCATTGAATGATGTAATGTGGTGACATTTAATTAGCGTTAGACAATGGATCTCTTAGCGGGATATTCATCGGTCACTGAGTGCATGACCCAAAGTGATTTTATTTTTTTAAATATCACATATTCAATACTGAAATCGTCCAATATACGGTGGTTCGAAAGGTAGATCCCATCTTTTGTAAAACGACACCTCCCAGAATACTTTGCCAATCTTGAGTAGTTCTGTAGCAGCTGAAAATTCAACCGTCTGCTCTGTAGTTACTGCAATGGCGAGACCGGTTTGAGTTCCTTTTCTTGCGTTTGTTCTCCAAGAGGGATCAGTTCCACATTATTATTATTATTATTATTATGATATTTATATAGCGCCATCAAATTCCGCAGTGCTTTACAATGGGTGGACGAACAGACATGTAGTTGTAACCAGACACGTTGGACACACAGGAACAGAGTGGTTGAGGGCCCTGCTCAATGAGCTTACATGCTAGAGGGAGTGGGGTTAAAGTACACAAAAAGGTAAGGATAGTATTAGACTAGTGATAGTTGCAGAAGAGGAATCAGTCAGGAGCTATTAATAGTTTAATGCATACGCTTTTATGAAGAAGTGGGTTTTTAACGATTTTTTGAAGGAGTGCAATGCTCAGTGTCAGTGACTACCTGAAGAACGAGTAAATATAAAGATGTCTCTCATGTTTATGGAAGCTTTGTTACTGATTTACCTAGCCAGCATCATGATCCAGCTATGGCCACTGCTGGTTTACATCATCGTCAAACATTTTCCTCCTTTTTTGCCAAAGCATTTTGATTGCATCAGCAGTTCAATAAAGTGCATTGATCCCTTCCATTAGGAAATCAGTAGACTGCCCGCCGATGCAATTAATTTTTTTTTTTGCATAAACAAGTTCACAGTGCCCATGGAAAGCCTGCTTTAAAGTGGAACTATCATGAAAAAAATTAACATTATCAGAGTTTTTCACTAAAATGAGAATTCAAAGTACATTTAAAGGAACACTAAAGTGTCAGGAATACAAACATGTATTCCTGACACTATGTTCCTGGGAAGTAAGTTTACATCCCTGACCCCGCTCTGATTGAGCGGAGAAGGTGATTTTAGTCTCCCATACCACGCTGGTCTCATTGCAGCTGGTCCCATGTCGCTTGGCTTCCATGGTTTAGATCAGAAAACTTGATGAACTCAGCCAATCCAATGTATTCCCACAGTAATGCATTGGAAGGCTATTGTGCATGCGCGGCAAAACGCTGTGCCAATTCGCATCTCCTCACACAGATGCATTGAATTAATGCAGAGCGTGGAGACACTGAATGCCAGTGCTACACACTAGGAAGCACCTCTAGTGGCCATCTGAGTGACTGCCACTAGAGGCGTTACTAGCCAGGAATGTAAACACTCCTGCAAGGACAGGCGATAGACACCAAGCTGTAGTGGTTCTGGTGACAAAAGCGTCCCTTTAAGGCCAAAATAATCGGAACTGGAAAAATTCTCTAAGTCAGCTACACGTTCACTTCGGCTACTTTGACCCAAAATGTGAAATGCACTTTGACTTCAAACTTTTGTGAATAACGTTGTATATTTTGTAGCTTACCTTACTATAAACTAGTTTGGAAAGGTTTAATGACCATATCCTTTTAGTTTAAAGGATATTGTCAGTTTTGGTTAATCGCCCTCTCTCCAGTGTGAGCTGCTGTGCTCACTGAGTATTCTACACACAGCAATCGGCATGTCTAACTGCTTGGATCAGTGGCAGCAACCGAATATGCACTGCTTATAGAAGGGATACCGACGCTCGCTCAGTAGAGAGACTGGAAAGCGTAATATTAACCCCAATATCTTTTAACCCCAATATCTTTGAAAATAAAGTTCTATGGCCATTACACAATAGCAGAGTGGTACAAATCAATATACTTTACTGAGAGGGTAGTGGATGCATGGAATAACCTTCCAGCTGAAGTGGTAGAGGTTAACACAGTGAATGAATTTAAGCATGCGTGGGATAGGCATAAGGTTGTCCTGGCTATAAGATAAGGCCAGGAACTAATGAAAGTATTTAGAAAATTGGGCAAATGGTTCCGAATGGTTCTTATAAGCCGTCACATTCTATGTTTCTATATGTGCTGCAACATGTCAACAATATTTTCACATGATAGTTTCTCCTTTGATTTCCTATGTAACTGGGGGAGGATCAAAGTGGCCAGATTTTGAAACCTTCGTCTTTTTAATATATGAGTTGTGAGAGGTACTGTGACTATCTAATTTTCTTCTCCAATTTCGATTCTTCTGTTTATGTCTTTCAACGTCCTTTACTCTAACAGGCCATTTTAAGGAGAAGTTTGAATTCAACCAACACAATTCTTCCTCTAATGAAAAAAGGTCACAGCAACAATCTTGAGTTCTTCCTGACAAACATCGGAAAAATATACCTCAGCGGGTAAACAAGTCTCACTCTTTTCTTTTTTTTTTTATATGAAAGTATTTATATTTTTCAAAGTGTGACAAATGATTTGAATTTATGTTAATTTTAAATAATGATGCATAAAACAGACTGGAATTTAGATGAATAACCTATAATAATCCCAAATAGCTTCTGAGAATTTTGCTGTTTCTAATATATGTATGTTAATTATGTATACTGTTTTTTTTGTTGTTTTTTGTCTTTATTTTCAAGTCAATATTAACAACAACTAAAAAAAAAAAAAATCAATTAAGAGATAAAATAAAAACAGGGGTTAATAAAGCATTCAGTGCCTAGAATATACTTAAAACCAGTTAAAATATATCAGACAAACAAATACCTGTGCGCCAATGTTTTACGTAACATAACATTTCTAACCCTTAAAAGTAGGCTGTTTTTTATCATTTTTAAATAAATGCTTTATAAATACAAGTTTTTGATATTAAATTCCAATGATTTCCATGATTTCACAGAATGGGTATTATAAATCGCATGTTGTTCTCTTTTTGCAGAATTAACGTCCAGTGTAATAATATTTTCCCCAATGTGGAGTTTCCGGTTCCTGCTGGCACACCGCTCATTTCTCCTCTCATTCAGTGGGATCACAGCCAGACGTGGGATGTACCAAAACCAGAAGATTTCTCTGCCGGCTCAGGGGGATCTACATCAGCCACAGTCTACAACATTGGTAAATAATGGCAGTTTTCCTTAAAAAATAACGGTTTCAGTAAAGGTAACAATTTTTAAAAAAATATTTTTAAAGTAAAATGAAAATCTGACATATAACCTTAGAGGTTTTTTCTACATTCTTTTTAAAGAACCCTCACTGTTATGCCTTGTTAGATATGAATCCTGAATCTCCTGATGCCTACATAAATGGTCACTGCATTGATGGTCGCGTCTTGTACCCTGCCACTGGATACCTGGTTTTGGCATGGAAAACATTCACAAGGTCTTTGGGTGTCGTTATGGAGCAAACCCCTGTTATCTTTGAAGATGTTGCAATCCACCGGGCTACAATTCTTCCTAAAACAGGTAACAGTTGTGAAGCAAACAACATGCCAACATTCTGTTTATAACTCTTAGGGATAATTCTAAAACTGTCCAAGAAGAAAAATTTCACAAATTCTCACGAAAAATTACTACATTTAGAGATTCATTTAGTAAAATCACATAAAAAAATGCATCTTTGTTGTTAAGGCAGCACAGTTTAAAGAAAAACCCCAAAAAGATAATGAATTTAATTGTCACACCTGTCTAGGTTCTGTCCAATTGGAAGTCCGTCTCATGCCCGCATCTAAACGGTTTGAGGTTTCGGAAAGTGGGAACCTGTCCGTCAGTGGTAAGTTAAAACCTGATTTGAAGAAAACAGAATCTGTTACTGAAATTCGGAAAATAAATGAATCCATTTCAACCTCTGCAGGCAAGATATCCATTCTGGAAGAAAACACCTTGAATGATTTCCGAAATCAGCTCATCGATTCACTCGACAAAAAACAAGATAATGAGCAGGGCTTCAGCTTAACCGACAAAGATGTTTACAAAGAACTAAGACTCAGAGGTTATGATTATGGTCCCAGTTTCCAAGGGATCATTGAGTCCAGCAGTTCAGGTGAGTAACAGGGTAGGTGGTAGTAGAGTCTTATTGTATTTAAAGACAGATGGATGTTATTGACGTAAGTCTCAAAGCTATGTTAGTTGCTATAGACTCTAATAAAGGCGACATTGTATTAATGATGCTTCGTACACACAATCTAATTATTGAATTTTACTTTTAGGAGACAATGGAAAGCTGTTGTGGACTGGGAACTGGATCACTTTCCTGGACACAATGTTGCAAATGATGGTGCTGGGATTTAATGGACGCAGCCTCCGTCTACCTACAAGAATTTCTTCTGTTTGTATCGACCCCAAGACACATGAGGAACATGTACATGTACATCAAGAAGACACAAAAGGTGCAATATTCATTGGTGGTGTTTTATCTAGGAAGGCAGAGGTGGAAAAAGGGTAGCGTCTCCCCATTTTTGAAGAACTACAAATCACATGCATCTTTGCCATTCTGGAGCTCGGGCTAAAATAGCGGGGAACCTGTATTTAATCCATCTCTATATTAAGGGTTCTAGATGCAGCCACAAAGAGTCCATTTTAAATGTAAATGTCATTTGAGGTAGTTGATGGTCTAACTCCCTTATTTGATGTGCACATGCTTGTTTTGTTAATGTGGTATCTAACGTGGCACATCGCACATACCATCTTAGTGGTCCTTGAAGTGGAGGCATGTGGCATGACAGATTTTCACTATATCTATTTTGCTGGCTTGCTGCTCAATTTGTTCTTCTTTGTTTCTGTTCTGTCGTTGCAGCGGTTCAAGTGACAATTAACAGATGCTTGGAGCGGATTGTTTCTGGAGGCGTTTTGATATCAGGGCTGCATGCCACCACTGCCCCGCGTCGCCAGCAGCAGCAAACACCGCCAACTCTAGAAAAATATACCTTCACCCCTTACATCGAAGATGGCTGTCTACAAGGAGATATTCATCTGTGTTCCCTGCTTGCACAATGCACAGGTACTAGTACAATACATAGTGTCAGTACTCTGTACAGCACCTAGTAGAATACACAGTATCAGTACTTTGTATAGCACCACGTACAATACACAGAATCTGTACTCTGCACAGGTACTAGCACAATGGACAGTATTAGAACCATATACAAGTATTAGCACAGTATCGGTATCCTGCACAGATTTGAAAGGAATGCTGTTATACTGGTTACAGTAAGTACATTTCTTGCTTTATCCTGTAGATAAAATCAAAGAGCTGGCCCATAAAGTAGCCCAACATGGGCTGAAACTTGAAATCCCTGGAGTTCAGTCTCAAGGTAAAAGGCAGCATAAAGCTCTGGACGGCAGTTCCTCAGGCAAGGGTCTTCTACATGTCCTCACCGAGATCTGTAACTTGGAACTAAATGGCAACCTCCATTCTGAACTGGAGGTTACTCTGACTAAAGAGAACGAGCAGCTGCGAGATGATCCCCTTCTGAATGGTCTCCTTACTTCCTCTGACCTCAAAACATGCCTGGATACAGTTCTGGAGAACAGCAATCCACGCAAAATGAAGATTGTTGAGGTACATATATCCAAGATTCCTCCCAAATATGTGTTTTTAGTTCATAACACATCACACATCCTCTCCCATTATCCCATGTACTGTGCTAACGGTTTGAAGACCAAGAGAGAGGTCACATTCTATGTTTCTATGTTTTCTATGAGAGTTCTAACACAGTTTCACTCTTTTTTCCTTCCTTATCTAACCTATCTGTTTCAGAATATGGAAAAGTGAGTCTTTATTAAGCTTCTTTCCTTTGTTTTTTTCTCTTAGGCATTGGCTGGAAATGGTCATTTGTCTTCTTATGTATTCAGATTGCTAAATACTCAACCAATGCTTCAACTGGACTACATTGCAACGGATCCAGCCGCCGAGACCCTCTCTGATATTGAGGAGAAGCTTAAAGAGTTTGGAGGTTCTGTTGAGCCATGGGACCCACTGGGACCTGCACCCAATAGTCTAGCCAATGCAGACTTGGTTGTCTGTAACTGCTCTGCCCACCTTATGAAAAACCCCAAACAAGTCCTCTCGAACATGACGACTGCCATAAAAGAAGAAGGATTTATTTTAGTACACACATTCCTCAAGGGACACACACTTGGAGAAGCCATTGCTTTTCTAAGAACGCAAAACCTGGAGCAGAAAGATGGCCTGCTCTCTCAGGTATAATTATCAAACACTCCATTAATACCACTAATAATATTACTGCTCTGTTTAAGAATTTATTTCATTTCTACTCTTAAATTCGTTCTTCATAGCTCTTCATCGTAACGATATTTAACAAACATCAACACAACCTCCCTAAAGTATCTAAACGTATTCCTGTATCCCATTTACTTCCTGGAATATAGTCAATGTTGTAACCTCACAGAATTTTTAAACCTTCTCACCACAAATGCATAACATTCTGCTATTGTAATCTAGCTAGCTTTTGCTGCAGCTATCTGACACAGGGCACTGCTGTGATGTCAATGGAGACAGAATTCTAGGCTTGTGTGTAGAACTAGCTTGTAAAAAAACAAAAAACACTGCTTGAGCCGACATACAATCTTCACATGTACTTTTAAGTCACATTTAAATGACAGAATTTCTTCCTGTGACAGGCAGAGTGGGAGGAGTTGTTTGAAAGCTGTTCTCTGAACGTGGTCGCGATAAAGAGATCCTTCTACAACTCTGTTATTTTCCTATGCCGCCGACGTGCTGAGAAGAAGACCCCAGTGTCTCTATCGGTTGAAGATATGGAATGCCCTTGGGTAGAATCCTTGAAGGTTCGACACATTATTTTGATAGTAGAATGCCATGGAATTTTCAGATTCAGCGCAGGTGGATTCACAAAATGTCTTGTTTCCTACAGGATGTTATGGCAGATCCATTGGAACAACCGATATGGCTCACATCCATGAACCAAACTTACTCTGGAATTTTAGGGATGGTTAATTGTCTGCGTCAGGAGCCTGGAGGACACAGGATCAGGTACCCACCAAGCCATGTTAAATCACAACATACATTAGCCTCACCCAAACATATATGGTGAATTATAACAAAAAAAGATGTAAGCTGACAATCTCAAACTAATATACAGAGAAAACCACAGTTTATGTTGAAACAACAAAATTTTATAAAAAAAACATGGATTGCTCAAAGTCATTCATAGTTAAGTCTTTGGTCAAAGACCGCTTTTCTTCCATTTTAGCCCCCTAGGTCTACTTTTCAATTTTAGTTCAATCTCTTTTTGGATTTCTTTTGCTAGATGCATCTTTTATGCGGATGGGGATATAAACGTGCCATCTAGTGGTGTTCCACAAAAGGAATTGCTACAGCTTGAGCGCAATGACCTGGTGATGAATATATATCAAGACGGCAAGTGGGGAGCATACCGCCATGTTCCATTACAAAATGGTGAGACAGCCACATGACGTAGAGTTTTACTGTGATGTTATGTTACTATGATGGCATACCGCCATGTTCCTTTACAAAATGGTGAGACAGCCACATGACATAGAGTTTTACTGTGATGTTATGTTACTATGATGGCATACCGCCATGTTCCTTTACAAAATGGTGAGATAGCCACATGACGTAGAGTTTTACTGTGATGTTAAAATGAAAATAAAGAAATATACAGCCCGCTGTAGTGGGTATGATGCCAAGAGTACCCTGGTCTGTTTCCCTGGTAATAGGGGCAAACTTTTTAGCAACAATTTGCCCTCTTACCTGGATCCTCATTTGGCTCCAAGGCTCTACGCTGCTCTGTTGATGCACGTCCGGAAAAGATACATTGAACAGTTTAAATAATATGTGCGTATTTCCAAAGTAGTATTTTTTAATCCTTTTATGTTATGGGGGTTTTTCTTCACATGTGTCTTGTGTTTAAAGCAGATCTGTCATCAGACTAAAAATGTTGAGTATTTCATAAAAATAGAATCCTTCTGAAATACTCACTTTGACTGTGTTGGAATTTCATTAAAATTCTAACACAAGCCAAAGAAATTATAAACCCCCAGGTTGACAAAGCTTCACAAAAGGTGAAGATTCCACCGTTAATTTTTGTCATTTCCCTGGCTGTCGATAGAGACACATACGAAGTCTAGCAGATATCAAGACACATAACTACCCTATTAGATTTAGACATACATGTTCAGTAACTCATGCCCTGTGGCCTATCCTCTTGTTTCTGCAGAACAAGCTCATGACGAAACAGCTTTTGCTTTTGTGAATGTCCTGACACGTGGGGACCTCTCAACTCTCCGTTGGATTGCTTCTCCTCTGCGTCATTTCCAGTCAACAAATCCTAACGTTAAACTCTGCAAAGTCCATTTCGCCTCCCTCAACTTCAGAGACATCATGCTGGCAACTGGGAAACTACCCCCTGATGCTATTCCTGGTAAGGGGCAAAGAGAGCCTACCAGAGCTTTAACCCATTAGAGTACTGTTTGGTCAGTATGATAGGGTTTGTATCACTTACAGGGTCACTCCACTTCCTAAATTACTATTAAGTAAATATATACCGCTCCACTGAGCTAAACTACCAGGAAGTAATTGGACCTGTTGTCTGACTGACAAAATTGTAACAAGCTTCATTTATAAAAGTGCCAATTTCTATTGAAATCTATACTTTTTGTAAAATGAAAAAGAGGACACACTCTTCACACACAAAGCATTTCATCAAGCTAAAGTGGTTAAGGTGTTTAGAGTGTCCTTTTAAGTCAGCCCTCTCGGTATGATACCATTTTATTGGTCAAATCAAGGACTGTAGAAGTCTTTGTTCAGTGAGTACAATCATCAGTCCCTTGATCAAGTCATATATGATGTCACAACTGTGCCGTGTGCATGTTACAGATCACACTCTTGTGGTTGGCTTAATAGAAGGGTTTTCTGGTCACTATAGTAAAACCTGACCCAAAACATAAATAGTGATGCTTCTGAACTGACCTTCGTTTACACAAGATAAAATATACAGTTTTACACTTTTCAAAACTACCTGTCTCAAATGAACATATTTTTCACATTGAACGTGGGTTGTAACCTTGAAAGATTTTTTTTTTAAAAAGGCCAGAACTTTAAAAAAAAAAAAATAATATGAAAAAAAAATTATTTAGCAAAAATACCCAAACTGTATTTATACTTTACTGACTTGTAGAATTTTTCCAATTAGAATATTTTAGCCCAAAACCTACAGATTCCCACCGAAATACCAGTCAAGGAATTAAAAATTAATTCAAATTTAATATCAAATTTAAGGTAAAAAAATTGCTACATTTGAAAATTTCAATTGTTCTGCTCCAAATATTGAAGCAAAATGAGCTATATTTGCTTAAATTTTACAATATGGATTTCAATTCTCTACAATAAATTAACCTCTGGGAGTGTTTTGTATATTTACTTTGTTGGTTTTAACAGTTTGGAGATTCACTTGATGAAAATCTTCTGTAGGTTAAGTAGGTTAAATAGAATATATATTGCTAATATTATACGAATGACTATCTTTGCTAGTGGAGAATACGATCAGCTAGATAGTAATCCTGATTATGAAAGGCTTTGCAAAAGTTAATTCTGTCATTGCTGTAGGTGACGTGGCGTTGCAGCAGTGCATGCTGGGAATGGAGTTTTCAGGTCGTGACTCCGATGGCAGAAGGGTTATGGGATTACTCCCAGCTAAAGGCCTCGCTACAATGGTAGACGCTGATCAGCGCTTCCTGTGGGATGTCCCTGAAAGCTGGTGAGTGCTTCCTTCTTGGGTACCAAAATACAAACTATTACAACTTTATTGAACTGTGTGATTTCTGTATGCAAATCTGCAAATGCGGGGATAATCCAAAAGTAAAAAAAAAAAAATTAAGTAATTTATTGCAAAATGAATTATGCCTTAGAGCAGACTTTAGTTAAACAGAAATGTTGATCAAAAATACTTTTTAATATATATATATATTTTTCTTTGACTCAACTGACCTTTCCATTGCACAGTCATGAACTGAGAAATTTATTTATTTTAGTTTTGAAGTTTTGATCGTGAATTTAAAACATTTTAGTAAATATATATCATCTCTGGCACTGTAGTATCACTTTACTGTGATTCAGCCAGCTATATCATCCATTAATACGTACATCTCATACAGTAGTATAGCTTTATTAGTCGGACGAGTCAATGGTGGTTTGCAGTTTTAAGACGGACAGGATAAACTGAAAGGTAAATCTGAGAAAATGCACAAAATTGCTGCTTTGTAGAAACTACACCTGGTTAGCAACTATCTAAATGACTTTTTTTCAAATAATTCTGTTCAATTTCAATAAAATTAAAGAATATAACAATTACCTTGAGCTCTGTTTTTTATCTCTTGGTGCAGTGTGCTGGATTCGTTAAGCACTGTTTGTAATTATACATCTTTATAATATAAATATAATATAATAATATTGTACATAAAAAATGGCTTACTTACTTTAACTGGATGTTTATTTTCTCTCTGCCTGTGATTATGATTTGTGACGTGTAAGTCAATTTTGATATATTTTCTGATCGGCAAGATGTATAATTGCAAGCTATGAGAAAATACTACTTTACACAAAGTGTAGTAGTTATATGGAACAGCCTTCCAGTGGAAATCGTAAAGCCTAAAAAAAGTATGGGAAAAAAACTAACAAAGAGTGCTTGGGATGTGCATAAGTGGTTTATCCATAGCAAATGGACAAAAATCAGTCTGAAAAACTAGATCTGTATGAAAATGCTTTTTTTTCCCATTGTAGGTCTCTGGCAGATGCAGCCTCTGTCCCCGTGGTCTACGCTACGGCTTACTATGCCATGATTGTTAGAGGACGTTTAAGAAAGGGAGAGAGCGTTCTCATTCACTCGGGCTCAGGAGGTGTTGGCCAAGCGGCTATTGCAATAGCTCTAAGCATGGGATGCCGAGTGTTCACCACTGTAGGTAGGTATCTGCTTGGTCCCAGAGATAACTAGACTTGACTTTAAATTCCCTATACCAAAAGTAGTCAGTGGGCAGCACTTTGGCTGTGGTGAATGTCCGTAATGCTCAGGTATCCTTCAGCTCCTCAAAACATCTTTTTATTTTACTACTGGGTCAGTTGGTGGTGGTTTGAGGACCTGTCTCACTCATCGTGCCGGAAATTCTGCTCTCAAATTATGAAATTATATAAAATTTCAGGATCCAAGTTTGGTGGTAGTGTAGGAGGTATCAGCTGAGGTTTTTCTTCTGGTATGGGCCTACACTCTGGCTTAGTTGTAGGTCCAAAATCTGAGAAGATTTATGGTGTACATCCCCACCTTAGACTAATTCTTTGTCTTTCTCTACCTCTCCAGGTTCTTCCCAAAAGCAAGAATACCTTCAAAGTAGGTTCCCACAGCTAGATAACAGCTGTTTTGCAAATTCCCGAAACACATCTTTTAAACAACACATTCTAAATATTACCCAAGGCAGAGGTAAGTTGTAATTGTATTATTTTCTTTTAATGCCAGTTAGCGAAGTTATGACCATCACTACATGAAACCCTTTTAATTTTTTACTCAGGGGTCGATTTAATTTTGAACTCGTTAGCTGAAGAGAAGCTGCAGGCCAGTCTTCAATGCCTTGCCCGCCACGGTCGATTCTTGGAGATTGGAAAATATGATCTGTCCAACAACACTCCTCTGGGTAAATAAATATGTTTCTTTGACTTGCAAGAAAATTTTGTAAGTTGGACAATGTTTCTTTCCTGAGTTATCCCATTTCAGTCCTTTATTGCTCATATAATATAATAACTTGTTTACATCATCTTTTAGGGATGGCTTTGTTCCTGAAGAACGTGGCCTTTCATGGAATTCTACTGGATGCCCTCTTTGAAGAAGGGAATAAAGAGTGGGAAGAGGTGTCTGATCTCCTAAATGCTGGAATAAGAGAGGGAGTGGTAAAACCATTAAAAAGTACCATTTTCAGCCGAGATGAAGTAGAACCAGCATTTAGATTCATGGCTCAAGGAAAACACATTGGGAAAGTGCTTATTAAGGTACAGCAAATCAATGGACTCTACATAACTTCATATACTTCAAAACAACCTGTCAACCTGTATGTACCATGTAATGGAAGAATATGAATTTTCAAACATATTTAGGGAATAAGTAAAGGTGAAGAAGGGAGCTTTTTCGGTAGAAAAACTTAGATTAGAAGACTAATTTGAAACATGACGATAAAAGACAAAAAAACATATAAGTTGATTTTTTTTACAGGAAGAGTGCAGTGGAAATTATAAAGGCAGTTAGACTGACAGGGAAGTAGATACCTGGGATAGTGTTACAGTGGAAGTAGTAAAGTTTAATGGTGATATAGAAAGGGTAGGAGATACATGGAATAGGCTTCCAGTGGAAGTAGGTTAGCAATAATAATAATAATAATAATAACAAAGTATTTAACCAGGAAAGGTACATTCACATTACTCTGGTTTCCAAGTAACAATGATATTGCCTAGCCTGCCAGTGGTAGTAGAAGTGATTAACCCTGAGTACGGATTAACTGATTAAAATCAATGTGTAGTTTGCTAACAGGCAGACAAGATATTTTTCTAATCTTTTAGCGCTATCTATGTCTCTTTGTTGTATAACTGCCATTATCTTAGCTGGTTTATTTTATTGGAAGGTTCGAGATGAAGAAGTGGAATCTCTAGGTGATGCAGATGTCCTTCTTCCAGCCATGCCTAGGACATCATTCCCTCCAGCAAAGTCTTATATCATTACAGGAGGCCTTGGGGGCTTTGGCCTGGAGTTGGCACAATGGCTGATTGAGAGAGGTGCTCAAAAGCTTGTCCTGACATCCCGCTCCGGGATACGAAATGGTAAATACCATGACGTACATACATCAAAACTCATCCCTTATCTGCAGTGGCGTGCACACAATCCATGGTGCCCCGGTGCAAAACTGGTCCGTGGGCCCCCCCCCTATTCCCCCCACCCCCGACAGACACACACACACACTCACACACACATAGACACATACAGATAGATACAGACACATACACACAGACACACATACATACAAACAGACAGGCACACATATATACACACAGACAGACACACACGCACACAGACACATACATACAGACAGACACATACACACACACAAAATGTTTGTCATCCTCCTGTTTCCTATCTTTAGGTACAGGAGGGTGACTTTCCCTGGAATTCAGTGGTGGCGCAGGTGGATGGGAGTCAGAGTTCCCACTCTGACTCCCTGTTCTTCCTCCCGCGCGGGCTTGGTGTATGCTGGGAGGAGTGATGTGCGGTCACTATCTCCCAGCTCTGTGTGATGTAATCACAGGGGCCCTGGTCAAGCTGTTAAAGTGCCCAGCGCTGACCGGGCCCACTGACAATCCATATCCATCGGGTGGCTCTGAGAGCCTGGGCCACCCGATGGACCCCTTGGACGGTGGCCCCGGCGGTTTGTCGCTCGGGCCCAGGCCGCAAAAGATGATGCAACCCCTGCGACCGTGGTATGTACGCCAGTGCTTATCTGTAAATGTTTACACTAATTAGAACATACAAATCTGTCTGTTATTTTACAGTCCAGCAATCTTTACGATAATTTTAGATTTAATATATTCCATTTATTCCATTTATTCCGTCTGGTTTCCATAGAAACAAACAGACAGACAGCCATGGATATTCTCAAGTGCAGAACTGACTTGGCTATATACATATAGCCATACTGGAAAAATGGTTGATTTAAAAAAAATAAAATGAATGCACCTATGTTGTCCTAAACATTGATTTTTGTATTTTTCAGATTGTATGATATTATAGTTACAGTCATTTTTTTTTCTTTTTTTGCCATTAGGTTACCAAGCAAAACAAATCCAAAGCTGGAAAGAAATGGGAATTACGGTCTTGGTATCCACCAAGGATGTTGGATCTATTAAGGGGACTCAGCAGCTCATAGAAGAAGCATCCCAGCTTGGACCAGTGGGTGGAATATTCAATCTGGCCATGGTACGCTCCAGCCAAATCTGTGCCACCCTTGGGGATGTTTATAGTTCTGTCCTTGCTTCAACATATTAGGAAAACACAGTGGTATCAGCTTAGAAGATCAGAACCATTCAGAAATTCTCATCTCCTTAGGGGCATCCTTTCTGATCAGACTCGTGTGATTATTCCACCTGCCAGATTCAGAAGAAGGAATTTGAAGCAAGAGGAGTAAACTCAGATCAAGATTAAGGGGGAAGTGAATTCAGGTCATGAAAAAAAGGGGTGGTGATATCGGGTCCAGAAGAAAAGTAAGGTGAAAACATGTCTAGAAAAATGGAGAGGTGGATTCAGGTTCAGAAAGAGAATTAACTCATGTCTGGAAGGAAAGGGTGGTGAACTCAAATTCAGAAGGGGAAGAGTTTTAGAGTTACGGTCTAGAAGAACAAGGTAACCTCGGGCTTAAGTCCAGAAGAAAGGAAAGTATTAGATCTAGAGGAAAGGAGGGGTAAGCCTAGGTCTAGTAGAAGAATGTTCATGTCTGGTCCCTATAGGGTATGAGGGTGCTTGATTTGCCACCAAAGATACAGCCAAACAGACTCTCTACGTAGGACAAATGTCACTAATTACAAACTTTGACATTTTGCAGACATCGTATAACATCATATAAACTACCCAGTAATATTAATACCAAGATTTACAATTACTGCTGACTAAATATCTTTTTTTCACACAGGTTCTGAAAGACGCCATGATTGAAAACTTATCTCCAAATCTCTTTCGAGAAGTAAACAAGCCAAAGTACAATGGCACACTAAATCTGGACAGGTAAAGGCAACACACAATTAGCAAAACTCCACAAAATAAGCATTATAGAGATTACTTATTCGCAAAGCAACCTTTGTGCACTCGCTTACAAAGGTCAGGATATTATCAATATCCCAACTAGAACATAATTAAGAAATTCCTACATTTTGGGGGCGTTTTTGGGACCTGGTTAGCGGATAACAATATATGCATACCAATTATTTAAGTTGTGAATAGGGTCGGTAGGTTTTAATTTCTTCTTTGTGTTCATTTCCAGCTTCATTGCCTGGTCCAGCTAGGATTAACTACTATGTTTATAAGTGGGTTAATCCAGCCCTCAAATCCTCTAGTGGCTATCTCATTGACAGCCGCTAGAGGCGCTTGCGTGATTCTCACTGTGAAAATCACAGTGAGAGCACACAATCGTCCATAGGAAAGCATTGTAAATGCTTTCCTATGCGACCGGCTGAATGCGCGTGCATTCAGCCGAATGGGAGGATCGGAGGAGGAGAGCTCCCCACCCAGTGCTGGAAAAAGGTAAGTTTAACCCCTTTCCTCTCCCCAGAGCCCGGCGGGAGGGGGACCCTGAGGGTGGGGGCATCCTCAGGGCACTATAGTGCCAGGAAAACGAGTATGTTTTCCTGGCACTATAGTGGTCCTTTAACCCCTTAAGGACACATGACATGTGTGGCATGTCATGATTCCCTTTTAGATTTAGCAAAATAAAAGCCTATTATGGAAGTAAAGTGACAGGGTAGTGAAGGGGTTAACCCTAAATATAAATATAGTTAAAAAGAAGAGGAAGGAGAACACTACCAAGGGAATGTGTATATTCTAAAATTTAACTTTTAATGGTGAACGCAATATAAAGTGATCATTTCACATATATAATCATAGTCAGTCTAGATATATACATACCAAGACACGAAAAGATAATACGAAAAAATGTAAGATTTAAAACCAAAAGACAGTATCTAGATGTCAGGGATGTGAATAACAGAGTATTAAGCAGAGTATTAAGGTATTAGGAGGGATCGAAGAAATTAGTAATTGAAAAACCCTGGGGTTTTTCTTCGATCCCTCCTAATACCTTAATACTCTGTTTTGAATATTTTTATTGTATGCATAACGTAGGTTCATACGTCAAACCGATTTGTAATAAAGCAAGTGATTGCCCACGCAGGGGCTTAAGCATTGGTTCAACACAGTATATACTTTTGGTTGCCTGCGCAGAGGCGGACTGTGTTGTCTTTTTAGTTCGGTGAGAGCGTTAAGTAAGTGTTTTGTGCTAACTGGTGTGTGCAAGTGCTGCGTGTTTGCTAGTTAGTGAATGCAAACTGTCGCCTGTGTGGAGGCAAATTAACCATCTTGCTAATTAGAGTCAGACTGAAAGCAATAATCTAAAATACAAAAACTTTTCCCAACTTTTAACATATGGGGCATATTTGTTCGTAGTCTGCAGTGCGTTAATATATAACAAAGCTATCTGGATATCAGGCTTACAGTAATTAGCTGCGGTCAGCTATTTAGTATGTATTAGTGGACATTATCAACCTTTGGTCCCTATGGGCATTATAGCATAAACTGTACATTCCTTTGGCATTTTAAACCTGCGAAATATGTAAAAGCTTAAAAAATGAATGCAACTTTTAAGACACAAATGCGAGCTATCAATCCACAGGGTGGCTCTGAATGCGTCAATCTGAAATAAGCTGTGGCTAGTCATGCAATATACGTAATGAAGTATATAGGCAAACAAAAACATTAATAGGGACCGTAACCATATGGAAGCAAGGTTGGCAGGAACTTGAGAGGGGGCTGTATGGCAGTCTGAGGGAGGCTCAACATGTCTCCGCTACGATGCAGTCCTCCGGTCACCGAGCCTCCGTCCGTTCACCCCACACCGCCCCCCGCCCACCAGACAGGTCCTCCGCAGCGCCGTGGGCACTCAGGGGCAGAGATTGTCCACTGGACCCCACCACAAAGTCCACAACTCTCCCGCCCCCTGCACCTCCCCAGTACCACGTTGTTCCCTATGGAGCAAGCACCCCCTTGTCTCTCCCAGTGCCGGTCTCACACTTAAAGCTGGTGCCCAGCCCCCCCGGCCACCGGTCCGCCGGCAGGGCAGCGCACTCCCGCCCCACAGGGCTCACGACACCAGGGACATAATTCTCCGGGGACCTCCATACCCAGAGACTGGGGTACTCACTGCTCCAGTCGGCTTGTGGGCGGCGTGTAGGCCCCGTCCAGCGCTCAGTATCGCCTGGGCCTGCATGAGCTGACCATGCCAGTCCCCCTCATTACATTTTTACGTGGTCCTCTGGGTGCGTTGAGCCGTGCCGGAGCAGTTCCATAAGAATGCAGGTGGTCTTTTTCATTTCAGCTCCTGGTCTGTCTCCCAAGGCTGACGGATGACCATCTTTCAGGGAGTGAGCAGCCTCCGTTCATTCGGGGTCTGTGTGTCTCCACACTCTAGCTCTCCTCTCCCTCCGTGTTAATGACAGTTTCTGCTGGCTTGCTGATTCTCATGCAGCTTTTGCCAGTGTAGGCGGCCAGCGCACACCCCACGCGGGAATTCCCGCCGTGGCATAGGTCACCGCCATGCGGCCGGGATAACCCCCACCGGCCGGGGGGGGGGGCAGGGCCGTGCCCCGGGCCGGGTGTGCAAAGGGAACCATCTGTGCGGCGTCTCTCCCGCTTAAATGTTTCAGGGCTGCGCCTCTCTGTGGCGTCCCGCCGCGTGGCGTTGTCTCGGCCGGATGCTCTGCCGCGTGTAGGCCGGTCTCGCCCTCCGTTGCCCGTCCAGCTAGTGGTGTGCTTCTTGCCGGCATCCGAGGTGCGCTGGGGTCGTTCCCTGTTAGTTGTTGTCGGGATAGCCGACTTCTTAGCAGTCTTTTGTGCCTTTTTGCTCAGGTTAATGCCGGAGCCCATGTATAGTGCGTCTGTTCGGCCCGGCGGCCCGGCCCCGCCCCTACCTTAATACTCTGCATTTGCAGAGATTACTCCTTATTTAAAAGACTATATCTTGGTTAAGAATTTTTTAGACATTAGGTGCATTGGGAGGTGAACTAATGATTTAGCCGTTTATACCATTTATGGCTATAACGCTCGTAGTATATTGACACTTAACAAAGATATCACAGGATACCACTTTGGATTCTGTTATCTAGACGCTAGCTAGCCAGTCTTATAATTTGGTATATCTTTTAGAGAGGTGCCCTTGAAGGCACAGTTATTCACTATAGATAATTTCTGTCTTCTCTCTCTTCTTTTCAATTACTTGCAGTTAGCTTCTCTGCCTGATAGGTGCCCACGAAGGCACAGATATACTTCTATTTTCCAACTATATCCACTTTTGGGGTCTTTACAGTACGGATTATTTTTAGAAGTTGTCATCTTATATATCTTTATATCACATTTAAGAACAACTAACTGCAGTCTAATAGCCATATTAGACGGCTCCGCTTATGTTGTGATATCACTGGAGCGTCTAACTTTCGTTCGTTTCGATTACAGCTTACAGTAGCAGACGTTTTCTTTCCATTTTGCTAAGCTTGATTAAGAATACTTGGGACACATTGAAAGTATTCTTTATAAATCACTGTACCAGACGTTTCCTTTGTTATCTGTAAAGTCTGATTTACTGTAACAAAATACTTCAGATATATTGCAACAGTATCATTACAGCAGACATATTTTCTTTTCCTTTTGCAAAACTTAACTAAGAATACTCTGGACACATTGGAAGTATTCCTTGTAAATCACAGCAGCAAAACGTTTTGCTTACTATTTGCAAAGTCTCATTAACTTTAACAAAACGTCTTAGATACATTGCAATAGTATCATCATAGCAGACAGTTTCTATTTATTTATACAACATTGTTATTCACATCCCTGACATCTAGATGCTGTCTTTTGGTTTTAAATCTTACATTTTTTCATATTATCTTTTCGTGTCTTGGTATGTATATATCTAGACTGACTATGATTATATATGTGAAATGATCACTTTATATTGCGTTCACCATTAAAAGTTAAATTTTAGAATATACACATTCCCTTGGTAGTGTTCTCCTTCCTCTTCTTTTTAACTATGATTCCCTTTTATTCCAGAAGTTTGGTCCTTAAGGGATTAAGGAACAGTGTACACATGCACAAAAAATATTTTTTTTTACAAGGGTACATAAAATCACCTTTCTTAGCAAACAAATAAAAAGATTTAGTTACAGCATACGGCCACATTGTGTTAAGCCCACAACTACGTCACAGTACCCTAATATCGGTGGGTCCTATGCTAGTTTAACATGCTTACAGCAATATTTACTGCTTCCAGAAACTCTCCTCAAATGTATGTTTTCACCTGATCACCTCCAAAGGAGTGCCTGGAGTAGAGGGGTGGTCCACCCAACCTAAAAGGAATCGGGTCTGGTTTCCTTTTACACCCTTTTTTATGTTTTTGTTTTTTTTACCAGAATTAGCCGTGAGAAGTGCACACAGCTGGATCACTTTGTGGCATTCTCCTCGGTGAGTTGTGGAAGAGGAAATGCTGGGCAGAGTAACTACGGTTTTGCCAACTCAACCATGGAGCGGATTTGTGAAAAGCGGCGCCAAGATGGTCTGCCAGGTAAAATAAAATAGGAGACAATGCAGTTGTTTATGTTATGAAGAGGAAGGATGTATTTGATGTATCTGATGTGCTGAAGGACAGATTAAAAATAAATAATATCTTAATATTAATCAGAAATTTGTTTCCATATAAAAAAGTGTAGTCACCTGACACCAGTCTCCTTCTCTACAATCCATTATATCTACTGGTAGAAAGGAAAACAGGTCCTGCTGTGTATTGTGTTGGTTTCACTGTCAAGTTGCATCACACTAAAGATAGTAGCGGTAACACAACTCCATCTAGTGGTGAGAATACATGAGTGCTGGACAGCTGAAATCACACAACTCTTAGTTACACGAGAGACCACCAACAAGGATCACGGAGTACTGATTAGGGAATACTACACTGCAAAGTTCAACCATAGTATGAAACCTGACAGCTGTCACACTATTCATGGCCTAGAAACGGTGTGGGTATCATTTCAGAGGAATTAATCACGCCTGGTTCTCACAGTTTGCTGAATCATCAACTAAACTAACTGGCCCCCAGGCTGAAGAGAAACATTGTTCCAGTGCGATTATATGGAAGATAATGTGCCATGGAGTTGACTTGTTTTTCCCAGGCAACCAGATATCAAGGAGAACATTGTGGCAGGGAAGGAGCCTGAATGGATGCCTGGCATGGGAATTAACCTTGTATCTCCTGTACGCACAAATATCAAGTGATACACTGTTGCAAAGGAAGTGCCTGGAAGGGAATGGGGTGGGATGGTCAACGCGCTTTCTATCCCAGGCAATGGGTTTCAAAGGACCCATTGTGTGCATGGGAATGCACTTGTGGCCTGACCAGTTAACTCTAACTGAGCTCTCATGAGCCATACTACTAAAGTGGAGGGAAAGGGCAGGAGTATTAGCAGTCCATACAATGGCTGTTTGGGATGTTTAGGCCTGTATACTCCACTCAAGTGTTTGTGTTAACATAGAAAGAATTAGGAGGTAGTTGCATTACAGAGAGAATGTGAATTTCAATAATGATGTTCTCCCAAGAACTGAAATAGTTCAGCTGACTCAGCAGCGGGTACATAGTGACCACGAGTGTCTCTTTCTCCCCAGGTTTGGCTGTGCAGTGGGGTGCCATTGGTGACGTGGGAGTTGTTCTGGAGACCATGGGTAGTAATGACACAGTGATTGGTGGCACATTACCACAGAGAATCAGCTCTTGTCTGGAAGTGCTGGACCAATTCCTGAATCAATCACACCCAGTCATGTCCAGCTTCGTTCTGGCCGAGAAAACCATATTCACAAAAACCAAAGGTGGCAGCCAGCAGGATCTGGTGCAAGCTGTGGCTCACATTTTGGGTAAGATTTTATTATCATTACAGAATACAAACTTTTTGTATGATTTTTGCATTATTAAACACATTCAAAACAAGAATCTGATATTACTATTGATTTCCCCGGAATTCCATGCAGCAATATGCAAATCAGCATGCGCCATGTGTCATTTTAGATTCTAGCTCACATGTCTAAGTGTTCCTTTAGGCTCTTGGTATATACATAGACTCTGGATCCAAGATATGGAATGTAAGATATGGGAAACTCTTCTAGAAAGTCCAAAGGATTATAATATATGCCTTAAATTACATGCCTTTTCTTCTTATTGTCATTATTTAATTTTTTGAATTCTAAGCTCTGGAATTAAATACATTCCATGGCATTAAAATGTCTGTTGGTTTAGTGCTTATAGTACAGGTTATATGTTTGCTTCACATGCTGGCTACCAAGGCTGAATTTAAACGCTGTGTTTTAGGGGTCCGAGATGTGAGTAGTTTAAATCCAGAGACATCACTGGCAGACTTGGGATTGGATTCTCTGATGGGCGTTGAGGTTCGACAGACGTTAGAAAGGGATTATGATATTGTGATGGCAATGAGGGACGTTCGACAACTTACAATCAACAAGCTGCGAGAACTCTCCTGCAAGCCTCCAACGACCGAAGGTGAGACTATGTCTGTGATGGTTAACCTGTGGTACGCCAATTAACGTTGACCATATTTACTGTGATGCTTAGCCAACTGTATGACCAGACCCCCACATCTAACATGTAAACACTTGCATCCATATTTATATTTTAGAACAATATTAAGTAAATTGGCAACTAGTACAAAATATATATTTGTCATTTCTTCTGTTATTTTAAAGTATGCCAGTTAGTTTAGGGGACACAACAATATGGGTAATGTAAGCTAAGGAATCGCGAGACACGTTACTGGTCCTTAAGGTAAGCCAGGTTTAAATCAACTATAACTGGTCATCATACAAAGCCAGATCCGAACACCAACAGTACACTTGTACATAGAAATGTTTAACTGGGCTGCTAAAACTGCCAGTAGGATCAGGACAGGAGTGGGGATATGGCTAGCATAACCCATCATTTAGCTGACATTCAGTCAAAATTCAGTTGTGTGTAAAGAATTAAAGGGACACTCCACTGCCTAAATAAAAAAATCACTGTTTTGTAGATTAATGCCATGCATGCATTTAAGTATATATTTTTTCATTGGTATATCTAAAAACAGCTTGCAAAAGATCTCTCTTGCCTGCTGCCTTTGCAAGCCCTCCCCTTCTAACCCTGCCCAAACTTTCTGTGTCTGTCCAATCAAAGGCTTCCCAATGCAGCTCAATGAGAAGTCTTTGCAAGGCAATGCTCTGGGAAATTACTGCCTCTTGAGTTTAGCTCCACTGAGTTAACCAAACCAATCAGGAAGTAACAGGATCAGTTATCTGATTGACAGCCAGGAGGGTGTAATTAGGTTAATTTACAAATGTGCTATTTCCATTGAAATCTGATCTTATTATAAAAAAAATTAAAAAAAATTTAAAAAAGAGAACACACTCTTCACACACAAGGCATCTGGAGTATTAGTGTGTTTGGGATAAAACAAGCAAATATCTATGGACGTATTGTGTTGCTCTCAGTACATGAAAAATCTAAGGCAATTGCAGTTTGTACCTAGAATTTATTCTTTATACAATATACAAATTCCCCATGCAGCACGCAGATAAGGGGTTTGGGAAAGAGAAGAGTGGCAGCCTTGGGTGTTCCACGTTAGCTGTGTTACCAATTTATTGTGTTGCTATGTATGTGTATAACCTAAAGCTTTCTCTGCCAGTTCATGTTCTAAGGGATTCTCTTTGTTTGTTGTTTAGAGTCGAAGCCTTCCCAGAAGATATCTGGTCTGCCAGAACTCAATATCTTGGATCTCAATAACCTCTTGGTGAATCCTCACGCTTCCACTGTTACTAAACTTAATGATGTGCAGAGCAGCGAGCGCCCTCTATTTTTAGTTCACCCTATAGAGGGATCCACGGCCGCCTTTCACAGCTTGGCTTCCAGGCTCAGCATACCCTGCTATGGTCTGCAATGTACTAAGGGTAAGGAAGGGGTTATTACTCTGCGGGTTTGGAAAGCAAAGCTTAGGTTCTTAGTGTTAAAAAAAGAAAATATGGCTTAACATTGACAGCAAAATCTGAATATAATTTTAGGGCTAAATAGGAGTATATCTCAGCATTTCAAATGGCCAAAGCAGAACACTTTAATCTTAGGAGGTGTGGCTATTTGGGACAGTCCTGAGCTCCACTGATTAGCTAATCCATAAATCAGAGTAGGCAACCGTTGGCACTCCTGATGTAATGGACCACATAATGTTCTTGCAGCCATACTATTGGCAAAGCATCAGGGGAGATGTAGTCCACAACATCTGGAGAGCTGAAGGTTGCCTACTCATGCACTGGATGGTACCCAGATGTGTCGACATTAAGAGCTGATCTGTAGACGTGTATAGGTGCCGAAAAGAACTTACACAAGCTAGGAGCAGAGAGATAAAATACACAATATTGGTTAAAGAGCAGAGATAGGGATGTTCGCTAAATCAGGGAACAATAAACATTATAAATACTATGGTTAGCGAAATAACACTTTGCCCGAAGAGCTTACAATCTACTTCAGCAACACATAGCCATGTGTATATATTGGTAGCTGTGACATGTCGGCTAATGTCATTATAATGTTTGCTTTGCAGCTGCCCCTCTGGATAGTATTCATAGCCTGGCATCTTACTATACGCAGTGCATAAAGCAGGTGCAGCCTGAAGGACCCTACCTCATCGCTGGATACTCTTTTGGGGCATGCGTGGCGTTCGAAATGTGCTCCCAGCTGCAGGCTCAGCGGGGTGGCTCTCAGCCGCCAGACAGCATGTTCCTCTTTGATGGGTCCCACTCATACGTGGCAGCATATACTCAGGTATTAGCAACATCACTTGATATTGACCGTGTTATATAATCATGGGCAAATAAATTATAGAAATTATATCTGTATATATGTTTTTATATCTCTAGTGTACCGTCTGTGCTGTCTGCATGTTAGTGAAGTTAGTTTCTGACAGAGAGAATTGTTGGACACGTAAAACTGACCTTTCCTCTAAAAGAGGCAGTCTATGCACCATAACCACTACAGCTCAGTGTTTTATTACAGCTCATTGTGTTATTACAGCTCAGTGTGTTTTTGCAGCTCATTGTATTATTACAGCTCAGTGTGTTATTACAGCTCAGTGTATTATTACAGCTCAGTGTTTTATTACAGCTCATTGTGTTATTACAGCTTAGTGTGTTATTACAGCTCAGTGTGTTTTTGCAGCTCATTGTATTATTACAGCTCATTGTGTTATTACAGCTCAATGTATTATTACAGCTCATTGTATAATCACAGGTCATTGTATTATTACAGCTCAGTGTGTTTTTGCAGCTCAGTGTGTTATTACAGCTCAGTGTATTATTACAGCTCGGTATATTATTACAGCTCATTATATTATTACAGCTCATTATATTATTACAGCTCAGTGTGTTTTTACAGCTCAGTGTGTTATTACAGCTCAGCGTATTATTACAGCTCAGTGTGTTATTACAGCCCATTATATTATTACAGCTCAGTGTGTTATTACAGCTCATTGTATTATTACAGCTCGGTATATTATTACAGCTCAGTGTGTTATTAGTAATAATACAGTGAGCAGTAATAATACAATAAGCTGAAATAATACAATGAGCTGTAATAACACACTGAGCTGTATTGGTTATGTTGCTCAGGCATTGATCTCTAGTTCACGACTGACAAGACTGTCTCCATTTCCAGAGTTACCGTGCCAAATTAACGCCAGGCAGTGACGCCGAAGCTGAAACTGAAGCGCTGTGCGCTTTTATCCAGCAATTTACTGGCATGGAGTACAATAAGGTAAAAATTATTCTGAACTCTCCCAAACCTTGATATTTTAGACTAGGCTGTCTGTTAAAAATTAACCATGAACTCTCTGCAGCTTTTGGAAGCTCTTCTACCCCAGAAGGACTTGGAGGCCAGGGTCAATGCTGCCGTGGAACTAATAAGAAACACCCACAAGAACATCGATCCAGAGGCTCTCAATTTTGCAGCCTCTTCGTTCTACTACAAACTTAAAGCGGCAGACATGTATGTCCCTGTCGACATGTACCACGGAAACATTACGCTATTGAGGGCGAAAACACGGAACGATTATGGCAAGGGGCTCGGAGCAGACTACAAGCTATCAGAGGTTAGTTCCTAACGAGATATTATATATTAGTTAATGATAGCAGTATAGTTAAAGGTGAGAGGGAGATAAAGATTGGATGAAAAAAATGGCATATTGAGAGATATACAGTACATACACGAGTAGAAAACTGAACTATGTGAACGAGAGTGAAAAGTCGAGATTGAGATCCTTCGGCAGAAGAGCTAGACATTTTTGAAACTATACCTAGAGAAGGATAGAACACAATCACAAATAGTTATAGACTGACCAAGAGACATTGGGAGGGGACGATGCAGCACAATGGGACAAGACTAGAACAGATACAATTTGTAAGAGAGCTGATGGACAATGAAAGGGGTACACAAATTTGTAGTTGGACAGAAGATTGAGAGAAACAAACAAAAGATGAGCTGGGATGGGAGAGGACAGGTTGACAGGTAAAATAAATGAAAAGCTACAGAGTAACTGGATTGAGAACGATTTAAGAGATAACGGAGAGATTGGGAGGAGGGAACCACGGTATGGTAAGAAAAGGAGAATGACAGGATGACGGCCATAATTAAATTCATACATGACAGCTCCTGTCATGATAAAACACTCTTACATTTTAAAGGCTATCTGGGCTGGTCCTTGTCACACAGACGCTGACTCTGGAACAGCCGTTTTTCATCCGTGGCTGATTGATAGAAAGCCCAAACACTTTTACGCAAATCGCAGCGGGAATAAATATGTCAATAAATAAAGCCTTTTTTGGGGAGACTGATCATATTTCTTCAGAGGATTTAACAATATATCCCAAATGTTCTATAAAATCATTGTAACGAACCAATGTAATGCCGATGAATTTAGAAAATGTATGTCATGCAGGACAAATAATACTTTTTGGATTTAACTATTTCTAATCATTGCCTCTGTTTTGTTGCACAGGTGTGTGATGGGAAAGTCTCTGTTCATGTAATAGAAGGGGATCACCGCACCTTTTTAGAAGGAACCGGTGTTGATACAATCACCGGCATCATTCACAGCTCGTTAGCCGAACCTCGCACCAGTGTCAGGGAGGGCTAAATAAACTCTATGGACTCAGTATTAGGGTAGGCAGTGAGGCCGTCGTCTCCATTTCAAGTACAACGAGTCTTCACGGCACACTGGATAAGAATTGAGTAAAACATTCCCACAGACAGGCTGGTAGGCATGTATCCCATGGCATCACCCAATATCGTGTGGGTATCTCCAGAAACCAACCTGCCTGGAGCCACCAGTCTCATTCTGCACCTACATCCCTTCCCTGCTCTATGTTGTACCAAACACCGCACAAGATCCCATGCCTTCTACTAAGTAGATTTCATTTTGTAGCATGTTGGTAAATATCAGTATTCCAAAGGCGAGACTTTAGCACTTAGTAAACATGCACCCTTGTATAGTGATAACATGAGGCCCGTCTTCCGAGGCGTTGTATAAAGCCTTTGACGAACTCGGGTTCTGATGACGCAGGTCCCTGTGTACAGGAATCGGTGTCAAACAAACTATCACGGGTGTGTATTTTTTGTAATTTCTTTTTCTTTTTTTTTATTATCTGAATGTTAAGTATTTATTGTAGTTTTCATTTATAAATTGAAAACAATATTTCATTGGTTCACTCTCTTAATCAGAATGTACGTTGTCCTACATTACCCAGATGCCGATGGATCTGTTCCCCATTGGTGAAACAATTTAATTATTGGTAACATAACAGTATCTAGCAGATAATTCTGGGGAATGTAGTCCTAAAACATTTGGAAAGAATAGTTGGCTTACCCCTGTGTGGGGTAGATCTCCCAATCTCGTTACCAATTTAGAAGGAATGTTGAAAAAGAAAATGACTGCTCCTATAAGGTTGACACAAAGAAAATGATTGTTGCTGGTTATTATGGTAATTTTAGTTGGTATAAAAATATAAAACCATAATATATATAAATCGTCTGGCAGAATACAAGCTGTATATCATCAATTCTTAGCATTTGAGAAAGTAAACATTTTTTTACTGGGAGACATAATAAAAAAAATTGAAATATGGAAGAAAGTGTGAAGAAATGTAGTAATGGTCGTAGATACCTGGCATGGCATTTCAGCAGAAATAGTAATGTCTCTCAGGGATATAGAAGGGGTAGTAGATACCTGGAATGGTCTTCAAGTTAACGATTTAAAGGCTAATGGTGATATAGAAGGGGTAGTAGATACACAGAGTAACCTTCCAGTGGATGTAGTAAAGACAAACACAAAAAGATGGAAACGACAACGTCTTGTCAGTGTTTTTTTCCGTAATTAATATTTCTTATCAGTAATTGGAAACAAAACATTTCATAGCAATAATTTATCAGTGGGATTTTCACTTAAGAGGCTAAATTACATGATTAAAAAATTGAAATTAAAAGTATAATAAAGGGTGGCCTTGTGTGAAGTAAGGGGAAAACTTTACACTAAAATCCAGGAACATAGTATCATTTCCAAAGATAGGCTGATTAGATTCATAAACATTATCTTATTCCTTTAAATTAGGATCATAAAAACATTGGAATTAAAATCCAACCCTACTGGTTGCATGTGGTACTGCAGAAATGGGGCATTTGCCTGTGACGGGTAAGGGCATTGTGCGTCTTCTGATTAACTGAGTGATCGATGTGCTTGCATTCCCTGCAAGTGCATTAACACTGGAGGTTAACTTGATGGAAGCATATGCTTTCTGCTGCACTTATGACACAGAGAGGCCGAGTAGAGTCTGCAGGTCTATGGCAGTCCTTGTCTAGATCATTACCTGTGCTCTTAACATTTTAAAGAAGGGTACCTGCCACTACTTTCTCTCTGTTGACAGCAGCAGACTAGGTTTCACGTAGCACTATATTTTAGTAAAATAAATAATGTTGATGTTTTTTTCCATGCATTCTTTCCCTGCGCTTCGTAAATATTGCTGCTTTCCCAGATAGCATAGTGAACGTTGCACTCTCGTATAATAAAAAATAAATAAAAACAATTTTAAACTGGTATTCTTGGATTTTTTTATTTTTTTTAAATATCATTACAGACATGACACAATTAAACCCAAATATTTCCAAAAATGAACTTATTTTTGGCAACCAAAAGCAAACCATATGAAAAAATGTGTTTTCTGCAAAACAAAGATATAAGGGGGCCAGTTTATGGTCATGTATCAGAAAACAAGTTGGTAAAAAAGAGAAAAAGGTTAAACCCGCTCACAATTCATCCAGTTATCGGGCTACAAAACAAATATGAACAAGTCTAGCGCCCTCCTGATAGGAATGTCCGCGGAGGACACGGCACTCATACACAGGGAATACGAATACGATAGCGGAACGATCAATCACGTATTTGGGTATACAACTGACGGCAGACCCCTCTAAACTTTATGACTGTAATTACCCCCCTCTAACTAAAACAATCATCAGGGACATGGAACATTGGACAGATAAGCCTATCTCATGGATGGGAAGAATATACTCCATCAAAATGAACATACTCCCGAGAATACTCTTCCTGCTCCAAGCCCTACCGATAACAGTAACAAAAGCAAGCCTAGCACACCTTCAAAAGGTGATAGATCTGTTCATATTGCAAAATAAAAGACACAGGGTGTCACGCAACATACTATACAGCCCAAAAAGAGTGGGAGGCTTTGGCTTACCCAACCTATACCACTACTATTTGGCAGTGCAACTTTCCCAAGTAGCATGTGGCATGCCCCACTAGTGGAGAGAAAATGGGTCGACCTTGAGTCACTCCTCATGGGCGCGGACCTCCCGCAATATGCCATGTGGGTACCAAAGGAGTTCAGGCCCTTGACACGGACAGGTTGCCCGGCCATCCGTAACTCCCTGTGACTGTGGGATACCTCTGCCCAGAAATACTCTCTAGCGTCTTCCCCATCGCCGCTCATGCCCTACCTGTGGAACAGAGCCTTTACGCCAGGTATGATTGCACGAGACTTCAAACACATAGAACAGGCAGGGTTACAGAGAATATGCCATCTGTTCGTAGACGGGATCATCATCGCCTTTAATGCCCTCAAACAAAGACGTCACCTCACCCCTGCTGATTTCTATAGGTACATACAGATTGCTGATTTTGCCAAATCACCACACATTAGGAAATCAGCACATGCGACCATGACCTTCTTTAAAAAAAATGTCTTAAGGAACAGTCACCTAAGGGTCTGCTCACCCTAATGTACGTGCAGAGACCAAAGACTGGGGCAAACTGACATGTGCAGACCAGTGGGAACGGGATCTAGGCAAGAAGAAGGCATAGAGGGGCAAGAAATCTGGGATGCCTGTGGATCCTCCTCCATATATGTGTCCATGCAAGAACAGTGCTTCAAAACATTATTTAGGTGGTACACCACCCCGGTTAAACTACACTGCATGCACAAAATGCCAACGGACTTGTGCTGGAGGAACTGTGGCCTTGGAGGAACCTACCTTCATATGTGGTGGGAATGCCCCAAAATTAAGGCTTTCTGGGAGGAGGTGAGGGGCGTAGTGAGACAGATTTTCCATAGGGCACTAGTTCTTGACCCATGGATATACTTACTAAATAAGTCGATAGAGTGATGGGCCCAAAACGAACAAAAGCTATTAAATAAAATCACATTAGCGGCCCGGAAGCAGTGGCTCAAAACTGGTTAAAAATGTACACCCCATCCATGCCAGAGGTAATTGGGAAGATAAAGGACAATCACTTAATGGACGATCTGACTGCCAGGGTGCGGGGTTCCAAGAGGAAATTTGATAAAGTATGGGGTTTGTGGGGGGAATGCCCACTCGCAGATTAGGATTGGAGAGGGACCGGGGGCAGGCATGTACCTGAACTGTGGCCGCTCGTGCCCCCCCCCGTACTTCCCCTCATCCTCATCCCCTCCCGGACGCGACCCACTCTCTTCCTTTCTTTTTCTAACCTTTCTTCTCCCGGTCATACATAGCTCACCCACGAGCCAAACTTTCGCGAAATCCGCACACATAGACAGTTAACAGGCAAACAATGAATAAAATTAGAGAATGAAATACTTAGATAAGGCATCCACCTATAAGGATTCACACAGCCTTCAGCCTATATTAGTGGTCCTCCACAGTAAGTCAGTCATGCAAGTTGTAATACATAGCATAGAAACATAGAATGTGACGGCAGATAAGAACCATTCGGCCCATCTGGTCTGCCGATTTTCTAAATACTTTCATTAGTCCCTGGCCTTATCTTATAGTTAGGATAGCCTTATGCCTATCCCACGCATGCTTAAACTCCTTTACTGTGTTAACCTCTACCACTTCAGCTGGAAGGCTATTCCATGCATCCACTACCCTCTCAGTAAAGTAATACTTCCTGATATTATTTTTAAACCTTTGTCCCTCTAATTTAAGACTATGTCCTCTTGTTGTGGTAGTTTTTCTTCTTTTAAATATAGTCTCCTCCTTTACTGTGTTGATTCCCTTTATGTATTTAAATGTTTCTATCATATCCCCCCTGTCTCGTCTTTCCTCCAAGCTATACATGTTAAGATCCTTTAACCTTTCCTGGTAAGTTTTATCCCGCAATCCATGAACCAGTTTAGTAGCCCTTCTCTGAACTCTCTCTAAGGTATCAATATCCTCCTGAAGATACGGTCTCCAGTACTGTGTACAATACTCCAAGTGAGGTCTCACCAGTGTTCTGTACAATGGCATGAGCACTTCCCTCTTTCTACTGCTAATAGCTCTCCCTATACAACCAAGCATTCTGCTAGCATTTCCTGCTGCTCCATTACATTGTCTGCCTACCTTTAAGTCACCAGAAATAATCACCCCTAAATCCCTTTCCTCAGATGTTGAGGTTAGGACTCTATCAAATATTCTGTACTCTGCCCTTGGGTTTTTACGTCCAAGATGCATTATCTTGCACTTATCCACATTAAATGTCAGTTGCCACATTTCTGACCATTTTTCTAGTTTACCTAAATCATTTGCCATTTGGCTTATCCCTCCTGGAACATCAACCCTGTTACAAATCTTAGTATCATCAGCAAAAAGACATACTTTACCATCAAGACCTTCTGCATTATCACTAATAAAAATATTAAAGAGAATGGGTCCAAGTACAGATCCCTGAGGTACCCGACTGTTGACAAGTCCAAGCTTCGAATATACTCCATTGACTACAACCCTCTGTTGTCTGTCACTTAGCCACTGCCTTACCCATTCAACAATATTGGAATCCAAACTTAAAGATTGCAGTTTATTGATAAGCCTTCAATGTGCAACAGTGTCAAAAGCCTTACTGAAATCTAGGTAAGCAATGTCTACTGCACCACCCTGATCTATAATTTTAGTTACCCAATCAAAAAAATCAATAAGATTAGTTTGGCATGATCTCCCTGAAGTATCTGGGGGTTGTTGTCTCTGATCTTGAAATCCATGTGTTTTTAGATGTTCAACAATCCTATCCTTTAACATGGTTTCCATCACTTTCCCCACTACTGAAGAAAGGCTTACTGGCCTATAGTTGCCCGACTCGTCCCTATTACCTTCCTTGTGAATGGGCACAACATTTGCTAACTTCCAATCTTCTGGGACGACTCCTGTTAACAATGATTGGTTAAATTAATCTGTTAATGGTTTTGCTAGTACACCACTAAGCTCTTTTAATAGCTTTGGGTGTATTCCATCAGGTCCCATTGACTTATTTGTCTTTACTTTTGACAGTTGAAATAGAACCTCTTCCTCTGTAAACTCACGTGTAATAAATGACTCATTTATCCTTTTTCTCAACTGAGGTCCCTTTCCTTCATTTTCATCTGTAAATACAGAACAAAAATATTCATTGAGGCAGTCAGCTAGACCTTTATCCTCTTCTACATACCTTCCTTCTTTTGTTTTTAATCTAACTAATCCTTGTTTTACTTTTCTTTTCTCATTTATGTATCTAAAAAATGTTTTGTCCCCCTTTTTTACTGACTGTGCTATTTTCTCTTCTGTGTGTGATTTGGAAGCTCTTATAACTTGCTTAGCCTCTTTCTGCCTAATCTTATAGATCATTTTGTCTTCCTCACTCTGGGTTTTTTTATAATTCCTAAATGCTAACTTTTTGTTTTTAACTATTTTAGCCACATCTGCGGAGTACCACAGTGGTTTCTTTCATTTTTTGCTTTTACTGACAAGCTTAATGCAATTTTCTGTTGCCTTCAATAGTGCAACTTTTAAATAATCCCATTTCTCTTGGACTCCATTTAAATTGCTCCAGTCTGATAATGACTCCTCTACACATATTCTAATTTTAGAAAAGTCTGTTTTTCTAAAGTCTAAAACTTTTGTTTTTGTGAGGTGTGACTCAGTCACTGTTCTTATATTAAACCACACTGACTGATGATCACTGGATCCTAAACTTTCACCTACAGTAACATCTGATACCAAATCTCCATTTGTTAACACTAAATCTAGTATGGCCTCTTTACGAGTTGGCTCCTCAACAACTTGTTTTAGAGACAATCCCAGTAGGGAGTTTAGAATATGTGTGCTCCTGGCACAAGTAGCTAATTTTGTTTTCCAATTTACATCAGGAAGATTAAAGTCACCCATGATGATAACTTCCCCCTTCATTGTCATTTTAGCTATTTCCTCAACTAGTAGATTATCTAACTCTTCAATTTGTCCTGGGGGCCTATAAATCACACCTACACGAGTTACTGTGTGATTACCAAATTCTAACGTAACCCAAATGGACTCTATGTTCGCCTCACTAACTTTTATTAGGCTAGATTTTATGATATCCTTCACATACAGGGCCACCCCTCCCCCTTTTTTGCCTTCCCTGTCTTTTCTATATAAAGAGTACCCTGGTATTGCTATGTCCCAGTCATTTTTCTCATTATACCATGTCTCAGTAACAGAGACTAAATCTACACTATCAGGTGCCATTATTGCTACAAGTTCATGAATCTTATTCCCTAAACTGCGAGCATTTGTAGACATGACTCTAAGCTTATCATTTTTTAACACACTTGCTACAGGCACCTTCTGTCCTTGTTTTGGGGGACAATTGGATTGATGTTTTATCACCCTTTTGCCCTCCCCTCCTAGTTTAAATACATCCTAGCAAAACCTCTAAACTGCTCACTGAGAACATTTTTTCCCTTTTGAGAAAGAACCATATTTTTTGTACAGGTTATTTCCATTCCAAACAGAGCTACCATGAGAAATAAAGCCAAATCCTTGCTCCCGACACCATTCACCAAGCCACAAATTAAAGTCCCTAATACGCATCTGCCTGTCGTTCTGAGTATTATGCACAGGCAGAACTTCAGAGAATGAAAGTGTGGAAGCAACCTGCCATACATCATTGGCAAAAACATTAAAAACTTCCTTAACCTCTGAAACATCATTGCAAGCCAAGTCATTTGTCCCTAGATGGACAAGTACATCCAATTCCCCTTCCTGCTTTGCTCGCTTAACAATATTACAGATACGTCTCCTGTCTCTGTGAGCAGTAGCTCCGGGAAGACACCTCACAAGACCACCATTGTCCATCTCCACACCTCTTATGATGGAATCCCCCAACAACAACTGCTTTCTATTAGGCCTCACCATAGTCTCCAAGTCTGTCTCCACAACACTACTAGCCTCAGTGCCTCTCTCCACAACACCACTAGCCTCAGTGCCTCTCTCCACAATACCACTAGTCTTAGTTCCTCTCTCCACAACACCACTAGCCTCAGTGCCTCTCTCCACAACACCATTACAATCTGAAAGTGCAGAAAATGAATTATGTAGAGCAACAGACTGTGCAATATGCCTTTTATCCACAACTCTAAGTCTACCAGATCCTACAGTAATCCATCTGCCATTCCTAGTATGTCTCTACGGCAGTGGCTTTGCAGCAAGACTACTATACTGGGCAACCAGAACACTGGAAGTTGTGCTTTGTTTATTAGAATGCCACTGTAAAACCTTGACAGACTGGGCTTTCCAGCCAATTGGATTTTAATGCATTTCATGTAGTGGAAGTTTTTTTTTTTTGTCGTTCTTACATATCACATATGCCACGCTTCATGTTTCACGAGGCGGTTTGTACCTTGGCTTCATATTGTTAATGTATTACAGTCTTTGTCAACGCAAAAATAGAGAATTTAAAAAAATAAAAAAGAGAAAAAGGTTTGCAGAGAAGGCAGAGAAAGTTGTAAAACAGTTCAGTTTCACCAACAAAACCTATCGTGTTCTAATCCAGCTGCCGAGCACATGATCCACTGGAACAGAAAAAAAAAGCAAACTTGCAGACTGTGTTGATGTTAACTAACGTCATTAGTGAGCACCTATGATTATTAAATGGGGTATATGGTGGAATATGGAATGTGAAAGTGTTGGAGTATCGCAGGAGATGAGTGAGGACTCAAGGAGAGGAGGAGTGAGGCTGTGGTAAACGAGGATAAGACATTTGAATTTGGGGAGATGGAGATTCCCATTCACAGGTATTTTTGGGGGAGAACGGGTGTTCTATGAACTTGTTAATGAGGTACAAGCATCTGCATTTTGAATTTGCTGGAGTGGAATATTGGAGTTGTATGGCTGGCTGAGCAGGAGGGAGTTGCTGTACTCAATCCTTGTAAAAATGAGGCAATGAGTGAAGGCGAGACAGCAGATTTTCAGGATATTAAAGCAATGAAAGAGGCAGACATTAGTAACAGTGGATACATGTTTATCCAAAAATAGCCAAATTGACGTCAGAGAGGCAGATCAAAATGCAGCAGAAGAGGTCAGGTGTAAAGAAGGTGAAACAGAAGGCGATTTTGGTGTCATATGCAAAGAAATGGGTTGCAAAGCCAGTGGAAGAAATTAGATAAAAAAATGTGGATATATAGAGAGAGAACGGGCAGGAACTGAGCCTTGTGGCACACAGACTGGGAGAATGATGAGTTATTTGCACATAAATGAGCAGAAAGGATAAGCGTGGAGTGAGGACAGTCCCAATGGTACCAAGGATATCCAAGGTTGATAGAGCTGTAGAAAGATAGATGTGGAGAGGCCATAAAGGATGACTGTGGAAGAGCGCTGAGAAAACTGCGCATGGATAAGGACGTTATGGACACAGAGAAAACATTGTTTGGAGTTTGACCCTAAAAAACCTATTTACATCTATGGGTTTCTCAGACGGCCATGGCCATAAAATCTGCTGAAAAGAATAGTATCTAGTAAACTTGATACAAAGACTCCTGCAGGCTTTTAAAATACGTGCATCTTAATGAATATTTGGTCTGGCTTGAGTTTTGGTCTGGTCTGCATCTCAAGTCTCATGAACTCCAGTCCTGTCCCTGATCTGCCCTCTCCCCCCCGCCCCCATATTTTCTGTACAGTGTTGCCAAAACACAACACTCTAAGCATATTTTGTATACTTTAACAACAAGACCGTGTCATTCCCACTCACATGATACTGAGCAATGATTTGCTCTGATCTTCAGTGTATACTTGCCACTCTAAATCCCTGAGATTTCTAACACATGGTGGCGGATGCAAATGGCATTTTTCAACATACTTTCAAGAGTCCGGAATGACCAACAGACAGTCAAAAGCAGGGCAATGATTACTCACTGTCAGGTGAGGATGGACAGACAAGATCATACACTAAACTCTAACTGTAGGGAATTAAAATCTGAAAGGCAAAATATAGGCAAAAATAGCTGCTGCTGATTTGGAGAATGTTTTCCAGATTATCTATTTGAACTAAGTTTTGCTATTTGGATTTCGGCTTGCTACAATACGTAGTTTTACGAAAAAATCTCTAGAGTCTTTCTGAATAACAAACACACAAAGTCAAAAACATACAAACACTGGAGGGAATTATGTCACACTAAGCAATTATTTAACCTCCTCTGCATATCAAATCCTGTGCTCTTTCCGTGACTCCTTGTATACCCAGCTGATCACGCCACCCCGCACCATCTGGGTACTTTCATGCCAGATTTTAAAGAATAAAAAAAATGTATATGTAATATGTACTGCAGCACCCAGCGCTGTCAGTTTGAATTTGGAGCAGAACCAGTCAAACTTGCGTAACAAGCCCAATTTACAGTAGCAAAGTTAATTAAATGTTTATAGCTTGAATTCCCTTTAATTGGTTTAATTATTCTGAAGAAGATTGATCAGTGTATCTGGCATTTTTAATACCTCACGCTTCTGGTCTATCTTTTGAGATTTTAAATTAAAGCTGAATACAAACACATAGAAGTAGATGTAATAAATACATTGGGGTTTATTTTGCCATCTCGGAGACACTGACCGTACTGAGCAGCTATGCACTGACAGGGTACATTTCTCTAAATGGAGACACAGTTATTAAAGGGACACTATAGTCACCTGAACAACTTTAGCTTAATGAAGCAGTTTTGGTGTATAGAACATTCCCCTGCAGCCTCACTGCTCAATCCTCTGCCATTTAGGAGTTAAATCCCTTTGTTTATGAACCCTAGTCACACCTCCCTGCATGTGACTTGCACAGCCTTCCATAAACACTTCCTGTAAAGAGAGCCCTATTTAGGCTTTCTTTATTGCAAGTTCTGTTTAATTAAGATTTTCTTATCCCCTGCTATGTTAATAGCTTGCTTGCAAGACCCTGCAAGAGCCTCCTGCATGTGATTAAAGTTCAATTTAGAGATTGAGATACAATTACTTAAGGTAAATTACATCTGTTTGAAAGTGAAACCAGTTTTTTTTTTTCATGCAGACTCTGTCAATCATAGCCAGGGGAGGTGTGGCTAGGGCTGCAAAAACAGAAACAAAGTGATTTAAAGGACCACTCTAGGCACCCAGACCACTTCAGCTTAATGAAGTGGTCTGGGTGCCAGGTCCCTCTAGGGTTAACCCATTTTTTAATAAACATAGCAGTTTCAGGGAAACTGCTATGTTTATGAATGGGTTAAGCCTTCCCCTAAAGCCTCTAGCGGTTGTCTCATTGTAAATGCTTTCCTATGCGACCGGCTGAATGCGCGCGCAGCTCTTGCCGCGCGTGCGCATTCAGCTAAATGGGCGGAGAGGAGGAGGATCGGAGGAGAAGAGCTCCCCGCCCGGTGCTGGAGAAAGGTAAGTTTTTACCCCTTTCCCCCTTCCAGAGCCGGGCGGGAGGGGGTCCCTGAGGGTGGGGGCACCCTCAGGGCACTATAGTGCCAGGAAAACGAGTATGTTTTCCTGGCACTATAGTGGTCCTTTAACTCCTAAATGACAGTGAATTGAGCAGTGAAATTGCAGGGGAATGATCTATACACTAAAACTGCTTTATTTAGCTAAAGTCATTTAGGTGACTATAGTGTTCCTTTAACTAAATTCTGAATTCTAGCAAATTAAAACCAGAATGGAAAAAAGGCCAATTTAAGGCCAAATTAGGCCAACGAAGACAACTACAGCTTTTTTGCAATTATAGTTTATGTTCACTAGAGTTGGGTGTTAATGAAATAATGAAATAAGCCTTACTCCTCCTAGAGCAGTGGTTTCCAAACCAGTCCTCTAGTCTACCAGTCCAGGGATGGAGGGATTACCCAGTTGTGTTTAAGGAGTGTTTAGAAAGAAAGACACAATTGGGTAATCCCTAAATCCTGGACAGGTAGGTGCGCCTTGAGGGCTGGTTTGGAAACCACTGCCTTAGAATGTAAGCTCATTGATCAGGGCCCTCAATACCCGCTGTTCCTGTTAATTTTTAACGTGTCTTGTTACAAATACATGTCTGTTACTCCCCCTATTGTACAGCGCTGCGGAATTCGTTGGCGCTATTATAAATAATAATAACAATACTAATTAACAGTATCTGGGCCTTTCTAGGAATCTGCTGGGCTGAACCATTTTACTTGCTCACACAATGAGAAATGTATTAGTATTAAAATACTAACATATATGCAATAATTTAAAAATATATATATAAAATACGGCAACTCAAATTATTTAATAGATATAATTATGGTTTAAACATTTTTATAATGGTTTTAAAATTGTAATTAAAATGATAAAACATTGGTTTAGATTTCACTTCCATAATTAAAGAATCGCAGTTTATTGTCTTCATACTCCCATACGGGCATTATAGTGGCAGTGTTTGTTTCCAGGGGGAAGTGTTAGAGCGGTGCACAGCATGGGATGAAGCAGGAGGTGGCGGCCGGAAGCTCGGTTGGCAGAGGCGGAAGTGGCCGGTTGTCACGCCGTGCAGTGCTGGGGCATGGCGGTGCCGGTACCCGCGGGGGCTGCGTGATGTGAGCACCATGGCCAAGCTGGAGGGGATGTGTTTCTGGGAGCACACCCTGCGGGGGGCTCGCTATGTGCTGGCTCCCATGGTGGATCAGAGCGAGCTGGCCTGGAGGTTGCTCAGCCGCAGACACGGCGCCCAGCTCTGCTACACCGCCATGCTGCACGCCCAGGTCTTCCTCCGAGACGGCAACTACCGCAGGGAGAACCTGTACTGCGAGCTCAGCCCGGAGGACCGGCCCCTCATCGTGCAGGTGGGAGTCACATGGAGCAGCAACATGGCACCCACCGAGCAGGGGGTCCCCCCCATCCCATCACCCCTAATGTAACCCTAACATGGACCAGCAACCTGGCACATCATCCCTAATGTAACCCTAACATGGACCAGCAACCTGGCACCTCACCCCTAATGTAACCCTAACATGGACCACCAACCTGGCACATCATCCCTAATGTAACCCTAACATGGACCACCAACCCGGCACCTCATCCCTAATGTAACCCTAACATGGACCACCAACCTGGCACATCATACCTAATGTAACCCTAACATGGACCACCAACCTGGCACCTCATCCCTAATGTAACCCTAACATGGACTACCAACCTGGCACATCATACCTAATGTAACCCTAACATGGACCACCAACCTGGCACATCATCCCTAATGTAACCCTAACATGGACCACCAACCCGGCACCTCACCCCTAATGTAACCCTAACATGGACCAGCAACCTGGCACCTCATCCCCAATGTAACACTAACATGGACCAGCAACCTGGCACCTCATCCCTAATGTAACCCTAACATGGACCACCAACCTGGCACATCATCCCTAATGTAACCCTAACATGGACCACCAACCTGGCACATCATACCTAATGTAACCCTAACATGGACCACCAACCTGGCACATCATCCCTAATGTAACCCTAACATGGACCACCAACCCGGCACCTCACCCCTAATGTAACCCTAACATGGACCAGCAACCTGGCACCTCATCCCCAATGTAACACTAACATGGACCAGCAACCTGGCACCTCATCCCCAATGTAACACTAACATGGACCAGCAACCTGGCACCTCAACCCTAATGTAACCTTAACATGGACCACCAACCTGGCACATCATCCCTAATGTAACATGGACCAGCAACATGGCACCTCATCCCTAATGTAACACTAACATGGACCACCAACATGGCACCTCACCCCTAATGTAACATGGACCACCAACATGGCACCTCACCCCTAATGTAACATGGACCAGCAACATGGCACCTCATCCCTAATGTAACACTACCATGGAGCAGGAACCTGGCACCCACCGAGCAGGGGGTCTCCCCCATCATCCCTAATGTAACCCTAACATGGACCACCAAACTGGCACCTCATCCCTAATGTAACACTAACATGGACCACCAACCCGGCACCTCACCCCTAATGTAACCCTAACATGGACCACCAACCCGGCACCTCATCCCTAATGTAACACTAACATGGACCACCAACCCGGCACCTCACCCCTAATGTAACACTAACATGGACCACCAACCTGGCACCTCATCCCTAATGTAACACTAACATGGACCACCAACCTGGCACATCATCCCTAATGTAACCCTAACATGGACCACCAACCCGGCACCTCATCCCTAATGTAACACTAACATGGACCACCAACCCGGCACCTCATCCCTAATGTAACTCTAACATGGACCACCAACATGGCACCTCATCCCTAATGTAACCCTAACATGGACCACCAACATGACACCTCATCCCTAATGTAACACAAACATGGACCACCAACCTGGCACCTCATCCCTAATGTAACACTAACATGGACCACCAACCTGGCACCTCACCCCTAATGTAACACTAACATGGACCACCAACATGGCACCTCATCCCTAATGTAACCCTAACATGGACCACCAACATGGCACCTCATCCCTAATGTAACCCTAACATGGACCACCAACCTGACACATCATCCCTAATGTAACACTAACATGGACCACCAACATGTCACCTCATCCCTAATGTAACACTAACATGGACCACCAACCTGGCACCTCACCCCTAATGTAACACTAACATGGACCAGGAACCTGGCACCTCATCCCTAATGTAACACTAACATGGACCAGAAACCTGGCACCTCATCCCTAATGTAATACTAACATGGACCAGGAACCTGGCACCTCACCCCTAATGTAACACTAACATGGAGCAGGAACATGGCACCTCATCCTTAATGTAACACTAACATGGACCAGCAACCTGGCACCTCATCCTTAAATAACACTAACATGACCAGCAACCTGGCACCTCATCCCTAATGTAATACTAACATGGACCAGGAACCTGGCACCTCATCCCTAATGTAACACTAACATGGACCAGCAACCTGGCACCTCATCCCTAATGTAATACTAACATGGACCAGGAATCTGGCACCTCATCCCTAATGTAACACTAACATGGACCAGCAACATGGCACCTCATCCCTAATGTAACACTAACATGGACCAGCAACCTGGCACCTCATCCCTAATGTAACACTAACATGGACCAGGAACCTGGCACCTCATCCCTAATGTAACACTAACATGGACCAGCAACATGGCACCTCATCCCTAATGTAACACTAACATGGACCAGCAACCTGGCACCTCATCCCTAATGTAACACTAACATGGACCAGCAACATGGCACCTCATCCCTAATGTAACACTAACATGGACCAGCAACATGGCACCTCATCCCTAATGTAACACTAACATGGACCAGCAGCATGGCACCTCATCCCTAATGTAACACTAACATGGAGCAGCAGCATGGCACCTCGTCCCTAATGTAACACTAACATGGAGCAGGAACCTGGCACTCACCGAGCAGGGGGTCCACCCCATCACCCCTGATGTAACGCTAACATGGACCACCAACATGGCACCTCATCCCTAATGTAACACTAACATGGACCAGCAACATGGCACCTCATCCCTAATGTAACACTAACATGGACCAGCAACATGGCACCTCATCCCTAATGTAACACTAACATGGATCAGCAACATGTCACCTCACCCCCAATGTAACACTAACATGGACCAGGAACCTGGCACCTCATCCCTAATGTAACACTAACATGGACCAGGAACCTGGCACCTCACCCCTAATGTAACACTAACATGGACCAGCAACATGGCACCTCATCCCTAATGTAACACTAACATGGACCAGCAGCATGGCACCTCATCCCTTACCCCACACTAACACGGGGTTTCTCACATTCTCCCACAATGACTTGGGGCTTTCCATCCCATTCCTTATCTCATTAAAACATTACCTTTAATACCTTATTTCACACAGACGTAGAGCTCCCCACCTCATCTAATCGCACACTTGGATTGTGTTTTCCACTTGATTCCACACTCACATCGGAATGGCAACATTTAGACTGAGATAGCCCAAGTGTGACTGTACATGAATTAGTGGGTTTTTATCAAACCAGCTATTTAAAAAAATAAAATAAAAAAATGACTTTTTGCCTAAACTGCGCAATCCACATTTTACCTTGCTTTAATTTGGTGTTTAATGAATAATCCTGATGGTGTTTACCACCTGACCCCTCAATCCCATGTTCATATTAACCCATTAATATTTCTCGTTGTAGTTTTGTGCAAATGACCCAGAAGTTTTTGTTCAGGCTGCGCTTTTAGCTCAGGATTACTGTGACGCCATTGACTTGAATCTGGGCTGTCCTCAGATGATTGCGAAGAGGGGTAAGGAATTAGTCTATCAGTGTTATTTAAAAACCATAAATAATAAACTAAATTTTAATTATACTTGTATGCAGCGATGCACACAATTTAAACAAGTTCTCTGTCAATTAGATTTTATTTTTGTATGTTTTATCTATTGCTCTATCCTCTTTAGCTTAGTATATTGTTCCTTGACATGTGCTCAATAAGTGGTCCATCTCCATCTTCTGTCCAGGTCATTATGGAGCCTTCCTTCAAGAAGAGTGGGATCTCCTAGAGAAGATGAGTAAGTGTTTTTCATGGTATCGATGGTCCTCACCATGCTTTTATTTGTTTGTCAGATAAGTTTCACTCACTGTGGCTTCTGCTTCCTAGTTCAGTTGGCGCACAAAAAACTCTCCGTGCCCATTACCTGCAAAATCAGAGTTTTTCCTGAAATTGACAAAACTGTAGAATATGCAAAATTACTGGAGAAAGCCGGGTGCCAGGTGGGTCTCCTGTACCTTATATTTTTATTCCACGTAAGATATTTATTTAAAGTTGCAAAAGTGTGTTAAATATTGCTTTGCTTAAAAGAACACTAGAGGCAAATAAAAAACTTAATTTTGCTGAAGTGCTGTTTGTGTCTGGAGTCTATTTTTATAATTTTTTTCTGTTTATAAAAGTGCAAATTTCTGTAGAAATCAGCACTTTTATATCTGGGGTCAGAAACCGCTTCCTGGGTCACACAGCAAAGGATGGTTTTTACCACTCCTAGCTCCACAGAAATGATGGAAGTGGCAGGCGTGCTGGGCTATGGTAACCTACCGTCCCCTCTTCTAAATGAACTATACTACAGCTCACCTGGAAGCATTGCAAAGCTGTGATCATGTGGGTGCATGTTTTTGCTCACAGCTCTATCATAGACTTCTCAAAGAGCAGCCTCTGACTATTGTATTCTGTGGCACAGACCATATGGACTTGCAAAGGCTGCAGGCAGCAGGTCTATGCCACTTTTGCAGCATTTTCCAGTGTGTTATCTTTCTGATTTTGTGATGTTCTAGTTAAAGTGTCATGCCAGGTTCAACTAAATGTAGAACAGCTCCTAAAGCGAAAAACATATAATTTGTCATCGAGATGAATTATAGTGAATTGATTTTGAGCGGTTATACTTACCTGCTGTCACTCGCTCCACTGCTGCCAATCCTGGAGATTTGAGTGTTCTACATTATTGTAACACCCACCACCTGTTCTCCTTGCTGTCTTCCCCCCCATGCACATTGATTGGCATTGCTTGGTTTCTTTCTGAAGAAGGGCAATCCTTCCTGTTGCCTCCAGCATGCTGGCTTTACTTCCAACACATCTGGTGTCAGAACAGAATATCGTCTGTTTCTTATGCTTTTTGTAAAATATCTGTGACAGAGCAGTAAAACAACTGGTAGGAGGGTTTTCCTGTATTCTGTCACTCAACCCTTGCCATGGACAGCTGCCACCATAGAGGTGTCTTTGCCAACGGTTTAACTGGTAACAACACTGCATTTAAAATAATCCTGGTCAGACCACCTTTCCAGTAAGTGCCCCTGGGCAAGACACCTAATGATATATATCTACCTACCTCAAATCCTTGTAGATTGTAAGCTAATGTAAGCAGCGCCTTATGTCAAATATCCCAATTCTTTAATTGTAAAAGCATTGCAGAATTTGTTGGGGCTGTATCAATGCTAATTATAATAAATGAGGAGGTTGGCAACATTTTAAAGAGGTTTTAATTAAAATCTCTGCATTTGCTAGCACAGCGAATTGATGAAATCTGATGTTTTTCATTTTAATGGGATTTTCTGGATACAATGAGAGGGACCCTGCACTACTGCATATTCTAGTTGTTATGGTGCAAACGTCAAACGAAGATGGTTTTCCTTTTTGGAAAGTGACAGATCCATTATCTAAGGTTGATTTGATGAAAGTCGTTATTGTCCCCTTTTTTTGGTCACTTTTCCTCTAACTAGTAATATCCTGTTATTTAGCTGCTCACAGTTCACGGCCGTACGAAGGAGCAGAAAGGTCCGTTGACTGGCGTTGCATCCTGGGAACATATTAAAGCTGTTCGGTGAGTCTGTATCCATTTACAGTTTTCTGCCTATTAAACCCTTGTGTGTAGGACAAAACTGTCCATCACTTAGTCTATGGTAGACTGAAATGCAGTGGCTGGAGTTAAAGGACTACTATAAGCAACCAGACCACTTCAGCTCAATTAAGTGGTTTGGGTGCCAGGTCCCTCTAGTGTTAACCCTGCTGCTGAGGGTTAATCCAGCTTCTAGTGGCTGTCTCACTGACAGCCGCTAGAGGTGCTTCCGCGATTCTCGCTGTGAAAATCACAGTGAGAAGACGCTGGACGTCCATAGGAAAGCATTGTGTAATGCTTTCCTATGGACTGTAAGCATGCAAGGCTCTTACCGCGCATTCAGCGCTGACGTCACCTAGAGGAGGAGAGTTCCCCAGCGCAGAGGGAGCCCGGCGCTGGAGAAAGGTAAGTGAGTGAAGGGGGGCCATGAGGGTGGGGGGGAGTTTGTTTTCCTGGCACTATAGTGGTTCTTTAAAATAAAAGCACATGTATTTTTATTTTTTTTCAGTCTCCTGCAATTACTGATTATTTATTTTATTTTTTCCCTCCTGCTAGAAATGCAGTAAGCATACCGGTTTTTGCTAATGGGAACATCCAGTACCTTGGGGATGTGGAGCGGTGCATTCTGGAAACGGGGGTGCAAGGTGTGATGAGTGCAGGTTAGTTCTGATGAGTGCAGGTTAGTTCTCATGGCATTATTCTCCTTTTGGTTTATGTTCTCATAGCAGCCACTGATTGGTGTCATTCCTCACAGCCATCATGGTATCTCAGGATTAGGTCTTAATTTGAGTCCTATAACCTGCTTTGGGTTATTTATATGGTGTCCTGATTCCAAGGGCCAATGATTATTTCAAGGAGCCGTCTAGACACCATCACCACTGCATGTCATTATTGTGGTTATGGTGCCATTAGGCTGCATGTTCTGTGTCCCAGTTTGTGGTTAAACACTTGTCAATTGGTTTGACAGAAACTGGGGGTCTCTGAGACATCTGCATCATATTCCCCTGCTGGGCTGTTAACGTGAAAACTGCCGTTCTCTGCCTGTGAATACCATTAAAATATGAACAAACCTGATAACCATGCAGAAGCAAAATAAAAAAAAAGGTTTGTTAGCAGTAACCGAGCCTATGGTGCCCAGAATACTGCTTTAAGAGCGCATGTTATACAATGCAGCGCTGACTGGAATAGTGTCTCTTTTAAAGGAACACTATTACTGTTTTCCTAACAGTAAAGTGTCCCTCTGCTCCCTCCCACGGAAGTTAAAGGGACTTACTTTATTCCAGCACTGAGGTCCCTTGGAGCTGGATTCTTGCTCCACCTCTTCCAATGTCAGCCCAGAGGGGCAACCTAATGCACATGTGTGGCCAAACCACATAGGAAGGGCCTCTAGAGGCAGTTTTAGCGTACAGTGTAAATATTGTTGTTTTCTTTCTAACGGAATGTTGTAATATTTAACATTGGGGGACAGGGACACTGCACCCAGACCACTTCAATGAACTGAAGTACTCTGGATGCCTATAGTTTTCCTTTAAGCAAAACCCTGTTACATTTCAGGCGATCACTCCCCAAAACTGGTAAGTTGGTAATGGAATACACCATTGCAGCTACTTAAATATATCCATAGGTTCTATATTTATTTTTCGGTTTGTTAATAGTAAAAGGACACTCCAGGGTAATGAACTTTCCGCAGAAAAACACCAGTTGTGAGAGTGAGCATTAATATAGATATAAATTGGGACAAAATGATCGCTTGGAGCGCAGAACAAAAATAGACTGAATCATAATCTGAGTAACTACAGATTGTTCACTGACAGCGACGGAAACAAAGTGGAAAACCATTTCCTGCATGTGGAAAAAACACAGCATATTGATAAAGAAAAAAAAAAAAATATGAAATGAATTGAAGTGGTATTGGGGCCTGGAGTGGCCCTTTAAGTCTGGGTGATTGAGACAGAACTCAGAATTGTTGTTAGTCGTGCCTGGTTGATTTATTTCTCTTTGTTTCAGAGGGAAACCTCCATAACCCGGCCCTGTTTGAAGGGAAAAATCCTGTGGTTTGGGAAATGGCAGAGGAATATTTTGAGCTTGTCCAGCAATTCCCATGCCCTCTGTCCTTCGTGCGAGCTCACCTGTTCAAACTTTGGCATCACGCGTAAGTCTATGTTTATCTTTATTCATTTAAAGGGAAATTGCAGTTAGTGGAAAAACTGAAACAATATTCCTGTTCTCCTCAATGTATTGCATGCACTGTCTGAACTGAATGGTGGTCACTGGTTAAAGGCATCAAAACAACTTTAGCCTAATGAAGCAGTTTTATTAAGATCATGTCCCTGTAGACTAACTGCTCAATTCTCTGCCATTTAGGAGTTAAATTCATTTTGTTCCTGTTTATGCAGCCCTAGCCAAACACCCCTGGCTGTGATTGACACAATTTGGTGAAAAAAATGGTTCATTTTCAATCAGACATTAAGTTACTTTAGAAGTTATCTTCTGCTCTGTAAATGGGATCTTGATCAGACACAGGAGGCTCCTGCAAGATCAAGAAAGCTATTTATAGAGCAGGAGATAAGAAATGCTAAATTAAACACACTATTCAATAAGGGACATTTAAGCAGTAAATCTCTTTGCAGGAAGTGCTTTGGCAGGCTGTGCACCATACATGCAGGGAGGTGTGACTAGAGCTGTAAAAACAAAGTGACTTATCTTCTAAATGGCAGACAATAGAGCAGTGAGGCCACTGGGGCATGATTTATACACCAAAACTGCTTCATTAAGCTAAAGTTGTTTTGGTGCCTATAGTGTCGCTTTAAAACATATATTATACATTTCAAAAGATATGGTGAATCGTGGGGGGTGGGGAGGGGGTGGCATTTTGCCAAGTTACAGGGGATTTTCAGTATTGTATTCAGTGGTTTTAATAACCATTATGCAAAGCAGGGGTGCCCATTGCATTTCTATCCATTAGAGATGTTGTGTTTTGGGAATGTAAATCTTCGAATCTGAATTTGAATGTAATGTCTCCAGCCCATTATATTTAAATTTAGGAAGAAAGGTCTCCAGACTTGATTTTAATTACGCCTTTGTGACTCTGATCAGTTAATGCTATGGTGTTTATTTAAACGGCGCAAAACATTGGGCTGCGTTTATTAAAGCAGAACTAAATGCTATTCTCTGGTAGAGGGCTAACTTATGTCTCTGAGCATGAAACACATTTTCCCAGAAGAGCACCTGTTTTTGTCTTGATAAATATGGCTGTTTTACTGAGTCATGGGGCTTTATCCGTGTTTATTACCCATACAAACTAAATCTGCAAGCAACTCACCGGTTAATATCTGGGTGCTTTGCAAACATCCCAACAAAAGTTTGGCTGGCTGAGCATAGTAGGAGTTGTAGGTAATCACTGCAGCCGGTTTCTCCAGTTCTCTTTCCTTAGGTTAAACCGTCAGCTGTACTAGGTGTCTGTAAGGAGAGTTATTCTGGGATATATTTAAACTAAATTCTCCAGAGGTTGACCTTTTGAAATTTAAATAGTCGTATAATAATTTCCTGGTGGTTGAGATAATGAGGATTCCTTGCCCTGCGCGTTCCACTCCTGACGACGCTGTGCCGAGGCTATTCTCAGAACTTTCTTTACAGCGAGCTCCCCAGAGACATTAAATGCGTATTTCCTTTTCTCTGAAGCCTTTCATTGCAGATGTAATGTGATCAGGACAGCCATGTTAGGATTGGCTCATTCAGATCTAATGAAGGATTACATAAGGAAGCTTCAGACTACAAAGTAACGGCATGAGACGCCGGCTCACTATCAAAGGAAGAACCTGTTTGATTAGAGCTTATTTGGATTGTCTGGTGCAGATCTCATGCTTACATGTTGACGCGTGTATCCTAATCTACACTTCTCCATTGTTTGAAATCTTAAGAACGGAATGGATTTCTGTTTCTTAAAATGTGTGGTCCTTGGATTAAAATCCCCTCCACTCTGACTTTAAAAATCAAGCAAAAATATAGGTCTTGATTTGAATAATTTTGGATACACTTTTCAATCCGGTTTATATATAAAAAAAAATATATATATATTTTAATATATTGTAATGTGTTCAAACGTTTATGCGAAAATGTTACAATCAAGGCTAGAGTTGGACTTAGAATTAAAGGCTTGAACATTACTGTGAATGGGATGATGGGCTTGGGTGCTGTTGGCTATAAGGGAGGCATGTTTTTAGGAAGTACTTGGTGATTACTTTGATTTGTGGGTCTTATCACAAGTTTAGGAGGGATGAGAGCTCAGGCTCCAAGGGGTAATTTCTGTCCACTTTTTCTTTTTTATTGTACAAATTAAGGTTGATGTCCATCTTAAAATCTGGGTGCTCATCCATGTCATATTTGTTTCTAAAATGCATTAAATAAAGGTAAATATAATCAATGTGTCATTTCATTAAAGTTGGCCACTTTCACACAAAAAAACTCTCTTGCGCATCTCTGTATGTTGTGGGTTTTTGCTGGAGTCTGTCTGTACATTGACTTTAATAGCTTGAAAACGGACAGGATTTGTATATATTTCTTTATTTATTTATTTATTTTTTATTCTTTGTGCACAAGATGACACCAGAGGTCGTGTCGCCACGACAACATTTGCGTATAGTAGGAACAGCATAATAAACAATATGTACATAGCGTGGAACAGAGGCACAGTTTTGATATTACATTAACTTGTATAAAATGACGGTGCGTAGTAGGGGTCTGCAGTAATCGTGCGGTCAGGCCAAGGTTGTTTGAGACTGTCCACAAGAGCTGTTATAGAGCTAGTGTCCGTGTGGGTCATGTCTACGTATCTAGTAGCCTGGCCTGATCATCCCTTCGGGCGGGGTATGGGTATAGGGCCGTTGCAGTTATGTGCTACTGGTTTTGAAAGGTAATTATGATCGCAATCGCATGTGGTGGGGCCAATCATTGGCTCCCTCTCGCTATTGGGGGTCGCGTTTGTAAGTCTCCAACGGAGCTAGTATGAGTCCCTCTTATTGGGTTCTGGTGCTATTATCAGTGTCCTGCCAGTTTCCGCCCCTAACCCACCACCCCCCTCTATTACTCCGCCCTTTGTAGCCGGGTGACAAGGCTGCTGTTAGCTTCCTATATCGATCTGCGCTTATGGGTGCTATTTGTGTGTGTTAGGGGGCCCCCTGAGGAGACAGGGGCCAAAGAGAGTAAGAGAGATAGATGTTTTAAGAGGAAAATAGAAGTAGTGAGAGAGCAGGGGAGGGAGAGAGGGGGTTAAGAGGCAAGGCTCTGGGCAGGCAGGCAGGGGCAGAGGGCCGGGGGAGGCGGAGGACAGGGGCAGGCTTCCAAGGCAGGACCGCAAGGAGGGCGGTGACCCGTACCATCTGCGCCTCCGCTCAGTCTGCGAATTGGCTCCCTCTCCAGGGCTCCCAAGTCCTCGCAAACCGCATCCCCCCGTACCCTGCACCCATGCAGTAAGGTCGTCCATGAGGCAGTTGTCTTTTAGGATTTTTATTTTTGAATGTAGAAGAAAATCCGGTTCTCTTTAATATGTGTAACCAGGGTTTGTTTTACGAGCCCTGAAACCATAATGATTTATTAATTTTTATTCTGTTGTGATGCACAGAAGGCTAATAATGTGTGAAGCCGTAATACAAACGCACAGCCCAGTGGATTGCTGTGACGAGTTATCTGAAGCTTGTAACGCGTCTGTATTTTCTCGTTAGCAAGCTGATCGATCCATGTCAGCTGTCATATCTCCTGTGCTTCAGTCTGCAGATTTATCAGGACCTACGGGACGAACTTGCCAAAGCAAAGACTCTAGAAGGAATTATCGCAGTCAATCAAGCGCTGAAGGGCAAGTGCCAGGTATAGCAGAGCATGTGATTGCACGCAGTCAGTGTACTCTTAACAGCGTTATAGACTAAACTGTGACTTGTCAGGATTTGAACATAAATTTAAAATGAGGTCAAAACAACCTAACAGCAGATTTTTATATATCAAATACTTTGGCCTAAACGAGTGTTGGTTTGTACTATATTACTAGATGTGTATGTGGTTTTGTCTATAGGAGGAAAGACTTAATAAACTTGTCGAAGATGATATCGCCGGAGAATTACCTTTCCCACACTGGATCTGCCAGCCGTATGTCCGGCCACTGTAAGTATTGTTTCATGATCAGCCAGGACAAGTGGGGCTTAGAACCAAAAAATATATATTTTATTTGTAATATCCACAAAAATTTTCTTTTTTTTCTTAACTTATTTTTTTTTACTCTGCGTGTGTTTCAAGGTCACCTTGACTTTAACATGATTTAACTATTTTGTGGATCCCCACACATCTTAAAACACTGGATGTCTTTTTTAAATCAAATCTAAAGACTAACCAATGCTAAATTAATTGTACAAAGTTGTGATTGCAAATAGCAGTTAGTGTCAATGCTTTCTTTGGTAGTCAATTATTTTCTCAAATGGCTTGTGAAGTTCGTTAATTTACATAATTAATTACCTATATGACCAATTTCTTGGTAAAGGCCAAAGCTTATTACAAAGGAAGAGAGCGGAGGCTGTGGAAAACGTGCTCTAGAGGACGAGGAAGAGGGGAATTCAGATCATATTTCAAAGAACAAACAGAAAAAGAAACTGCGGCACCCCAATAAATGCTTTGACCCTTCATTAAAGCGTAAGTTATATGTATGAGATCTGCCTGACTAATGGTCAGCTTTGTACCCCAGATTTCTGTGGACCATATCCCCCATGATGCTCAGCTGTTTTTCCTGTGCTTCAGACTTTAGCCATCCTTAAAATTATTTGCCTGATCTACTTTCCAAGGAGCACCACAACCACTACAGCATGTGTCTGGGCACATTGTAGAATTTATTGTAAATCCCCTTAGTGACTGGGCCACAGGCGGTCTCTTTCCCATCTTTACATGAGCGCAAACCCTGGCGTTAATGTCGCAAGTGACTGTTCCTCTGTTAATGAATTTGAAACACCTGTGGAATAACCTTTACAACGATGCTGCCCTGAACCATTCGTTACATGGAGAACTTCCAGCATAAACTAGCTTGAGATCTATAGGTTTCTAGCAAATGTTTTTTAAAAGTGCTATTGCAACCAGTCTTATTATATTTTAAGAAGTTGTACCAGGTTTACTAATTCCATGCTGTAACTGGTTTGTTGAACTTATTGAATATGATTTCCTGGGCTTAAAATGGATTTAATTTTTTGTCTTTTAGCTAAATATGCAAAATGTGACCAGTGTGGAAACCCCAAGGTGAGTGACAGGAAATATTTTTTGAATGATTCTCCCATTTTCTTTTTTATTTTTTTTTATTTTTTATTTTTGCAGTGCAGAAGTTTGGTACAGACAGGCTCAAGGTACCCCAAAGGCATTCCTCGAGCTTTGTTACAGATTTCACAAGTGGGGTAAAGATAAGTAGTGCACAGTTTTAAATGTATTATAACAGGTGTAGGCGAAAACATTATGCTTTTGTTGGTATATATTGTGTTGAGGTGACTAATTGTTTCTGTGTCCGACATGCTTTGCCAACCCTGCGCCGTAAAGAGCGGAGTAGTGGAGGTGTTTTGAGTGAGCCCATAGTGTGTAGCTTGCTATCTTATGAGTTGCCTGATTACGTTCTACAGGTGTAGTATTAGTACTCATGTTTAAAGGGTTGACGTAAAGTGCACGTCTATTGCCTAGTGTTTGTAAGGAAGAGACGTGTGGTGTCCACTTTTTGAGCAGATATATGTGAAGGCTGGTCTTTGTGCTCTAACAGGCTAGGTAGTCCCCCCACGTTAGGTACATGTATAAAGTAAGTTACTCAGACAAGTTTAGCAAACATAGTATACTGAATAGGTGCATATTGGGTTACTCCGGTATACCAGGAGAAACAGATCATGCCAAGAGTGGAGAAGACATTCACATATTGGGCTATACTGGCGATCTAAACTAACGCATCCTGTTAAATAATAATAAGTAAAGGTATTAGGCTGCCCTAGTGGGCCAGTGAAACATGTCCAGCTAGTACCAGCTACATAATAGATTACCCCGGCAAGCCAGTCATCGACAGTGTCCAAGTCCTGTTGGGTGCCTCCTGTAATGTATCGGTGCAGGAAGGATTTGGCAGTAGCCTGCAGCATCCCGCTTCTGTGCGCTCCGTGCCGGCCCTCAGCCCACTCCATTCCGAGGCTGAGCTGTAGATTCTTTCGCTGTAGGGGAGACAACCGGAGAGGAGGCGACAGAGCGGTGGTGCAGGGTGGACTCTCGCTGTGCTGGAGCCTTCCATGCGTCGAGAGGGGCCCCTTGCTGGCCGGCTGTCGGTATGTAGCGTGGTGTCTTCATTGATGGTCGGGGTGTTGTGTGTCGCAGCACTTTGTGTGGGTGATCGGTGTGTCAGAGGCACATGCTTCAGTGCCCTGTTTTGCCGTGGGTTATTCCGTGCTGTGGTTGCTGGTTTGCCGCGTCCCCGCTTTTCCCGTCTGTTGCAGGCCTGCTCCTATGTCGCAGCCATATTCCAGTGCTGTGACCTTTGGGGTAAACGTTGTACTGGGATATCTTGACGGGTGTTTACCGGTGGTCGTTGTGGGACTTTGGTTTGCTCGCGCCCGGTTGCTTTATTGTATTTTGTGGGTACCTGGGGGCTGCAGTTTATCTTGCAAGTTTCGATGCACGTGGCGTCCGCCATCTTAGGTGGGGTGCCCAGGCCGCAGATCAAGCTGGTAGTACTGCTGGGCCCCAGTTGCATTGCCGCTCTCAGGGTCACAGGGTGGGGACCGGGATCACCCCCACCGGTCCGGGGGGGGGGGCAGAGCCAGGTTCTCGCCGGTCCGGACCTCTGGCCAGGCACTGTCAGGCAGGATAGCAGGACAGCGGCCGTCTGCCCTACTCACCGCCAAAGAAGGCCCCATCTGGAGCGACAATTTCTCCCCCAGGGGACTGCAACTCGGGGAGTCAGCCTCTCCCTGGGTCCAGTGGTCCCAGCACACTGAGGACCAGTGCTGTCGGTCTGCCAGCTCAGAATATATCATGCTTTAAGGGCTTATAGGGTGGAAATTTGCAGGAGCTGAAGTTGCTTGCCACCATCCTGCTCGGCGGTCCGGCCCCGCCCCCGATTCTCCCATTTTCTATTACCTAAATATCTTGCAGTGGCCATGGTCTGGGGAGTTTATGGGCCCCTTCCAATCCCCCCAAAAATGTAGATTAAACGGAACATGGGAGTTTAACAAAGTTATTCAGTTATTAGACCAAAACAGCTGAACTGGCAGCATTGGAGTGTTTTCAGTTTGACGTTAAATTTTAAACTCGCTTTTAGAATTTTTGACAATTCTCACTTTAGTGAATCATCCTGCCTGGCTTTTCATTTATGGGAAAAGTATTAAAAAAACACAGTTAAACTTGCCTTCATTCTACCACTAGGACATACTAATCATGGATTTCAATTGTCCTATTGTAATTACCGTCATTCTACCACTAGGCAATACTCCTCATGGCTTTCAACTGTCCTATTGTAATTACCTTCATTCTACCACTAGGCAATACTCCTAATGGCTTCCAACTGTCCTATTGTAATTACCGTCATTCTACCACTAGGCGATACTCCTCATGGCTTCCAACTGTCCTATTGTAATTACCTTCATTCTACCACTAGGCAATACTCCTCATGGCTTCCAACTGTCCTATTGTAATTACCTTCATTCTACCACTAGGCAATACTCCTAATGGCTTCCAACTGTCCTATTGTAATTACCGTCATTCTACCACTAGGCAATACTCCTCATGGCTTCCAACTGTCCTATTGTAATTACCTTCATTCTACTACTAGGCGATACTCCTCATGGCTTCCAACTGTCCTATTGTAATTACCGTCATTCTACCACTAGGCAATACTCCTCACGGCTTCCAACTGTCCTATTGTAATTACCGTCATTCTACCACTAGGCAATACTCCTCACGGCTTCCAACTGTCCTATTGTAATTACCGTCATTCTACCACTAGGCAATACTCCTCACGGCTTCCAACTGTCCTATTGTAATTACCGTCATTCTACCACTAGGCAATACTCCTCATGGCTTCCAACTGTCCTATTGTAATTACCGTCATTCTACCACTAGGCAATACTCCTCATGGATTCCAACTGTCCTATTGTAATTACCGTCATTCTACCACTAGGCGGTACTCCTCATGGCTTCCAACTGTCCTATTGTAATTACCGTCATTCTACCACTAGTCAATACTCCTCATGGATTCCAACTGTCCTATTGTAATTACCGTCATTCTACCACTAGGCAATACTGCTCACGGCTTCCAACTGTCCTATTGTAATTACCGTCATTCTACCACTAGGCAATACTCCTCATGACTTCCAACTGTCCTATTGTAATTACCTTCATTCTACCACTAGGCGTTACTCCTCATGGCTTCCAACTGTCCTATTGTAATTACCTTCATTCTACCACTAGGACATATTCCTCATGGCTTCCAACTACTCTACAAACAAAAAACACAAACTACTAAATTAAACATGCATGAATTTTCACCTTTCCTCTTATTTGCAGTGCCCATGAAAGTGTTTCTAACATCAGAATAGGTTAGGTTGATTCCTCCTCACTTACCAAGTCTGTTGGGAACCCACTTATCATTGACCACTGGCTTTAGAAAAAGTAAAGCTAATCCCTTGGTCATCCACACTTTAGTAGAAGGTGCCTGTCCATTTCTGAGAGTCAGTGGAAGAGTGAGCCACAGTAACGGAGGAGATATCTGACAGACTTGGCGGGGTACCTATGGGTTAATATTTGCATGGTTTTCCTGTTTCTCCAGTTCTTACTTTCTTCTTCTGATCTTCTCACTAGGGCAATAAGTGCGTATTCCATCTGTGTCGCAGCTGCTGCAAGAAACAAGCATTCAGGGAAATGTCAGACTGTGCAGGTGAGCTACTAGCAGCTACCGCTGGGAACATTATCTGAAACGCTCCCCGCTGCAGCTTTTAGTCTGTTAATGACGCTGGAATAGTTTCAGGTCTAACCTTTCCGAGTATTCCAATCATTATGGTTTGTCCAGTTCTGTATCAGAGAGGATTTTAAAATAGTAAAGAATTTGATGCTAATGTCTGCCTGAATTGAATTTGTGCGCAGTGTGTGTTCTAGGGCAATATACAGAACATTTAGATAAAGCCTTAGAATTTCTACAGTATGTTTTTGTTCCCCTTTCTTAGAATTTTCTATAGATAATTAGAAAATGCAAACTCCTACTTGTAAAAAGAACTCTAGTGGTTATGGTGGCAGGAGTGTCTTGCCACCATTTAGAAACATTCTGACAACTTGGGGTTTGCACGGTTCCACTAACTGCATCCCCTTGAAGCTGAAAGTTCCTGCAAAGGTTTTAAAAGGAGCTTTCTACTTAAGGAGTAGTGGCTGCCTAGTTGACCCCAGGTAAGTTGTCAAACTGACTACTATGGGAGGACGCATTAGGACAATACTGCTAGCATAACTACAGCATGTATAGTGCTAGAAGCCCCTACTGTTTGGCTCTCTGCTGATTTCGTCAAAGGAAGTTTTCCTGTCCTCTTTAGCGATACCAAATTCAGAAGTCCTTCGTTGGCTTAGTCATGTCAGCTAAGAAATCTAGAAAGTGACTGATACAGTGTTGTTTTATTGCATTAGTCTGACTTAGTGTGTCTTCACTAAACGTTAGTCATTGCAAGTCTGTAATCCTTTTTTTTTTTTTTCTTAAACCTTATAAAGAATATCGATAAATCCCTAGCTGTATCCTTTATATTCCTCCCATGATTTGGGGAAATCATACAGATCTGTATTCGCAAGGCAGCTTTGTGTTTTTTAAATAAACATCTCAAAATTCCTGGAAAATCTCTTTACATTTCTTCTCTTCCAGGTCACGGACTGCTTTTTAAAACCAAATATGAGAAGTCCATTCAGTTTAAAAGTGTCCAAAACGTGGAGGATATCGAACAGGGTTTAACGGAATCCAAACTCCTCCAACCGCCCCCTGAGATAAAAGCCTGAATTCTGTTGGAGGGACAAGCAGTTCTGGAGCCTCTGACTGGGTTTCACTTGCTCATTACTCAGGGAAATAGTCTGAGTTTACAGTGTGTCGGGGGCGGCTTTGCTCCTGCTACGGTTATAGGCCACGGTACACTTCATTGCTGCATTCGGACGGTTTAGGGTTTTATGGTTTTGGGGTTTTTAGCTTTGCAAGGGATGCTATGGATGTAGGAGAGAAGCAGCTCACCCTCTGCCTTTTTCCCCTTTTTTTACGTGCTGCCCCTGGCCTGCACTGACTGATAAGAAACTGGATAAAGGAGGAGCAGCTAGCATTTTTAATGGTTGGTATCGGGGGTGGGATGGGGCCTATAAATAAATCTGTTGTATACTTTATTCTCGTGTTGTGGTTTTTCCTACCTTTTTATTAAGCTGCTCTCATTTCAGTAACTGGTTATATACACACGGCAGCAGTAGAGCTGATTTAGAGTTAGAGCTTAGGCTAATGCTATGGTTGGACTAACATCTCTCCTTGCTGAGAAACTGTTTGTTTATTCCGTATAGTTTTACCCACAGTAGCGCATTGATCATGGTATCAATACATGTAGTTTGCGTTTCACAGTGCGTGACTGGGGGTAGAGCAGGCAGCCATACTAGCCAACCCCACTCACGCTTGTCCATTGTTCTCTTCTTTCTCTTGCTGTTTTCTCAAAGGAAAGCTCCTAACGAGGAGAGTGTCCGCTGATGCTCTCAGCATATAACCTCCACTCAGCCCAAGGCTTCCTCGCTGAAGCCAAGAAGAGGTCAGGCACCATTTATACAACTTTGGGGTTAAACCTCCACGCACTTTAACATCATTGTGATGTTGTGTTGACGCTCAGCGCACGACTTGGGTGTCCGTTCATTAATGCTGGGATTGTACAAAGATGTTAATCTCTTTATTTATAGAGCAAAACAAAAAGGGACAAAAAGCAGCATAATTACATCTCTTGTAGCATAGCAAGTGAGCACATGTATGCTAATCCAACCAGAGCCCTTCGACTGAAATTGCATAGTATGGGAATCCACTCTGCAACCTCTGTCTGTGTGGGGCCATCAGTGGGCCTATTTTGATTTTGCGATCCGGTTTTTCTTTTTAGTAACACTGGGACATTAAGGTTTGTTTTTTTGGATTTTAATGGGGTGAAGATAAGATTTAACAGAATCATCTCTCATGGTAAGTATGATTCCTCTCATAATTAGAAAGAGATTATAGGTGCACTATTTGGAATGATCTGTCCACCCCCCATATTATTGTGAAGACCACCACCCCCAATGCACACGGGGGGCACAGTGGTTCCCCAGCTTATTTTATTAGCCCCACCAAGGGGGAGCAGTGCATTACTAACAGAATAGCTGCGCACTGCCACATCTCCCCTTTTTACACACACAGTAAATAACCATTTATTAGCAGCCAGCAGGCCATAGAGGGTGACTGAAATTCAGTGATCGATCAATAATAGATGTTACCGAAAATGTTACTCAAAAGCAAATCATAAAGATATGTCATGTTAATGCTGAACAAAACAAAGTGCACCGTGGATTTAAAATAAAAAAAATAAAATAAAAAGCCACTGCCAACAGAAAGCCTATGCTCTTCGCGGCTTGATTTAATAATATAAGCACATTTTAGAAAATAGCAAAAGGACCCTTTTTTTTTTTTTTTTTTTGCCCTTGTTTTGAAAATTCCCACCTACAGTGAGGATTAGAAACTGCTGATATATTAAACTATCCTCAAAACCAGCAAACATAAGAAAATTAGTAAGTCTGGAAATATTCCCAATTCTACTTCTAGTCTAGTCACAGCTAGACTTGTGTACAAATCAAATTTCTGTTACTCTATGTCCAAATAAATTGATCCATCTGATATTTACCGCTGGGCTCTTAGAACAAGAAAATACCGGACTAATAAATTAGTACTAGGCATAGATTAACCGTAATCTGATTGGTTTAACACTGCTACAATGAACAAGTCTGCTCATTAGATTAGCCATTAGTTTTCAAATCAATACATGATGTTTACTAACTAAACCATATAGCTGGAGAGTTGAAATGTGTAGCTATTTATTTTTATAAAAGAGCCAAGATAATTGTACTGTCAAGTCTTTTGAAATGAAATATTGGATGAAGCTGACAAGAATGTTTAAATGATTTGTTTAAAATAATAAAGTAATCTGGTGTTTTATCTATGCAAGGCACATAGTGTGCTATAGTGTAAAGAACTCCTGGTTGTCTGCTTGTAACTGCATTGATATGCAAAAAAAAAAAAAAACAGCAGTTGCCCACAATTTAGAAGTTTATTTGCTAAACTCTGATTTGTAGCAAATTAAAAAAAATAAATATATATATATATATATACACACACACACACACACACATACACTCGCTCTCTCGTTTTATTTTTAAATATATTTTTATTGTGGTAGATGAACATAAGGCAAAATTGTGTATATATACACATAATACAAAGATTATCAAAGCATCTAGAGAGGCATATGCACAAAGGAGGACATCTTAAGCAGGAGGCCATCTCTCTTAATTAGAATAGCTCAGGGATGACCCCATCACCATCCATCAGTGCCATGGTTACAGGACTCCTGGTACATCTCCAGCTTAAGGTAGATTATGCTTTTCTGGTAAAAAGGAAAGACTAGTATTTCCAAAACACATAAGGGGACATGGAGTGCCACCATGATGCAGTTCTTATCGTAGCGGGTTGGACATTGTACAATAACAAAATCCTCGGGCTCCAGCTGTCAGGAAAAGGTGATGGGTTCTATCTAAAAAGATGGTTTTGGCTTGCTTGGGAGGTAATACAGATGTGAAAAATCACCATTAGAAGTGAGGCAGTTCTTCATCCGCCACACCCACTATACCAAGATTCTTTTTTATGTTCTTGCTCTGATCATCCAGTTTATATTTCCATCATGGTAAGCCTGTAGTTGTTTAAAACCCTGATCTATATTGGCCATAATCTTCCTCTGCAGCCTTGAACCCATCCTGTTCTAGGATGAACCTCTTCTCCTATAGGAGATATTTCAGTGGAGTGGTAAACATTTGCTTAATGTTATCTAAAAGGTGAAGAATATCCATCTTTGTTGAAGTGGTGTCTACTATTTCTGAGGAGCTGTCTGCATGGGTCATGCCAGCGGTGGATTATCCTCTAATTCTACTACGCTATCCTCTGGTGGATGGGTAGTCCTTAGCTGGCAGAGGGACCTTAGGGGTAGAAGTCTGCAGAAACATGTCGCCTATGTCCCTGGTTGAGCCTCCAGAGTATCAAGGTATGAGCCAGTAGCTCACTAAAAGGGGAAATACATAGGACTCTAGGGTGAGGTCACTGATTTAGTAGCTTTACATGTGCTATATGAGTATGAACTCACTCAGAGGAGCACAAGAAAAAATATAAATACTGTCTACCCCCCTTAGTATAGCCATTTTAATCCTAAAATTGACATACAGGTAATCCAGGTGGAACAAACCACCAGAAGAGTACACTTTGTGAAGCGCTCCACACCGTGTGCTCTCTTGGTGGTTTGTTCCACCTGGGTTACCTGTTTGTCAATACTATTCTTGTGAAATTTTGTGTAGAGCTGCTGTCTATCCATTTACGGTTTATCTGATAACCCACTAAGCTCCTTTTATACACAGATCACTATTTCTATATTGTAATCCTAAAATTGCATAACTTGATTTACTTTCAAAGGAATAAAAACATTTTTGTTTCCTGTGTGCAGCACCACAAATAAAGCAGCTCAAAAGATGAGGAACATTCAGTTGTCGAATGACAACGTTGTGTGAAAGTCACAAATCCTCTGATCGTTTCTAAAGCAGACTGCTGTGTGTGTCTGTCTGTCTGTCTGTCTGTCTGTGTGTCTGTGCGTTCCAGCCTTTCAGGCTTCCTGGGAACAATGGACAATTGTGCCCACACAAGTTTTACTTTTGAAAGCGCTAAAAGCAGGATTATATAAAGAGGACAGGTGTACTTTAACCACACAGGGCTTTTTAGAGTCTTTACATCATCTGGAACATTTCACGCGTTAATGGCCAATGTAAGAACGTGCTCTTTGATGTCACACCTTCCTCCCATCTTCTGACCTATAGAAGTCGAAGTGCTCACCCGGGCTTGCAGGTGCTCCTATTTTCAGTCAAGATTTTTTGCAAAAGATTTAGAATGAATAAAGTTAAATTGCAGGTAATTCAGCTCTTTGAAAGTGCCTTTTTTTTTTCAAACCGATCTTTTTGTGTGTTGCATTGAAATGCAGTATCCGTATGTCAGGCTTTTTCAAAGAAAGTTACAGTTGCATCTCTGAATAGCGCTTGTTATCTTTTATGTTTACGGTTATGAAAAGACCTGACTTCGCTCGCCATTCATGGTGCGCAGACCATACCAATTATCTCCCCTTCAAATCCGCAGGAGGTGCCATAGTCAGCAACTTTCACTTCGGCAACTAATGTGGACCTTTTATGAGTCATAAAACAAAACAAAAAATTAAGCAAAATATGGGAAAGTTTTAACTTTCAAAAGCAAAAAAAAAATAAAAAATTGAAGGCAGTTATCAGTTTGTCTACGGTGTACACACTTATTATTGTGCCAATTTAAAAGACGTATACAGAGACTGTGCCACCAATTATGGATTTTAACAGCATGATCTCTCTAGTTTAATGACTATTAGTTAATATACAGTGGTGAATTTTAAATAAATACATTATAGGAAGATGTCGAATTCCTGCTTCACTTACAGTTATTTGATATACCGATACCTAGAAACTTACGCTGTTCAAGAACTTTGCCAACAGAATCAACCGAGCCACTGCATGTAGGCACTATCAATAAATTCTTCACCGCACACACAGATCGATATGGTGGAGAGACTACTTAAAAGGGTTACTAAGCACTATAACTACTTTGTTACCAAAGCGGTTATAGTACACCTAAAACCTATTTAAAAAAAAAGAAATTCAGAAGTTGGATTCTGGATATAAATACCTTTTTTTTTTCCCTCCAGGCAGCGCCTCCTCCTTGGGCTGTCAATCAGCCAGCTGGAATAATCACTTCCTTTCTGGAATTATCAGTTTTGTACAGCTTCTCAGTCCGGCGTCTGCACACACTTTAACCCCTTAGGGACACATGCCATGTGTGACATGTCATGATTCCCTTTTATTCCAGAAGATTGGTCCTCAAGGGGTTAAACCCAGGCACCATTGACAGGCTGCACAGTTTCTCCCGGTGGTCGGTCACACATCCAGCAGCGGCTCTGTGCTCACAGTGGCAGCATATATAGATTGATATGGTCATGCAAGCAGAGCAGGATTATCCATAAGGCTGCAGCCTAAGGACTTGGCCCTGACAAGGGGAT